TGAGGCGTTAGGGAGATCTCACACACTCCCCGATGAAGACCAGAAACAGGAACAGGGGCAGAGACAACCATAGACACACGGAATGGACTCACTGTTCCTTGGCATCATTTCCTCCTATGGGGACACGCGTCCGCCCGTCCGTTTATCCACCGCTATAGGTCCGGCTGCGCATATCGTCTGAGGCAGAGTTTTTCTTCGTCGGTCAAACTAGTCTGGCCCCGTACTCTGCAGCATCCTGTTGATACCCTGATCTTCCATGAGTCGCAGTCAGAATACGGCAGACCAAGCATATTCGCTTTTTTTTTTTTTTTTTTTTTTTTCGATCTTTAGCGAGATTACCGAGCCAATACTGGTTGCAGGACCAAACAACGACCGAACCATCGTATCCAATGGCGATTTCCTCCTTTCTCTTGTCTACATATCTTGCAGAGGAAGAATATGTAATTAATCTCAAGCACGAGGCTCGGTCCCGACCAATGTCACCCGATCCCAAGGAGTTCCACTAGAAGCATCCGCCATGGTCGCTGCTAGAGACCAGACACTTTTGCGTCGTTGTGAGTATCGGCATGATAGTACATCCAACCACTCTAGACGGTTTCAAACAGATCTGGGTATTCGACACCATGTCGTTCTCGGATATTCCCTATATTCAAGTCGCCACAAGAACCTTTTCTCTAAAAGGTTCATTATGGTACTAAAATTTACCTAGGTACCTAATGTAGCCATTAGCCAGTGGTGCCATGCATCGGGTAAGGGCCATACTCTGTGGAGGCATTGAGACGAGATGTCACCGATAATTTTCTTCACCCCAGAGCTAGCCTCCTAAAGAGTCATCGCACACTCTACATGGTTCCAAACCATTGGTTACCCCCGCCCAATGGACGGACCAAGTGCGCCTATCCTAAAGTTTTCAACTCCGTTTTCTTTCACCTACCCAATCCCGTAATGTAGGTGCGGGACGCTAACATATCCCCTCTGCGGGCGTTACAATATTGTGACATCATCGACGAAAGACGGTGGATTATCGGAACTGTTTGGTGGGAATGTGCCCCAGCTCCACAGCGGTTTGTCACGGATAGGACCGTTTTACAGGACCCTCTCCATGAGTTCTTGTTATTGGCTAGGGGGCTTTTCAAAAACAAACGCAGAGCCATCCGGATCCCTGTTACATACGGTTGGCCTAATTCGATTAACTGATACCCTCCATTGTGAGATCCTATCCACAATGGATGGCGCTTTATGAATCGTATGTACCTAAGGAGTTCAAAAAGCGGTTCGGCAACTATCACATATCTCCGGGACACCTTCCAAGGTTGTCTACAGAGTCGCTCTACTTCGAAAAAAAGGGTATCGCGCAATACGTCGTCCGGTTGTCTTCAAAACACTTCTATGCCAGGGTCCACCTAATCTTCTGGATGGGGGCCAGGGACTAAACCTTCCCATGGAAAAACGACCTCATCCAATAATGATCGCGTGTCCGTCTCTGATAGGCACATCTATCTATTGTGGCACTAATTCTCGGTCATGAGAACTAAGCAAACTGTTTTGAAAGTTGACGCCTTGCGGAGTTAGAGCTGGGGATGGTCTTCAGCTCCTCTCACCTTTTCCGATTTTCTCCGTTGGCGGATGATAGGAGCTGGTCAACATCCAAAGACACCTTGACTAACCCGTCTCGTCGACACATCCTAGTAACTAATGCGGCTTCTGAACATCCCTCGAATGGAACTGGCTGGCCCTACGTTGGTGACTCTGCGACGAAGAGTATCAAGATAACTACGCCAAATCACCGATTTGCAAATTTCTCCCGCGCATTAAGTCATCCGCATCCGCCTTCCCAAAATGTCTACCCCATCTATAAACTCATGAGATGGAAGATCTCGGCGCCCTTAGCGGCCAGATCGTACGAGCATATATTGCAAAATAAAAAGCAAAGATCCGTTTTATTAGCTAGATGAAATTTGCTGGCCATTTGGGTATCAACCATATCTTCCAGAAATATCAATCCAACCAATAGTTTCAGAGGCGCATCTGTTGCACGACGTCAAGGGACCGACTCTACATACAGACCCGCCGGTGATTTGATGGTGTCATGCAGGACGTAAGGGGACAGAGGTCACCATGCATTGGGGTATTAACTAATAATATATCCCTCATGATGGTGTGTGCATCGTGATACTTGGCTGAGACCGAGGTAATGGGTGTCGCTCCTAGGATCCTCCTTTGATGTCGACGTCCTTTCGTGGTTTCGCGGTTCCCGTTGCATCGGCAATCAAATCCGCTTTTCCGGACGTTCCATTGCATATAAACCCTGTTAAGCTCAGATTTGACGTTGACCTACTCTTAGTAATACTACTCAGCACTTAGATAGGTAGGCTATGGGTTCGCGGGCGTCGAACGAGTCTGACCAGTCAGCGATCACTCCCGACACACGCGACTGAGAACCCTATATGATTGCCGATATTCGGCATACGTATCTAAGCGGCACAAAATTACAGCAATTAGGAAACCTCCAAATTGCCAACTAGTCTGACTCTACTCAAACGCGGCTCCGTACTCGGAGGTTTTGCACGGCCTCGCGAGGCTGAAGTCATGCCCGGTGAAGCCCGAAATAAATTGGGAATATCTGTTGAAAATTGATATTTCACGATATCTCACGACCCACTTCGACATTAGTTGGGTGAAATTACCTGCGCATATCTATGCTTTGCATAAGCCTCATTGCCCAACGATATCGTGATGTGGAAGGAAAAAAAAATTTTTCTCCCCAAAACATCCCTGCTGGGAGTATGGGTTGAGGCCAACGTATAGACCGCTATTTCTCAGCCTCGAATACTAAGTGTAGGCTTCCAACATGCGGAAGTAGTCCCACCACGAACTTGTCCTTGTCACGGAGAAACGCTGGACGTTTCTTCCCGGAACCTACTCAAACGGGCGACCCTGTAGGTACCCGGGCAGAAGGGTGGTTACCCTGAGATAGGAAGCTTATAACTTTCTCGCAATTGAAGATCAGGTCACTTAACGAGTCGAATCAGCTAATATCGCGCTCCTCCTCATGCGAGAACTTCTGACATACGGCCTTTTGATTGTTTCATTTCTTTTTTCTCTTCTTCTCAATGGCTGACTCACCTGAGACCGGAGCTCTACATCACCTCCCCGTTCTTTGGACCACGAATTGTGAATGCGCTAGGATCGGGCATACCCGCTGCAGAAACGAGTACGGGTCCTAAGGGGCAGGATCCATCAAACCCCTTGGAATAGCAGGCTTGGCCCTGCGACATTTTCAAGAATATGTTGGACACGTCGTTTGCGGCTGTTTAACACAGGACATAATTCAGTGCCTCTTCCTCGCTCACATTCTTGCATATCTTCCCAATTACTATCGCGGGCTCGGATTCGTGGTCTGCGCTGTCATACTTTAGGGTGTCTCGGGATGACGGTAGGTGCCGGCCAGGGGTTTTACAATGCCGTAGCTGGTTTCCTAGCATCATGCAAGTCAGACATTGCCTTAGTGCCAGCTTATACGCATGCGCGGAACCTACAAATCTTACATGAATAATATCGGGGAGCTTCACTGCAAATCCCGAGTCAGCAAAAAATTCCCTCAGGGTGGGATTGGGAAAAGAGAGGCAATGACGTTTTTCTTGGCAGCAGGGACTGCTTCTCCGGGCGTGCTTCACCTGGCGCCCGAGAGCTGTAGGAGAAACGATTAAGGCATTATTTTGCTCACTATTCGCTTCCACGACATGGTTCACATACTATGCATCCTTATCAGCTCGTATTCCCCCATTCCTACAGTGCTTCTCAAAGCCCGCGGACAATAGGACGTAACGTTCAAGTTTAATGTGATGCACCGGATGGTGCCGATCTCCTCGGTAGCCTGGAGCGATAAGATGCGGCTGATGGTGTTGATCTGACCTGTCGGCGATCCGGCTTCTAGGACGGTGGTCCCGCTAAACGTGTCGATCTCCACAGCCCGAATTTCGCGGACAGCTTGAACAACGTTCGATATCGGGGTCGATAGGCTGTCCGATGAGCGGTTGGGGGGCTCGGCCGGCGCGGGAGAATTCGGACATGTCTTGAGAGGTTACCCGATCTGTCCAACCTCCGTTTTCACCTCCGCTCCCATTCTGTCTAGATGGGGGCTAGTTAGCTAGGTATCCCCAGCTAGATAACCAGCCAATGCAACCCTCAAGAGGAGAGGGGGTGCGGGAAGAGCTCTTACTCGTAATTGACCTCGCTTCGCGAACTCAGTCAGCGTTGAGCTAATATTAGTTCCCCAAGTTACGTCCAAGCGCTGCCGGCTTGCGATAGCGATATATCGGTAGGTTCTTTCGTCTTACTTCTTCTCGTGATAGATCGCCATCCTTCAATATGAAAAGACACACAACAACCTTGGAAGATAGGAGAACACTCCGTTTTTTTCTCTATTCCGGCTCGCGCTCTCACGTTTCATTTCGCTCCAACTCGGGGTGCGACATGATTCTCCGGATACCGGCAGGCTTCGGACTTACCCCACGATGGGCGATCCGCATGGCGTTTTTCGTCTCTACCCCTCCTACACTTCATTGGAGCCGTACAGCCGGCAAAAGACACTATCGTAGCTAGGGAGGTTACATACCTAGTATGTGCAGTATATGTATTGAAGATCGGTAAGTGCAAAGGTATATTAAGTACCCAGCTAGGTACACAAATAGACACACATTGACCAATCAACTAGCCCAAGTATGCCGTCCCGTTATACCCAATATTGATATCCGTCTATTGCTACGTATATGCGGTATAGGAGTGCTACTTGGCTACCTAGATAGGTACATTACCCCGCTTAGTACGACCACGTATAGGTTCAGGTACATAAACAGGTACCGTTGCACCACAGGAGCGTGGGGAAATGCGTTCAAGATTCGGATTGGATTGCTCGCGTTATATCTCCGACGCAAGTTACACATGACAAATACCTAACATAATGTCTCGTGACGTGAATAAGAGATGGGAAGATCTTCATCGCATGCTTAGGATTTCTGCAACTAAACGCTAGGTAGGGAGGTAATATTGGAAATGTGACTTGTGCTCTACATACGAGAGCTTCGGCCCGAATAACGAACGGCGATTTGTTGGGAACCAGGTAAGGTTTCACGATGGGTCAATCTTTTTTCCCTTCGGGACTGAATACCGGCCGAGTAGGTTGCGTACAACGGAACTCGGATCTGGATTATTTGGCCGAGTGCCAGATCATTCCCGGATTTGATCATTTCTTGTAGAGCCTCAAGTCTGGGGATGACATAATGTTGACCAAATCGTTTGATAGCAACGCCATACGTACGAATAGCTCAGAGGCCCGGCAAACCTAATAGACTGCCAAGGTATCGAGATTTGGCCTCGACTCATTTGGTGTCTCCTAGATGAAAGTGAGACGTCGGTCTCCGCTAACGATGTTGCTCACACTCTTTTGCACGTTCTCGAAACGTGTATAGCCACAGCTCTCACTCTCGAGGTGGTTCACTATGAAGTAGCGCTCGGTTAACAAAATATTGCTTGAGTAAGCTCTTGAGGGCTAGATATGAGTTCGAATTGCCTCTTCCTGAGGTAGTCATCCTATCCACTTGAGTCCGAATGGGCATAGCGGAGCGGGACTGATGACTTAGTTGAATCAAGCACCAGGGAAACTTACTAACGGCAGCCAGAGTCTTGAACTCACGCCCACATCCGTTCCTATCTGGGCAGTGGTAAAGCGCCTGCTGGTCTGGGTATGTGGCCATGATGTCAGCCTCATGAGTCTACGGATGAAATACTGGGTTCATCTTACGTATAGGCGACTGCAAGTGTTGATCTAAGCCTGGCTTAGCGTTGAACGTGCGGTTGCAGAGGTAGCATTCCCATGCCCATCCATTCCACGCTTTATCCGTGGCCTCGTATGTCGTGGACCCATGCCAGCCGATCAACTTCTTGGAGATCATACCGGTGGGATCCTTAGCCCGAACGGCCTTGTATATCTGGTCGCGGTTCAGAAACGATGCTTTCGAGCAACGGCCTCCTTCGAGATGGTGCGCAAGACCCGTCGCAGTCGCGTAGTTCGTTTTGCAGAAGGGGCATTGGATGGAACTGCCGCGATGTATGCGCGAATTGAGATGCTGTCGGGGTGATTTGTTCAGTCTGGTGTTCTCACGTATTCCGGATCATCTATTTTATCTCCTCACCATCCTCAGATTGTTAGGGTTCCCGCAACTCTTCTGGCAGTCGCTACAATAAGAGTGCGTCTTCGCCTCGTGGTCTCGGCGGTCGCTACTGTTCGAGAAGCAATCGTTACAACCGTTGCCGCGGCAGTCGAAGTCGAGAGGTTGATGTCCCAGGGCGTCGACGTGTTGGTCCCGAGATCGCCAGTGGGCGAACTCGCGTTTGCAGGTGTTGCATTTCCAACCCATTGTTCTGTTTCTTTGTTAATTATCGAGTGTCCACGTCGAGTTCGTTTTTACCAAAGTGGTAAGTTACCTATAATGGCTATGGATGAGAGGAGTTCATATCTTGATGAACGAGTGTTCTGTTGCCTGATGAACTACGTGTAACAATCTACGTGGACAAGTAAGAAATCAGAAACGGAATTGCTGCAGGTTGCGCCTATCGCCTTTTCGTATTTACGAGGAAAAGCAAAACAGTAGAGCGGAATGCTACGATGGCGTTCTCCGGGATGTATGTAGTTGGCCGGGAGAGTGCGACACGTATGATCATTGGACGCCTCGTTCATCTCTGTATCGGTACCCCCAATGTTGATATTGAAGACATACACTCAAAAAGCAAGCTTTGTATCGTACTTAGACAGGCATGCCGGCATCGTAGGAGATCAGTATATGTACCTAGGTAAGTACCCCGAGACCGAGTACATCCTTGGATAGAGTGCTGGCTTATAGGTGACTACCTAGCTCACCTATGAGCTATACAGAAATTTTAAAACTCAAAACAAGGCTGGTTTTAAGTTGAAAACGAAAGATATCTATTTCATATTCCATGTAAGCAGTACTTATAAGACTGACATACGTAATGGGCACTTTAGTAATTAAACACTCTTCGCTTCATTCCCGAAGCCATGGATAAAGACCGGGATCTCAAGTTAGATCCCGCACACCGGTTTACCAGCCGATAGTTTAGGGCAGGGATTTAAAAACCCCTATATTGAACCCTGTAAGATATTAAGATAGTTATAGCTATATGTGCCCTATTCTATTTCTAAGGGCTTTCACTCTTCCTGTATATAAGAACGGAGGTGGTGGGATACCAATAGCCCTCTGCTCTCTAGAGAGGGGATGAATAGATCTATCTCACCTCTACACTTTAGGGGTTGGGTAGTTCACGGTCACGGGGATGGGTACCCAACGCAACGGTACCTAACGCCTCACTATTCCACTGCAGTGCGACGACCCCACCTCACAGTATCCCAAACGATAACGGCCCTAAACCTTCGAACCCGTTTTCGGATCACGGAAAACGAAGACCATAACCAAAAGAGAAGGAAGATAAAAAAAAAAAATTTACGCGATTGAGGGGTGTGATGGTAGAAAAACCAGGGGTCCAAGATTAGGAGGGCTATAATTCGCGAAGATAAAATATTACTCGATTAGGAAAAGTCTGGATTTCTTGGCGGCTTAGTGGTTAGACGAACAGGGCACGGTGACAGGGGCATTAGTGATAGGGGCCAACGAAGCGAAACACCAAACAGAAGCGCACACACACACACACTCACCACAACCACGTGCAAACGTAACATCGAAACCTCGCAACGCTTGTCCAAACTCGCATGAGATATCCGTCACCTGACATGACGGGACTGGGTACCACTCCATTGGCACCGCTGGGTTTGTTCGGCTTACTACATACATGTACCTACCCTACGTAGCGGGCATATACTCCCTTTCTACGATTATCGTCGACCGGTAAGATGTGTCCCATGGTTTGCAACTTCGGCGTAAGCAGCAGTGAATCGAGAATCTCATGTAACTCGCCTCGCTATATTCAGATACCCGATGTAACTCCATACTGAATGTCTATTGATAACCAACGCTGACGTATGTGTGTGGATACAAGGCGCCTAACAAACAGCAACGAGAATCAAACCCTAGAAACATTAACCCCGCTACCGAAGATCTGATCCAGTTTCTCTGCGCGATCCCATACGATCGTCCCATCGCTCTTCCGCTTGAAGCACATGATTCGGTGCTCCGGTATAAACTCCTCGTGCGTCGTGTCGGATTTCCAAGAATCAACTGACCGCTCCATCGTCCCCGAAAAGCGATCTTCATAAACCACGATGTAGTCACTACTGTCAGTAGCTGGGTCCCACCTTAATCGATTTAGAACGTCGCCGGCCGATCGAAGCTTTACCCCGTCTTTCGACCTACGAGGCAGACGAGTAGTTGAGTCTTTCTTCGTTCGTGGTTCGCTGGCTTCCTGCTCTGTGGATGCCCACAACTCCAAATCGCCCATCTCATCGTCTTCCGCCTCGAGCGTATACTTTCCCCAATCTCTATCGTCAACTTTTAATTGCCCAAGCCCGGAGTCAGGAACCAAATCTGTGTCTACCCAGAATGAGTTTGCGTCGAAGTATTTGGTATCGTTGGTGACCTGAGTCCTAAATTGATATAAAGTTGCCTGCACTTGTGCTAAGGCAACCTTCATATCTTCCCTTACTATTAGTGGGTGGGATTCCTGTATTTCGAAGCCGACAAGGTAATGTCCCTCGTATTCCGTGCTTTCCTCAGCAGAGTACTCTCGGCTTACGAAACGTGCTGGCCAGATTCTCGGATTCAGGTGAGGCACCTGCTTAGAGAGAACTATTCACATATTAGTATTGATAGGTTGAATGAAGGTAATGGGACCACAAACTAACCATTGAACAGAAAGATACACTGCGATTGAAACCAATCTAGAAAGGCGCCCCCCCTCGCTAGAGGTACACTCCAAAACCGAGCAGTTATCTTAGCATACGTATTGTACCCATATAAGAATTCAGCCGCGCCCGTATTCCGCCTCAGCAAATATGACCATTCCATATCAAGTTCTGATAATAGCGCGTCAATTCTGTTGAACTCCTTTGAAATAACACGAACCGTCGGAACTGACGCGGCCTGCGCCGTGTTCAAGCTAGGCCCATGAAATCCTAGTACCACCATAGGTTCCCGCGCAGTTCTTACGTAGCGTAGGTTTTTATGGAAGAAGGGATCGAAAACCATGTTCCTCTCCCAGTCAAAATTCGCATAGTGGTGAAAGAAGCTGGTCAGAATTGTCGGGGCAGATATGAATCCGCCTTCATATGACAATAGCTTGCAGACTCTTGATAACAGGATAGAAATTTGGATTCCGCCGAGATAGCCGAGTTTTGGGGCGTAAATTCCCCGTTGTTTCGCCCAGCATACGACGAACTGGTATGCCAACTTGAAGGCAGCAAGATCTGGAATGGTTTGTCGGAGGTAATAGAGATCTCGCATTGGTTTGAGATTCACGAGAACACTTGATGGTAAATTGAACATAGGGTTAGTTGGAGGTAATGTCAACGCCGCCGGCCATGTCTCCGTGATGGTGACTGCTGAACAATACCGTAGGTCCATTTTGACATGCCCAACTTCTAACTTGAGCGTCGAATCGGTATTGGTATCGATAGACCGGAGAATCTTGACACCTCTTGATGCAGCCTTTCGCAGTCGCTGAATTGCTAATGTGAAAAAAGTCTTCGAGCTAATAGGGCCAATACAAAGGCAGTTGATATCTGATGATGTAGTCCACGCACCAAGCCCATAGGACCCAACGGGTATCACCACGAGAGCCGGGAGGCCTTGTGTATGGTTATCCTCGCCCTGCACTACTACCTCCTTTAGTAGGTCAAATGCGGTTTCTCTTATTGCGATATCAATTTCAGAAGGGTACACTGATTGCAAAGAGAGACATGCTGCCAATGTAGATACATCGGCGAGGGCCGCTGGCGCAAGGTTGAGCTGTACTGGCGGAACGAAATTTCTACTCTGTGAGCAAGTCGGTACGTCGTTGGAGACGTTGAACAAACATCGAACCCCCCAGTGATCACTACCGTATGAGTACTGTTCAACTAATGCATCACTGTCAATATCAAGACCGAACTCTGTCTGTACAGTCCTTATATTTTGACCGAACATGTTAAAACTCGTCACAGTGAGGATGTCGTTTCTCTTGACTAGAATCCTGTCATAACGCTGAGGCCTCTCACTAAAATCACCACGACCGAGGTTGGAGGCAAGATTGTTGATTTTTGGGTCAAAAGTCGCACCTTGTTCACCCCCTAAAGCTTCGCTGGTGTCCTGTTGGGTTTGATCTAATCTGGAACTATCGCCATGCTCGATGCATGCAGCAGTCCAAGAGTCCATCAATCCCGACCCGGTGAGCATTGCCTCAAGCTCAACAAGTGAGTTTCTGCCGTCTGTGGTGATATCTTTCCTCCTAATCGCAACTTCGATGCTGTCCATACTGGTTGTGATATTGAAGTCGCCGGCTAATATCCAAGGATTCTCAGAGTATGTCCCTGAAAGATACTTAAGGAGAGATTCTAAATCGTCTCGTTTCTTCGTAACAGATTTATCTGTAAGACCAGAGGTGAAATGTACGGCGGATAAAATGACTGGTAGGAAGACGCCTTTTTCATGCTTTCCGATATGGTTGAATTGCACGATCACTGATCCCCTGAGGCTCGGGAGCAATAACAAGTCCCAAGAGAACGGCCACTTGCTCAAAACCGCGATATTAGAATGGTCAGATATCGGCTCAATGTCAGATTGGTCTGCAGGGCCATCCGAGATGAAAGGGTAAACTTTGCGAATATCCTCGTCTTTGCAAAGGTATGAGAGAAAGTCATCGGTGACCTCCTGTAGGACCAAAACATCCGCTAGAGCGGACCCATCTTGGATATTTTGAATGACAATGGGATATCGAGCTCGGGATGGTGGATATTCGAATTCTGCTTGAATATTATAGCTCGCGACACTTAGCGATTCTGGGACCGGTCCGCCTTGCTGAGGAGTGAGATTGATTTGCTGGGTTACCCATTTGTACTGTCTAGGTGAGAATGTATATGGGAGTCGAGTTAGAGCTTGGGTTCCTAACACAACATTGACGCCATCTAGAGAACCGGCCATCTTCTCGTCATTGTAAAATCTCATGGGCTCGCGCATGGGCATTAATGTCATAGATCCCAGGTCGATCTCCCCCCAAATTTTCATTTCACTAGAGACAGACAAATCAATTTTATTCTCATCCCTGTCCCGTATTAAAATGTAAATCTTGTTGACTTTCCATTGCAATGCAGGTAGCATTTCGGCTTTTCGTAGTATGTAGTCATTGGGTGGTGCGAGCGATTCTTTGCTCTGCCCAACAGTCATGTGCATTTCGAAATGGGTTGGTTTCTGATGTAGGGCTTCCAGTATATATTTCCTTAGGCCTATAAAATCTGTCCAAGTTTGCGGCCCATTGTCGTACACGAAGAAGGTAGTCTTTTTACTCTTATGGACGAATCTGTCTGCAGAACATATATGCAGATTCAAATTGCCAAGTCCTTCGTGACTCCGGAGCTTGGAGACGATCAACTCTGAAGCAGCTTGTAGGTTGTGTACTGGGACAAATGGATATACCAAGTTGACATGTGGTGGCCACTTTTTATAAGCTGGGTCGTAAACCGACCTCAAGTGATCTACGGGCGACCATAGATGCCTCGGCGGAACAATACATAGAGCCGTATCGTAGGAGTCGAGGGGAAATATTGGGTTCTGTGAGGATGATGTTTCCTGGGTAGCCATCTTTAGGGGTTATCCTGGGGAGATAGCTATTCAATATGAAGTTCTGCGTAAGTAAGGAAGATACAGGGGTGACGGGGCGTGTGAACCGGAACGCGACGGTAGCTATGAAAACAAATGATTGAATTCGAACAAGTGAAAAATAATAAATTATAGAATTAAAGACAATAAGGCGGAATGAAAGTCGCAGCAATTATTCCTAACTTATGAGGATTTTGTTTGTTAGACGGTTGAAAAGTCTGAGGTCTTATGGCATCACTCCTTCGCTGTTGTAGTTGAGTTGCACCTGCGCTGCGCCACTAAGTTTTAGTTATGAGTAATACCTGCAGCATTGTTAAATGTACCTAAGAAGGTACGATTAGCAGCTGAGGTGGGCACGGCTTAGTGGTACCCAATACGATGAATCTTCGGCGTGAGTCAACCACTAACCCGACCATGGTCAGGCACCCCAAATGTTAAGGGCAGTGCACTAACAACACCTACCTAGGTGCCTACCTAGGTAGAATTAAGCGGAATTAGCACAACTTTTTCAGGCGCAATGGCTGCTGATGTTCGCCGAGACTTCTCGTGACCCTCAGAAGGCTATTAGCTAATGAGACTTGTGATTGTGTTTGACGATGATGTCTAGGTCTTTGCAAGTGCCTCGACTCAACCATTAAGACGATTACCTCTTGTCAACCACGTAATTGATGATGCGACGTTCCTCTTAGTCGCGACGATATACTTAGGCTTTGAATAGAAGGCCGCTAGGTAATGGTTGAGCAATTGAAGATCTTGAGTGGATGTGGCGGTGTGGATGGATATTTGAACCTGAGAAAGGTTAAATTCACGAACAAACTGGGGAAATTGGAGTAGGGAGACGCCAAATAGCGTCTTATGTAATCAATAAACCCCATTATAGCGGGAGATTGTGGGGTAGTCCTTCCACCCCGCTCGATTTAAAACCTAGTTATTTTTATTTCGTCACTTTGATCCAAAATCTACCAACTTAAACCCTCAAACTTCCCCTCTTCGTATCTTGGTAGCATCCGGAATCATGTTATTCCTCCATACCCAGCTACCACACGTGTTCAATACCCAGGATCTTCATTTTCGAGAAGGTATAAGCACGTAATATGAAAACTTCTCTCGCATGGGCACTTTACTCGCCTTACCATTCTTCACATGCTGCCACGTGTGCGGAGAGAGCACATTTCTTGGGAGTTACCCTATTTGGCTTCCAGAATCTATATAGACCCGGAAACCAGTGCGGATAATTCCGTTATAGGTGACGACGCCGCGTATCATCCGGCACTCTTGCCATGTGCTTCGTCTCCCCGCACTTTCTATTCTTGGCCGGCTAAGCAGCATGGCTGAATGGATGCGCTCACTCCTCGATATTGAGTCTTAAGCCCCGACGCACCCGCAGCGTTCATCCGTTTCCAACTTGGATTCTGCCATCGATTTGGAGAAGCTTCACCTCCTTCCGAGCCTGTCTATTTTCATCAGGATGGAGACGGTCCGGTGGCCTCGCTTGCCTACCCGAGACGGATCAACTCTAGTTCTCTTCCGGCGAGGTTATACTCGAGGCATCAGGTAAGGTCTATAAAAGCTCGAGATGGACTAGTTCCTCTCGAGTGGCACTATTGGTGTGGCGTCTTGATGATTCTATGTCTATGTCTTGCCGCGGGTTCACGAGCTATTAAGTTGACAATATGGATTCGCCCACTGTTTCACAAACCTTAGCTCATGACGATAGGGCCAACGTACTTATTGGTGCGGTATGTTTGGTATGCACCATTGCTACGACTGTTGTGGCGCTTAGGTTCTATACGCGTTCTTTCATGCTAAAGCAACTTGGAATCGATGATTATCTAATATTCGTTGCATGGGTTAGTCTGCCGTGTGTGATCATATTCTAATTCCTATAAAAGCTGACTCTAACGAAATTTGAAGGCCTTTGCTTTGGCGACAGGGGTTTCCCAATGTCTGAGTAAGTAGCGCATTGTCATTTCGCATATGGGGTTGACAACTTCTGATATCTTATAGATACACGCAACGGATTGGGCAAACATGTGTGGGATCTAGGTAGCGAAACCCAGTTGAGAAGATATCTAAAGGTCCGCTAGTCGTTGCCCCTCAAATACGATCTAGTAACTAATAAGCAAATACTCTAGGGGTTTTACGTTTCTATCACCCTTTACAATGTTGGGCTCATGTTTGTCAAGCTAGCATTCTTGGCACAATATTATCGGGTGCTCACCATCAAGAGAATGCGGAAGACCTTCCTTTCAGCCATGGTGATAATTGGCTGTTGGTCTCTTTCCCAAGTTATCGTCGGTATCTTCATTTGCGACCCAGTTTCTGGATTCTGGGAGAAATCTTCGGATCCTACGTGCATACCTAACTACCCCCAATGGTATATCAACGCAGCTGGAAATATTGCTTCAGATATCGCAATCTTTATTCTACCCCTACCAGTAATTGGGCACCTACATCTACCCAAGGCTCAACGACTTGTTCTTATTGGAATTTTTAGTCTGGGTTTCTTGTGAGTTCCCCCACCAATACACGAACGCTATGCCAGGCTAATGATGACTAAGTACGTGCGCCATCTCTGTGATCCGCATCAAGTTCCTTCAACAAGGAGGCGATTTCTCGTATGAGAACGTTGAGGGTTCAAGTTGGTCTATCACTGAACTATGCTCAGGGGTAATTTGTGCGTGTCTGCCCACGCTGCGACCTCTGGTCTCCAAGTGGGTTCCTGCCCTCTCGAACCGGCTTCACAGAAGACACTCCGATATGGAGAAAGGAACCAGACATAGGCGGGACAGCTCCGACGCGAGCCGGATTTTAGCAATGAAGAAAAAGGACGACTTTTTCTATTGTATCGGCTTAGAAGAACGAGAAAGTGGCAGCGCAGACAGCTTGGATGGATCTATGGAGCTCAAAGGGGATCGCGACAGCTTCACGAGTCGTGGGTCGAGTTCGCCAACTCTACCTTCGGAAGCGCATATTGTGGATCGCGCCGCTCGCAGACCGACGGCTTATTACAATTGGATGGCATCATCTGTCACCACAAAGATCGGGACGGGTGGTAACAAGAGGCCTAGCGCCGATTCAACCCTTTCCTCTAGTTCCATTCAGGTTCAGCGCGATGTCGTGATGCACAAAGTATAGCGATTTTCCTAGTCAATATAACAAGCTCAAACAGTAAATTCCGATTGCGTGCGTAATCCATATTGATACTACAGGTTAAACGTCATGTATCATCTAACATGTCAGGGTATAGGCTTATGTTGGCATGAAGTCTTGAAGCTATCTACAAACAAACTTGTTACAGTATCAGGGATTAGTAATATCTTACTTAGTTTGTCTCAGATTGCCTGACATAGAAGAGTGAAGAAAGGGCTGAAAACTAGGGGACAGATAAGAACCGGGGGCAGGCCACGTGGTAGTCGGTAAGGCCGAAAGGGTTGTAGTGAATCGACATTTCCTACCGGGAGTTGATATCCTAATCAAGAAGGTCTCAATAGTCTCGAGGAGAAAATTTCGGCAAGGTTGACGACATGTGCAGTAGTTGAAACTTGGGTTATTATATAAGCTAATTCGGAAGTGATAGACCACGTGTGAAACGTCTAGGGCGGTTATGAGGCTCTTTATAGTGTTGTATTATGTGGTTACTATGGATGAGAATCCCTTTGTCAATTCATTATTATCATTATACGTCTATGCACAGTTTTCCGTCACGTCTATATGGGTGGTGTTACAGCGGGTTACAAGTAGTGGTACAGTTTCATATCTCCGAGGGAGGTCTCATGCATGTGTCGTGAAACAGAGCCTCGCAACGAGCGCTCTTCATGATATTCCCCGTCGTTCCCTTGCTGTGTTCGAATTGCGCTTCTTCGCTTGTTTCTCCTTGCCCGTCTCCGACGTGTACGTCACTCAGGTAACCAGAGTCCTTCGGTGGCTCGTAGTGGTTGAATAGTTGAGGGTTGACGGTAATGCACTTGAGTTTCTGGTCTCGGCAATGTCCCGACAGCGCAACGTCGAAGGCTTCTTCGGATGCTTTCGTCAATAAGGGTATCATCTTCTTGGCGCCTTGCTTCGTCACACCGAATCCGAAAGTACAGACGGACATAAGTGACATCTGGACCTGACGATGTCCTTCAACCAGCTTTTCCCTCAAGAAGCGCTTCGACCATCCCGAGTATAGCTCAGTTTCACAACGAGAATCATCCGCATAAACACGAGGAGGGGGGTTTATATCGTCCGTGATGATGGAACCGCAGTGGCCGAGCCATAAAACATCCCAGTTCGTCCCAAATGGCGTAGTGTCCTCTTCGTTAACACCGGTATAGGCCCTAACATTGTCGGAGACCAGTCCCATCTCGGTTTTAATCCGTACATCCCAGTCGACGTCATCCTCCACGATAAACGCAGTCTCAAGCCCCGAGGCTACAACATACTTGAGTAGGTCGAGATGCGACAGCCATGCTTTGGCCGATCCGAAGGCCGGTACCTTAGCGCCGTGGCTTTCGCCGATATTCCTAAAAGCTTCCACTAATTCATCGGAGTTTTGTGCTTGGGGCGGAATGGTGAATTCTAGACCAGTCAAGTTGGCCGCCGCTGCAAGACCTCGAGTGCGCCAGCTTGGTTTGGTTGATAGCGCTACAAGTCTTTCGAACTGCGATGAAGTTAGCAAGCGACCAGGGTTAAACAACTCCAACAAAAGCAATAACTGACACCGAGCGTGGAATTCGCTGCAGCTGTCCTTGGGGAAGCATTTGACTGTGTAAAACTGAACTTTTGTCCCTGTAACGGTGAATAGACTTGGTATCGACTTCCCAAAATCCCCAAAGCTACGACGACGAGCACGGCGGCCAAGATTATAGACCGTTGGTTACGCATAGTATTTCCATAGGCCGCCCAACTCGGTCGTAACATGTCGTGATGGCGGAAATAGGCCTTAAAATGGAGGGTAAAGGATCGTGGACTAAAAGAGAATGTGGATAATTCTAAAGAGCATTTCGTTGCCCATGGGGATAGATGGAGGGGCCTTCGACGGAAAATTCCCAGGCTGAGATAATAACGTGCTGCGCGATCCCCTGGTCCGTTAGGTGTAGATCTGACCCAAATTCTGTTTGCTGTGCTTTGTTACTTTGTAAAAATAGCTGCGCCACTGGAAGTGATACCATGCTACCTGGTATCTTATTGGACACTGTTGACCGGTTATGCATCGCACAATGTAACCCGCGTCGCTCCTAGTTTGTCAAGGTCGTACTAGACCCGTCCTCCCTTCATAGAAGGATTCCTGAAACAATACCTACGCAAGGCTCTGGATTGCTGTCATACCGCTATCATTTATATTGCTTGACGTGTGGTTAAGTTTAAATCCGTGTTGGGACCATTATAGAATTTATCCAGCGCTTAAGTAAAGTGACCCGAATATTTGGTGCAGATTTACGGAAAGTACACATATTTGGCAATTGCTTATTTCAAGCCATCGTCACGCCGATCGCTATCGCGGGTAGTTACACGCGCATGCTGATAAGCATTAAAAGAATATATGGTGCGAAACCGATCGAATTCGTCGAAGGTACGACTATCGTGAGCTCGTGAATCCTTGCCTAAAGAAAGCCCAGTAAGCGAGACAACAGGCTTGGGGGAGGCGCTTCCGGTAGGGGTCATGACCGGCTCAGCTGGGTGCCAAGAGATTGTGCAAATATCCCGGAGAAAATGTTGGTGTAGGTGAGAAAGGTACGATGTCGCTGTGATCCTTTTTCATGCTAGGTAGTCCTACCGGGGTTCGATGCAGGGAAGATTGTGATTCGACTCATTGATATCTGTAGCCTTAGATGTAATTTCAGCGTAGTATCCAATAAACTACGCCTCTCAGCACATTTTACGCAAGATATCTCCTATTTCATGGTTTTGTTCCACATACGCACATCGATCTATCTTTCTTTAGTGTTGTCGTCGTTGTCGTCGGTCGTTGCTCTATTTCCACGAAGTAAAGCGTCGCCGCAAGTCGGTCAGCTTCTTAGGGATGTCCACTCTTTTGTATCTCCTCTTAAACCTGTGCTGTCTGGTCATTGCACAAGACAACCGAGACCCAGATCCGAATAATCAGTTTGTTTTCCCACCACTTCCAGGTCCTCAATACAGCAATGATCCCACAGTGTTCGAAAAGAATCTCAACTTCACGGTTGGGAAAAGCCAATCTCAACCGTTCAAATGGATATCTAATATGACGAGCATGAGTATCATACTCTGCCAGGAGGGGAACCCAGATTCAGTCCAGACACATACAATCACTGGTTCGTTGCGCTGGAGAATATCTGACTCATCCTTTCGTCATGAACTAACGTAATTCAAGATTGTATTGACGGTACTTCGGAAGATTTTTTGTATTGGGATGGTGATATTGGTTCCATTGATCTTAAGAATGGTTCGCAAGCTTATCTAGGAGTATGGAATTGCTCCGACTTCACCACTCCCGTATTCTTTTCGCATTATATGAACCTAGTCGAAGCACCCGCGCAATCATCCACGACGAGTAGCTCTGCGACTTCTAGTTCAAGCACTGCAACTTCCTTACCTACGGCGGCTGCCACAACACCGGCGCCACTGACTACATCTGGAGCGGGGTCCACTGACTCTCAGAAATCGACCGATTCGTCATCTGGCGGTTCGAATGCTGCGGCAATTGGTGGTGGTATTGGCGGTGGCATAGGAGGCGCGCTCATATTGATCGCGGCGGCATTTGCTTTCTGGAAATGGAAAAGCGGAAAAGCCAACAACCAGCAGCAACAACAGCCGACGCAGCAAATCGCAAACTGGGCAAACAACGACTATAACGCCATGTCTGTCAGCTCAGGTTCGAACGTATACAAACTACCCCACCAAACCCCGGAGCTCTATTCAAGTCCACACAGCGTATCAGAACTTCCTCAAAGTGGTGGTGGAAATGGGCCGTACCCTGAGCAACGATATGAAATGTCATCAGAACGGCTCTAGAAATTTTAAGCGGAGGATTTAATAAAAATATTTACGGATATGATGTAAAGATAATTTGGAGGTATACCCGGAGGCATTTTTGCTTATAGATGGAAAAACTTGTATTACTATACTCCATAGATATTGCCACGAATTGAGAAGATTACGGTTCACTGTCTTGCTACAAAGAATGAACATGCTCTGATTATGTCATCAGAAAACAGCGAAGTTGTTTACCTAGGTACTTAACTGGGACGGTTTTGTGAACGAATTAAGTTTACCTTACATGATATCCCACGTTGTACTATAAGCTTAATTGTATGCTTCAAAAATAGCTTCAACTCTCATATTACACTTCGTCAATAACTAATTACAGAGACTCAACTTTTGAGTACAATCTCCCAACCTTTTCCCAAAATAACGACACAAATCAACATTGTAGTATGCGATCACCTCATAAAAACGGCCCCCACCATGATCCAATTTCCCAGCATCCTTGTCATTTCCATTGCCATTCCATTCTTTTTGCGCCACCGCGTTAAAAACTCAGCTATAGTTCAAGCTTCGACATAATCTATCGGACCTATGCTGTTCTGTTGTGGTTATTTCCGACCTAGCCAAGACGGACCAAGACAAAGCAATTCTGTCGAAAGTCCCATCGACATGGCGATTATCGCTTCACAGAGCCTCGACTTGCTTTCTTGGCTTTCTGGGCGCAACAGTGGGGAACGCCGCATTACTAAACAGTCAGTGCGGTATCATTCCTGTGGTAGCGTGGACGCCCTCGGGAATGAATCCATGGTAAAAGCCGATGGGTCAATATGCAGGTGGACGGCACGGCGAAACACGGTACCTTTATCAACACATCTAAGTCTCGAGTGTGTCTCGTGGCAGGGACAGAGACGCGTGACGAGCGATCGCGATTAGAAATGAATGCTTTTCCCTCCTCTTACTTTAAATTGGCGTTATTGGCGCTTTCTCATATAATGGGGGGTTGGGGACGGCAGGACGGGTAACGCACATTGTGAGTGTAGACGTCAGAGGCGTATGCATCCCGGAACCTGTAATTACCGGACGATGAGCTGATAGGCGGGGCTACTACCCGACTGCTAAGGAATTTTCGGTCTAGCCGTTCTATAAGGAAACTCCGGTAAACTATTGGAAAGCCCTCCGCGTGGAAACAAAGACTAAATAGGTCAAGAAGCCGACTGAGACGGTGAGAGTCTTTCGGCGCAAAGAAGGTTCCAAGACCCAGTTCGTGGCGTCGCAAATTGGTTCGAAAATGTAGCAGTCGGGCATGATTCTATTAGGGTAATTCGTCGGCAAGGACTGTATACATTTCCCCCGCTACCTCGCCACTCATTCTAAAATAGTGGCTTTGAGTATATTCTTTATGCTGCCTACTTGAGAAATATGTGCTCCGATTGATATTGGACATATTTCTCGATATGCGATGTCCTATTAGTGCCGATCATAAGGGACTTTCAAAACACATAAAGGTACTAGGCGAAAATCACCATACATAAAACCGATGCTATAAGGCTGTCTCTTGAGACCATGTCCGATAGCATGACTCTTTGGATGCTAAGACAAAAAGGAGGCGGCACAACTAGCACGCAAAGATATAGCCTACGTTTACAAGATCCACATCTCCAGATTTGCCCAGAGGCTAGGTAGAACTCAGGGATACTGTTCAATAGGGTCTACACTCTCCAGCTAACTATGTCGCTGAGAAAGACGGAGAGTTTTTACCAGCACTTTTATATCGCTGTTAGCTTCACACAGGGTTGGCGTATGCTGTCGTAATCGGACAGCGTCTTGTATCAACTGATCATTATATTATCTTGCATGGCCTTGCTTCATGCGATAAAACCATCTATCCAGCCATGGTAGTCCTTTAACATCCTTAAAATGATAACAAATCATAATACATATCCTCCCACTATACCAACGCTATGCGTTCTTCTCGTGCCTATCCAAAGGCGACTCTCTTCCACGGTGGATTCCGTGCTGGGAGGCCTCGTGTGCCATTGACATGCGCCTAATATTCTGGACCCCAGTCGACTAGAGAAATTCCCTTTCCTTTGCTCTCCATTATACATTCGAGTTTATCCTCGTTAGTGACCCAGCCCTGCCGTTTCGTCGCAACGGCATACTTAATCGGGTCGCGCCATTCCTCCCACCATGTCTTCTCACTCTGGACGACACATCTCCGCCCCTCTTCACCATTTCTACCCGTAGCAAATGGCCACACAGCCTTGACGACTTCGTACTTGCTCTTACTAGAGAACAGGGCCGCTACACTGGATAAGAACTTGTTGTGCTTATCCGGGTTCTGGACCACCACCTTAGCGTGCGTGATGGGGAACTGCACCGTGACTTGGCCTTTATAATCCGTGGAGGCGACAAGACTCCGTATTTGGCCGTCTATCCAGTTTGTGTCGAGATTTGCCACGACTCGCTCTAACGTGAAGGTCTTGATAGACGTTGAGTCCTTGACAAAACGCTGACACCACGCCTCTAGCCCAGCATCCGCGCCAAAATCGGGCTTGAGCCCGGGCTCACTCCCGCCGCGGAGGGCAACCTCGTCCCTGCCGACGCACCGTAGGTAGTCAAGACGGTTATGCGGGTCAGTTGCGACGAGAAGATTCATAAGATTCAGCTTGATACTGAAGTCGATTTTGCGACCACGGTTGCCTTGGATGAGAACCTGGGGCTTCGGCGGCACCGTGGCGAGGGACCGTAGCAGCGTAGCCAGAGCTTTAGGGTTCTCAGAGAGGTAGTTAGCTTTACTTGTTATCGTCGTGGTATCTGCCGCCAATTCAAACATCGGCGGGAGGTATTGGCGATAATCCAGAATAGGAAGGCCGGGATAGTATTGTGGGCCTTTCGGTAATTGAGTCCGGGTTGGGTCCATGGAAGCATCCGAAGGGCCGGAATACGGTGGAGGTTGGTGGTGTTGGGCGTGTGCTGCGATCTCCTCGGCGGGTAACTCCACGGCATGATCCGGCAGAGCCGCTGCTATGGGATTAGCTGGAAGCTCTGCTGTTGCTGCTGCTGCTGGGGGAGGACTGCTAGGTCCGGCTGTATCTGATGGTCGATGAACTGCCCCGGCCGAGCGTGAGGCTTTATCGGCCATTATGGGTTTCCGATTTACTCCTCCCATGATGCCGTTGTATTGGTATCGTATAATCTAGCAAGAGGCCGCCCGTGATTACTTTTAGGGTATCACCGAGCCCAACCGGCGATCCGAAGAGCGAGTATTGGCGGAAATCCGAAGCGCAACACGTAAGTATCTAGATCTCAAAGGCACATCTAAAACTTAAACAAAAGATGAATTGATGCTATTCATACCACCTCTCCTGGCCTTGAAGAAGAATAAAAAACAAGAAGTTAAACATGTGAAGTGGATTTGCAAGGGCTGAAGCTGAAAAACGATCATCGCTCTAGGATTGTGGCGCAGTCTGAAGTACGACCTCAAAACGGACGAGTCTTGTTGATTAACGATCTTCGGATTGCCTGCTGCCTAGCTAGGACCTAATTAGGTACATATATAGCGCTAGAAGCACCTAATATGGCACCTAAACATGTGCGTAATTCGCCCTTTGATACGCGTACCCACTGAGTCAGCCGCTCTAAGTCTGCCTGTCTGTCTTACTTTAGAATGTTGGGGAGGGATCTCTTCCGACAGCCTCAACCTTCTAGTCGTGGGGGAGTTTAGATACTGGATACGTGCCCAGCTACGTGCCAATCATCGCCGTATTGATATCTTATTGTACTGCAAAGCGAGCCCCATTTCGGGAATAAAACTCTGCTATGAAATACAAATGTAGGTGCAAAACACTCCGTGCGAATCGACAGCTCTCATACATTGGGTGCATATCTTTGAACAAATAAAAGATCCGGAAGATTCGCATTGAAATTTACAGGACCAGACTTAGATGTACTATTTGCTAGTTCAGAAGCAAGTTATCAACCATGTCTACACGCATTTCATCTCAAATTTATGGGCAAGTCAGGTAATTTATTATTACTCTAGTAACAAATCAAATTACGCTTCGGATAGATAACCCTTCACCCTCGCCCCGACCCCTCCTCAATCCCCGAGCGGAAACTCCGGTGACTCCGCTAGAAAGGCAAGCGTCGGACTTTGGGATCGCTATCACATTTTCTTCTGGAGGTGCTCAAACCAGTACTTGGCACCGTAGAGTCCTTCTTTGAGATGGCCAGTGTCCATCCCAAGCAACGTTCTCTCAAGTTCCAATTCCTTGCGGGCGTAATCGAGAGCCTTCGCCCGATTGCAACCATCAAGCGCATATTGTGAGCATTCGCGGTACACTTTACACAGTTCCATACCGTGTAGATTCTGTCTTCTCAAAAGCCGCGCAAGTTCTTCCGCAGCCTTCAGGGCCTCTCTAGCTGTCATAATTTTTGGAATTCCGTGGTTGGCTTCGAAGTTCAAGTCTTTAGACGCGCCACATGTGTAGGCCGCCAAAGCTTGGTCGAGAACCACCATGCGATACCGCAGTTGGTCGGTCTGTGACTTGGTACAAGCTGTGCAGTCGCAAGTGATACCCCATGTCGCAGACAAAGAGAATGCGCGCTGTTGGCGGGTCCGACAGACGTTTCCAGTATAATCCACGTATATCTGGTCGCCGGCTTTAATATCGTGGATTGCGTGTATGGTCAACCTCCCGATGGTTGGATTCCATGAGTTATGGGCGTTGGGAACACATGAATGTCTGACCCGACTGTACAAGGAGAAGACGCCCTCGCCATATTTTCCTGCTGGGCCCAGCTGGACGTTGTTGGTAAGGTAGATAGCACAGAGGTTGAGACTCTTCTTGACGGCTTTTTGTAATTTCTTCCCCTGAAGAATGTTCCCGTCATTATCTTTCCATCTCCTAGCTTTGTGGAAACCCCAGACTTCGCGTTGGACATAGGTGTTGTCTTTAATACCGTTTGCAACTGATGGTTGGCAAAATATTTTCACCATTTCGGCGACCGTGGCTTCTGGTAGGGTATTGACAATCTTAAGGAACTCCGACAGTTCCTCGTCGTCCGATACTGGCGGCACCATGACTAAGGGGGCTTCGGCGATGATACGTGTGCCACGGCGGATATTCGTTGTCGCGAAAGCCGCTTCATCGCCAGCGGATCCGATCTGGCGGAACTCGGCCATCGCTGCATACTCATTAGCAACATGGATACCAATATCCTACTGTGTAGGACTGGAGTAAGTGAATATCTTACCTTGAGGCTTTCTTCCGTTCATGTTTACGCGTCAGGAGTATCTGTTAATATGGTAGGCGTTACGATGTGGTTTATCGAGAGTTTCGGGGGGCGATGCACTCCTGGGATAGCAGTAGGAGTTTGTCTGCTTTCACAAATACCTAGGTATCTATAATGAAAAGTCCGCTTGACTTTGTAAGATTAGGAAACGGTCTGGAGTCCATTGATTCCTCAGTAAGTCATTGTCCTCGACTGATTCACTCTAGCAACTCTCAGAACCTAACTAGGTACGCCAGGCATCTAGAAAGTGTCTGCCTGTTTTCTGTGATTCCTTACGGGCGCATATGCTCCTCGATATTGGCCGCCCTTTCTTTCATCTTCCATGGTGGCATTATATCAATGCTTCAAGCAATATCTATTTTGCTTCTGTGTTCTTACTTTGCTGCATCCCTGAAGCCCATCTCTGTAGAATAAATATCGCAGCTTACTCAACCACCACACTCATAGTATTTATACCAAGTGCTTATACAGGCGACAATGTCTTATTTACTTAGGAGGTCGATTTATCATCTTCGTGTTTTTATCCGCTACCCTAGTCGCGTATGATCAAACGGATACTTCAGCCGGAACCCGATGCAAAAAGACGATCATCATGGAGAGTCCAATGAGAGACTACGGGGTCATCTAAAAGGGGAATACTCCACAATTTCACTCGGCGGTTCTAAGAGTATTCTTCATTTATATTAACCTCTATTTCTTTCTTGTGCAGCCTTTTGAAGGTAGCATCGACCGTCGTGTACCGGACCCCAGGACGGGACATGCAATTTAGCCAAATTATGCCGCCCCCTAGACTGGGCAGCGGGTATGTTATCGACGCTTTAACGCAACATGTTTACCCCACGAAAAACCAATCAAATCCGTAAGTATAGAGTATTAAGCGTTCGGGTTGCCTCGCATATAATCGCGTCGAGTGACTTGACAGACATCCTTGTTATCTGTTGAAGCGATATTTAACCCTTGCTGGGCTCCCTATAAGTCTCTGAGACCGGCCTCAACTTTTACTAGAACCAAGTAGACTCAAGTTCATTCACTTGCCAAGCACTTTCAAAATGAGAACCGCAGTTGCTGCCCTCGCCTTTTCTACGCTGGCCGCCGGCCACGCCACGTTCCAAGAACTATGGGTTGCTGGCAAAGACGATGCGTCGACTTGTGCTAGACTTCCGGTACGTTATATCTCATATATCTGACTAGGTCACATATGGAATACCGAACTAACTATTGCGAAGGCAAACAACAACCCTGGTAGGCTTGCGAAACAATAACATCTAACATGAGTGATTCACTGCTAATGGAAGTAATGTAGTCACCAATGTGGGCTCAAACGACATCCGATGCAATGTTGGCGGCACCAAGGCCGCTAGCGCCAAGTGCAGCGTAGCTGGTGAGAACACCCAAGCCTTTCCTTCCATCCGAGTTCTTATTCACTAACAATTTTCTAGCTGGCGACACCGTCACGGTAGAGATGCACCAACAACCCGGTGACCGAGGTATGTTTAAGGCTCTGAACCATTGAGACACGAAAAATCGTATCACTAACGGCAAGGAAGACTGCTCTAAGGAAGCTCTTGGAGGTAACCACTTTGGTCCGGTAATCGTATACCTGAGCAAAGTCGCGGACGCCTCCTCGGCCGATGGATCGTCATCTTGGTTCAAGATCTTCGAGGACGGTTATGACCCCGCCACCAAGACCTGGGGTAATGACAAGTTGAACAAGGGCTGCGGTAAACAAGACGTCAAGATCCCCGCTGATATTGCCCCTGGCGACTACCTCCTACGTGCCGAGACCATCGCCCTCCACACGGCTTCCCAGGCCAACGGCGCTCAATTCTACATGACTTGCTACGTACGTACTTCCACATAAGCCTTACCCTAAGAGTCGTCTTTTAGAATCGGATCATAAGCGCTAACTATGATAATAGCAACTCACGGTTACTGGCGGCGGCTCCGCGAATCCCTCTGGTGTCAAGTTCCCCGGTGCATATAGCGCGAACGACCCCGGCATCAAGATTGATATCTGGGGCAGCAGCTTTACAGAGTACAAGATCCCCGGCCCGGCTGTCTACTCGGGATAGATTCTCTAGTGAAGGATCGCTAGGAGTTGGTGTACGAAGTAATGGTACGGCCATAAGTAGTTGTGTGCTTAGCTATACTTTACTGATGCATATAAACTTTTCACAATTCAAGTATTTAAATATGATGAAAAAGATGTCTACTTTCCTTAGTGCCTTGAAGGTTATAATAGTAAAGATGTGACGTTACCTAGCAATATCTGTGTTCTCTTGTGTATTCCACAAGGAAGCCAAGCCTAGATTTTGAATTACCAGCAATTATCACCTTGCGTATTGCGTCTGGAGCCACTAAGCCATGAACCAGGAACAAATTAACCCGATATGCCGAATCTGAACACGCATTTGAGGGAGTATTCTTGCGCTGACGATACTGGACGAGTGAATTTGTCTTCGGAAACCAGGGACCAAAAGGTATTGCAGAGGACTGAGACTGTGGCGTCACGCTGTTCCGAAAAGGACCGTTTCTAGAAGAATAGCACTCACACTCTCCCACCGGGCGATTCACCAAATCCCGGTGGAAATCGTCATGCGAAGCACTTCTTAATAAGTGTTATTAATGCCGAAGCCCATTATGTGACTGGAACCTATGATAAAAATAGAGTTACCGACATGTTTTTGAGAAACGTCGGGTCGACATGATTCGAGAGTCTTCTATGCTAGCAAACTTGCATTGAGCAATAAGAATTTCAAGGGTCTCGTCTGCAGCATTTTCATCACTTTTGAATAATTATGTTTGGGGTTCATAGTCCAGAAGATATATCGTCGTATAAGCTAGTATATATCTCAGTTGACGATGGCACACTGTATTGAAGAAATGAGAATGGGGAATTGATGTTTTTTTCTGAGTTCAAAATTACAGCCATCTTTCTAAAAACATTACCTCTTGGGGGGGAGGAGTTGATGACATAATCACGATATGATTATGTAATACGATCAGTAGGTAGGTATTTATTATTGCCCCGCCTATTTCTTTTCTACAGCGTTTTCCCTTTTTTTCATCATTTTCTTCTTTCGTGACTAAGAAAGTAATCAAAAATGAGGCCCGCGACACGATTCTTAGAAGTCCATGTCAAATGGAAAGCCCCGGCCTCCAGGACCAAGCCACAGGAAGAATGTTTCGCCCCGTCTCACTCTAGGAGTGACATGCGTAATCAGAAGGTTGATTTCGTTGTAACCAAATGATAAGAGGTGCCGAATGCAGGTGATACCATCTAGAAGGAATCAGATCATGAGTAAGCAGAATATATATCAAAACCAGCCATCTACAGCTAGTTGCGTCTTTTTCACCCGTCAAGTAACGCCAACAGAAGAGAAGTTAAGTGAAAATGGCTGTGCCCGAACAAGAACTGAAAGAGACCATTTCGCCGCTACCACTTCCTCAAGATGTACAGGAGCTGAGCAATGATTCGGAGGAAGATAGTGGACATGCCTCCCACGGTACCAAGCGGGGTATCCGATCGCGTCACTCGCAGATGCTCGTAATAGGAGGTACAATCGGCACCGGACTTTTCGTTGGCACGGGACAAGCATTAGCAACCTCCGGTCCGGCTTTCCTATTCTCAGCATACTTAGTCATCTGTTTTCTTGTCTATGCCATCGTTACGGCGATCACGGAGGTCGGCGCCTATATGCCCGTTCCGGGTATGTCGGTAGCGTATTACGGGAATCGAATTGTATCCCCTAGTCTCGGATTCGCTTTGGGATGGATGTACTTCTATACGTGGGGTATAAGTGTCGCCTACGAAGTTACCGCCGCTGCCGTCGTGATAGATTACTGGCCAAACACCGTTCCTGTGGCAGCATGGATCACTATTATGCTATTTGTTATCATATCGTTGAATCTTCTCCCCGTTGGGGTCTATGGGGAGTCTGAGTTCTGGTTCGCTTCCATCAAAGTGTTCACCATAATCGGCCTCTTGATTCTCTCCGCTGTTCTCTTCTTCGGCGGTGGGCCTAGCCATACTCGCCTGGGCTTTTGGTATTGGCAAGACCCTGGGCCGGTTAAAGAGTACCTCGTCGGAGGCGCTGGTGGCCGGTTTTGCGCATTCCTCTTCACCCTCATCTACTCGTGCTTCAGTTTCAACTTCAGTCCTGAGTTGGTTATCATCACGGCGGGCGAGATGCAATCCCCTCGTAAGAATCTTCCAAGAGCTGCATTACACTTCACTTGGCGTTTAGTCATATTCTATGCCCTCGGAGCTCTTGCTATTAGTGTCATATGCCGAAGTGACGAATCCGCTCTTGCCAACGGCGGAAAAGGAGTTGCGTCGTCTCCGTGGGTTATTGCTATTAAGAATGCCGGGATACATGGACTAGACAGCGTCATCAATGCTGCCGTTATTACCTCAGCCTGGTCGAGCGGTAATTCAGTTTTATATATGTCTAGTCGGTCGCTGTACTCGCTAGCCATAGCAGGAAACGCGCCTCCGATATTCGCCCGTTGCAACAAACACGGCGTACCCATGTACGCCGTAATAGCTTCGAGTCTCCTTTCTTTACTTGCGTATCTTAACGTCGGTACTGTCAGTGGCATCGTGTTCAACTGGTTTGTTAGTGTTATCAACACGGCGGCATTTATCAGCTGGACAAGTTGCTGTCTCATTTTCTTCCGCTTTAGAAGGGCATGCGAAGTACAAGGTATCGCAAAAGCTGACTTGCCATATTCCAGTGTAGTACAACCTTATGCAGCATGGGTTGCCATTGTGGCATTTGGTATATTTGGGTTGCTGAATGGATTCTCGGTCTTCTTCCCAGGGCATTTTACTGTATCTGATTTCTTCGCCGCATATATCGGCATCCCGGCGTTTTCACTGATATATTTTGGCCATAGGATTGTAACCAGAAGCGACCCTTGGATAAGGGCGCCTCGTTCCGTTGATCTTAAGACTGGCTTATCTGATGTCCTAGTGGACGGGGAATCGGAGGTCGCTACAGAGACGGTTGTGGCTCCAACTAAGTACAACAGCCATCGGTGGCTAAAGAGTATATACATTATGTTGGGATGGGACTGAAAGTTTCGCCTCTTGATTCCTATTGCCCGCATGATATCCATATACTTAAACTACACAAATGATCACTCTGTTAAAAGAAAATATCTTTTTCTCGCCCTATTACCTGAAGGCGGGAGCGGACCCTGCGCTATTTAAACTAGGATTCGGACCACCGCGAAATAATAACTAAACTCCCGAGTTGTCTAAATCAAATAAACAAGATAGACAATACCCAAGTAGATTTACATAGCAGTCCAGTAACCTCAGATGTGCAGCGAAGCAATTGACTGCAGTCTCGCGACTTTCTTGGCAACTTGGCCGCTTTAAGACCCTGCTGTTACTAATGAGTAACTAGTGCTACATTATACCATGCAGACTATAAAATCACACAATCTCCGATGCCAGCTCATATGCAGAACTTCCCCACTTCTTCATCAAGGCCAGCATGACTCACCATATACCAAAAGAAACAGAAGGGGAAATCAGGATCGAGGTCATTGACCGGGCAGAAGATGTTGTTGCGGGTTTTGACTGCATGGTACGTATAAAATTATGTTGTATATTCTTACCCCTATTTCTTGGTTGGTCCTTGGCTTAGTTGGATGTAAGATGGTTTTCATTTTTGTCGTTGAAACATCAATTTCTAATAAAAATACTCATTAACGCGTGTAGTGCAATGCCTTCGGCCATCAAACCCGCGATACCCTATGGATAGACCTGAATCCAGGGTGGGACAAACCCGGCCCTGAAGGTAGAGCCCGAGGTGCCCAACTCCTAGTTGACTCATGGCGTAACATAACCCGCGACATCAATGGGAATGATAACACAATCTTTCTCAAAGCGACTCTTCCTAACCAACAAGGAGAGCGCGTTGTCGCCGGTATAGCGATATGGATGCAGTTATCAATGGTCGAGGGTCGCGGGGTGAAGCCATCCGATGATTTGCGCGAGTCAAAGGATCTTGACGTCTTTTACCCGAATAACGAACCTGAACAGCGCTACCTTTGCCAGGTCTACCGCTCGTTTGTGAAGCGCCGGATTGAGGTGGTTAAGGAAAAGGAGTCATCGCAACAACCGTCGTTGATGCATCTCCGATCATGCGCGGTGGATCCGGCATATCAAAGAAGAGGAATCGCCTTGAGGTTGGTCCAATGGGGACTTGACGAAGCAAAACGTAGAGGTGGTCTAGAAGCTATCACGGAGGCGTCTAGCAGTAAGTTAATCCTTTGTCTGACATGGCGATTTTGAATAATGCCTTGTCCTCGCCCCTTTATGCCTATCCATCTTAGGTTTTTACTTCAATGTCTCCGTTCACTTCTTCCTGTGACCTGGGTGCTATGTACCCCTAACGATAACCACGGGTTGCCATTTCTGACGAATTTATCCAGTGGGTCGGCATGTCTACCAGCGCTTAGGCTTCTATGGAGAAGGGCCAGATATGGAATATCTTGTTGATAGCGAATTTGAATCACGAGATAGGCCACCTAATCTCTTCAGTAAGTAGTATCTGTGTGTTCTGCACCCTGATTCGACATATCAGAAAATACGTCACGCCAACCACCCGAACTGTCCCCTTGAAGGTATTTCATTGCTGACTTTCATTGTTGCAGTGCGTACTGGGCCAACGAAGAGCAAAGATATATAGCCGTGTATCCTATCCTTAACAATGTAAATACCATCAAAGAGGCTAGACGATACTTTATTACCTAGAACCCCTAACACGTGCTCTTTAGGGGATGAACAAATATAACAATTGCCTTGTATGGATACACATAATCGCATAGCTATGCTATTGTGCATTCAAACAAGGAGAACAATTCTTCGTGTGCAAAGAAATTCGGCATGTTCAAAGATAGCGGAATCTTTTCACAACAGATTCGCTCTGGCCGGCATGTATATAAGCTGAGCGAAAAGCAGTCAAGTTATGTCTGGAGCAACAGTCTAGTATCGATCAAAGTTTCTAGTTCACAACTTATTTATTCTTCCAATCCAAGTTAATTATTCGTATCAGCGACTAACTTCCTCCCCAGTGTCAAGATGAATCAAAACGATACGGACGATAAAATCGCCCATGTCGAGTCGGATCTCGTGGATATTACCAAAATCCTTACCAACTTCGAGGAGTCTAGGATTATGGAAGAACAGTCTACCAGGGATAGTTTGGACGTTGTGGGAGCTAACGTCGACTCGATGAAGAAAGAGGTTTTAGAGCGCTTAGACAAGATGCATGATCCCAGGGAAGGGACTGTCAGTGGCGATTTCGAAATTCTACGCGGTAGATTCGACATGATAGAAGGCCTAGTAAGACAGCTTCTTCCACCATCGCACGGCAGCCCGCCAAGGAGCGCTCCCTCTCCCGCAAACGTGGATCACACGGCAAGAAGCGCTGAACTGAAGACCCTCAAAGCCGAATTAAAGAAGGCACAGAAAGATAGAGATGAGTGGGAAGGCCTTTACCAAGACTCTGAAGAACGCCGAAAACACCTAAAGGTGAAACTCGAAGACCAGAGAAACAGGGGTCGAGTCATGTTTGAAACCCTGTCGGCGATGAAAGGAAATATTCGGGTCATGTGCCGCATTCGACCTGCTCCTCATGGTACTCCTCAAGAAGAGCTTGCCGATTTCGGAAAGCCGATAAAGAGCGACTTGACACACCATTGGGGGACTTTGCGCATCCCAACAGAGCGAATCGACGTCACGGGTGCCCGAGTAATCGAAGACAAGCAATTCGAGTTTGAGCGCGTCTTCGGGCAGAGGGATTCGAACAACGACGTTTTCAACGAAATCAGTGACCTCATAGAGCACGCGATGTCCGGCCAGAAGGTTGGACTCTTTGCCTACGGACAAACTGGATCGGGTAAGACGTACACCCTCAGCCACAAGCATCCCCAGAACGAACTAGAGGATGGTATTGTTCCTCGAACCATAGCTCGCATGTTCGATATCATGAATACTACGTCAGACGAATTTAAGTATGATCTTCGTATGTCCGCTATAGAGATCTACGCTGATCGTATTTTCGATCTCATGCGAGAACCTCTTCCCTACGGTCCTAAATCCGAGATCCGTCTAGATGAGGCGCTATTTGTGCCATTCTCACAGCAGGCTATAGCAGAGAGTATGTTTGAGAAGGTACTTGCCCTAAGGGCAACTAGCTCTACAGCCATGAACGAGACCTCATCTCGCTCACACCTGATCGTCTCGTTTAAAATCACTCGGGTGAGAGTCAAGGGAGGAGAAAAAGAAGAGGGACTGTTCAATATAGTGGATCTGGCCGGTTCGGAAAGATCTGCTGCTGATGGCTTAGAGGGTCAGCGACTTAGGGAGGGAATTGAAATCAACCAATCCCTTCTTTCTCTGAACTCTGCCATCACGGCCATGGCGCATGGGAGAGTCGCTGCTTACGACACAGCGCTTACACGCGCGCTGCGACCAGTGCTCTCAAGTGACTGCAAGACCATGATGTTCGTCATGGTCAGCCCCTTCAGGGAGGACTTTATTACCACAATGCAAACTCTCCAGAAAGGGCAGGAAGCTACCAACGCGAAGCTGGCTTCCACGAAGAGAACCAGCAGGACTGGACCGCGACCGACCTCTATGCATGGCGGGTCCAAACCGTCGGCATCCAAGATGCCTCCACCCGCCAGCAAGCTTCCAAGAGGCGGTAGTGGAAGAGGTGCTGGTGGAAGCGGTGGCAGCGTCCTTGGCTCTTCGCGGGGTCGACCATCGTCATTCAGGGGAGGTCGAGATGAACCTGGATCTTCGCGATGATAGTCACTTTCGTAGTCATGTTCGTGACAGGAACGAAATAGTGGGACGAAAGAGAGTAGGTAGCTAGAAAAGAGATAGAATCTCCGGGCCTTGAGTTCCAAGGTTTTCAAGTACTTTCTTGGCCTACTTGGTCGGTACTATTGTTACCAGATGTATTATTACATATTGTAAAAAGGGGAAAAAAAGAAGAAAAGAGAGAAAACTAAGAAGAAAGATTTATGTTTTAGTTAGGTAGTTTAATAGTTTAAAATGTTTTTTGTTTCCTCGCATAAACAATTTCCGTGCCTATCTATGCAAGCTTGAATGTTAAATTTTGAATAACCGTCAGAAATCTGAGTGAATTGACTTCGACCATTACGAAAGCAGCTTAGTCATTAATACATTACCTCATACCCTCGTACAAGCCAGCTCGTTTCGGACGTTACACATGTGGCTTTCGGACTATTGCGTCATTATTCGTCATTGTCCTCGAGAGGGGATCAGCTAATTCTTCAACACAACATACTATTTGAACGAAGACAACGTTTTTGTGAGAAAACTTGTTGATACAAGTAATTGGCCATTACCAATTGCAAATACGCAAGGTACAAATCCCCATTGCTGAGGTATATACAGTAATGTACAGAATATTAAATAATGATACAGATACAACGCCCGGGATACTAAATCATCCATATGCGATCATGACCAGAAAGAAAATGCTCGAAACTCCCAAATTCCCAACATGAACTCCTTGATTCCAAACAAACCCTTTTTAATAACCTAACACATTAACAATTAAGCAAAAGCAGCAGCTATGACGTCGGTGCAATCCGTCAAACTAGCTTCGTCGTTGCCGAGGAGACTCAGTTTTTCCATACTACATAGAATTATTAGCGATTAGACTATAGTAATATGTTAAAAAGAAAACTCACGCAGGCACGAACGCATCCGCCCAGGCCGAGGCATCAGCGCCGAAAGTATTCCAGTCACCACTGGTCTCCGTCGAGTTGCTGAGGGACTCATCGCTGTTGAGACTGGCCGGGGCAGTTCCATCAGCAGTCTCAGTGTAGAAGTTGGTGTCCAAATCGTCAACAGTCGAGTCGAGAGCGTTTCCGTTGAGATCCTTAGCAGCGCTGTGGGCTCCAACAAGGGCAACCAGCTCGGTAGATGTGAATCCCTTAGCCGCAAAGGCAGCAACTATCGAAGTAGCGTTGTCATTAGGTCCAGGCATCTGGCCTGTTGGGTTTGCTGTAGATGAATCTGTTCGGCCGACCTTAACGGATATCGCGGGCAGACCCGGGCAAGATGCTATGGCGAATGCTGTTGTCGAATATTTGTGAGCTAGTGATACAATAAAGGGGGTAGTGGGATAGTTTAGGTACTCACCAGCAGCAAATTGGATCAAATCGGCAGTGCCGACGCTAAATTGTGTTGCTTTATCGCCAAGGGATGAGCATATGTCGACCATCTGAGCGTTCTCGCCGCGGTCGGTGCACTCGTCAGCTAGAATGATCGATCCGTCACAAGAACCGGGAAAGCAATCGTGGAAGGCAAGACGAATAGCTGCGCGAGCATCGTCATTGCAGTTGCCAGAGCTGTCTATGAAGCTCGTCTTGAGATCAGCAGCAACATCCGTCCAGGCTGCTGGGCATTGTGCGCTGACAAGCCCGTAATTCGCCACGAAGGCAGTGAATAGTATCGAGGATCTAAGGGAAAACATGTTGTATGTGGTACACTAGTGAGTGATCTTGTTTTGTATAAAGCGAATGCTAAGCAATGATATGCTAGAAACAGCGAAGAAACGATGGAGACGAAGTAGATCTTGAAGATGAACGATCGAATGTAACCCTTGAATGGCCAGCCTAGGAGTTAAGATGATGATGGAAGCTGAGAAAACTTGATGTGGTGCTGCTCATCTTGGGAGATATTGGCGTCTCGTCTCCTGATACTTATATGTGGGAAGCATCTCTTACCAGCGTGCTCCTAATCATAGTCATGATACTATGGCCCTTAGACTCCCTTCATACTAGCAGACCCTACATACAACTTACAAGGTAGATATCGCTTTGGTCCCTCAAGGATGCTTCCCGGGAGGCATCCGAAAAGGTAGCAAAATGCCGAGACCTGGATGGAGCCACGCAAGCGGTAGCATGGGAGCAGCCGAGATGTCAAAAAAAACCCGGAACACATATATTTCTTTCACGATATGACTCTATTCGCTATTAGCTAATATGTGTTATCCTTTAAAGATTTTATCGTGATGATTATCGTATATTCATCATAGAATAACAAGAACTAACGGTTACCTACTTGGCACGACGGCGCTCTAAACGGCTAGGCCTATCGTCAAATTCCCTCAGCTAATCGAACGATCGAAGACGATGTGTATGCAGGACTCATTCTGCCACCCGTGCGGAAATGATCAAACCGATCCTAGCGACGATCATAGTCTTGTCACTATGGTGAAAATATTATGCAGGAACTCCTAACTGTGATACGAACGAGTGGTATCACTAACAATAGAGATTGTAGGTAAAAATCTTGGCGCTGTCAGCCCCAGGGCCGTGGGTTAGTAGAAGAGATGAGCATCTCCTAGGATTAGATCTCGGGACGTCTCTGTCAATACTACGTGCTTACGACGACGGAGTGCGATATGTCTGTGTTTTACACGCTTAGACACTTCGTGGGGGAAGTTGTTTCTAACTTCGCAACAGGGGGGACCCTTAAGAGCCTCCAGCGTCAATGTTACCTTAGACTACAGTCGGTAGGGATCGTCAATTTCCCCTAGCGTCAAGATCCTGGCCCCTCATAATATGGGCAGTGGACGCGTGTTTATGAAACAAATTTCGCCTGACCATATAAAAAACAACAGGACGACACAGGCTACCAATGAGGCTTTTTGTTTAAACACCAAAAGCCGCAACTAGCGCTAGCTCCGCGGGAATGATGTCTGGGGTTATGTTCATAGATAAAATGATGTGTAGGATTCTTTATCGTATTATCATCCCATCTAAATTCCTTTGATCTGGACAGGGGTGCAACAAAAAAAATAATTCCTCCAACGTCGTGGTGGGAATACGTATCTCTTCGATGTTATCAGTCCCTGCGAAGATCAAGCACTCCTCCTGGTGCTGCTTCGTAAACTAATAACAATCTACCTTTATCTCGGCGAAATTCGGGGTCTCTTTGAAAATGGAGCAAATCGTCGTCACGATGTTCGTAGTCAATTGAGAGGATTTCGCCTCAAGATCTTGTTCTCATCGCCTCCACATAGATGCAAGCGGTGAGCTAAGATTCCACATGCAGAGCAATCTGAAATACGTGACCATGCTTATCGACTGACTTTGGCAGATTCGCAAATCTCGCTAATGAAGTATATTACGTGTCTTGCCTTAGAGCGCTATGATATAGATATTCCGAGCCCATTAACGGGGCAATGGAGCCCGAGGAAACATAATCCTTCTTTATCAGACTGCTGATAGGTCGAAAGGAAAGCCCAGGTTAAACTACCTAAAGTAGTATTAAAATGAATTCTTGATTGTTAGTGTCAGCAGCCTTAGAGAAAATACGTCTTCCAGTTAGGCGTCTAAAGCCGTAAGCGCCGTTGGGTTTCTGTCTATTTTTCTGACTGTCGAATAAGGGGTTGTAACATCTTGGATATCTTGGCTTAGACTTTACCATAAACTCACACTCCACATTAAACCCCATTCATTGTCAGCTACGACCTGATTGCCCAATGTAATTATTCGAAACCCCAGCTCTATGGGTCATGGCCCGAGCGAGAGCAACGACAGCCTTAATTTCAGCCCCTATTCCAACCAATCATTTTCTATTAATTCCTTGAGTAGATCTTTCATGTACATATATGTTTTGTTCAAATCATACGTTCTAGCTGGGCTCTAGAACTTGACTTGGCTATCTAGAGATATACATAGCACAGATTGTTGGATATCATATCTTAGACTAAGTGCTCGGTAGCTGTTGCATCTCTAAGACAATGGAAGCCAATCCGAGGAAGGGCTTAAACACTTAACGAGACAATAGAGGCAACTCGTCGTCCAAAAAAAAAGGTATCTCCACCTCGTAGCTATGACCAATAAAGCACCACTCATTAGTGTTCTGACCATACCGACGCTATGAAGACCCATATGGGGTCCCCACTTGGAAGTGTTCCGAGATATATGTATGGTCTTAATGTACCGAAACCCCGGTATTCCTAAGGTGCCATTTTGGATACTACCTCGTCGGCATGAAATCGAAAGGTTCGGTTACCGAATGCGAATTCCACGAACATTGATAATGGGGCTACGCGTATAGCAAAGAAGAAATTACTACTCTGTTTTTTTCTAATTTTTTTTCTTTCTCTTTTCCATACGAGACTCGTTCTAAGTCAGAATCCTCCTCGCAATCTCTAGGGGGGCTGATCTGTGAGATAATTACGTAAATCGGTACGCGTCCCTGCAGATAATGCCCAACCGTAACGTGAAGCCCCTGCAGGTCATATCGGGTACCTTACAGAGCCGCATCAGCACAAATCGAAAAAGATGCTAATTGATCGAATGTAATTGGTCTAAATTGTTGATATATCACCTGTAACAAGTGATATGTCGATGTAACTACACGATGTGTTTTGAAACATGCGACGAATTCGGTATTTACTAACTAGCATATACTCAAAATGCTGATCTTGAAGTTCGTTAGTTAGTGCGCGCGCGGTTGGTTATTACCTAGTATTCTTGAAAACAGTTCGCAACTAATGCACAGGCAAATAATTTGACATATTGTTAGCAATCTGCCTCCAGAAATATCATTCTTCGTTACTTATACGTTACAACTCGTATCCGTTTTCGAGATAAGTCCCGCGTCATAGATTAGACCGACTTAACTGATGTTACCGTTTCGGCAGGATCCCATCCCATGCCTCTGATAGATTTGACGAAACTGGGTATACTTTAGCTTTTTCTATACATCTTATCTTTCATGCTTCGTTTAGTCGTTTCGAGTCTCTAAGAGAACTTCCCTCTACCCCAGGGAAACTTTCACATAGGTTCAATACTGATATCTAAAACAGACAGTAAGGATATCGAAAGTAATATGTACTACTTCGGCTCGATATTCATCACATCAGATATGCCGGTCTAACATTGCTACCAGGAGACCAACACATTTTTCAGTGTAATCGTATATGTTGACCTTTCCTCCAAAGCCCTATGTTCTAGACCAACCTATCGACCAAATTAAAGGGTCAACGAGTGCATATGGTTCTATTTTCCAGCTTCCCCAGCTTCCCCAGCGGCGGATTAACCCTTAAGCTTATTTTCGGAAGGATCCCGCGAAACCAACACAGCATGACTCCACGCTCGCAGGCAGTTGGGGCAAAACTTGAGCCCCAAACACCAACAGCAGTCTTGGCAATTCGTATCCAACCTAGAGGGCAGGGACGCTGCCTCGAGGAATATAAACGGGGCCTGTATTCCCTGAGCAAAGAAGCTTTACGACGCAAAAAGACCACAGGCCTGATTTACAAGTTGCTATCCTTCCGAAGAGTACCTATCCTGTCTCGAAGACGGTCCGTTGAGCATCGTAGTACTGCCACTTCGGGAGCGAGCACGTCGAAATCGTCCGAGAAACGTACAATTAGTCACTATGGAAGTTTTAGTATACACACGAAGGATAACTCTACCTTCTGCTAGAAAATTGCAGCCCTAAGATGACAACCAAGGTAAGACAGATTATAGTGGTCTGAACAGTGAACCTATCTTAGTAAGCAAGAGATAGGGGAGAGACGATGACTAAGGGATAGCTCTGTACGATAATACATACAGTTAGTAAGCAAGCACCTGAGTCATCATGAGCTCCATTAGCTAAGGCACTTGATTATATAAGTTTCACAATTAGTAATCTGTCTAGACTTCATGCTTGTATTCAAATAGGGCAATATTAGCTAATCTTTCCTTAGGTTCATATGCTCTTCGGATCGCATCTCCTGTTTACTTACATATATAAGTCTTCTTGGCCCTTATTGGCCTCTTAGTGGTTTGAAGGAAGATGACGTTGGTATTTGGTCGTGTAAAGGTAAAGGAACCAATGAAAAGAGGCAGATCGTATGATTTGAGAACGTCACCGCGATGAGAAAACTGCTTCATAGGAATTCATTTATTGGGGCTACGGTAAGCCCAATTCTATAGGAATGGCAAAACAGAAAACCATCCGCGTCATCATGACGAGCCTCCAGCGCAAAGCGCAACTACGCATGCTCGTGTAAGCCGACCTCGAACTCTGTGGGATATCCTCTCTCAGCCTTCGTCACGTTCGTATGATCCTCTAGTACACATATTTTTATCCTAACTCAAACCTCTCAACGCATTATGTTTGCAAACAATTTAGGCGTGCTTCTTGAGGATGGTGACGAGAGCGTTGGGGTTGGCTCCGACGAGCTTCTCAGCGGGCTCTATGTTTCCGTCCTTGAAGAGGAGGAACGTGGGCATAGCGGTGATACCGAGCTCCTGGCTCAACTCAGGTAGGTCGTCCACGTCAATCTTGGCGAAGTGAATGTCCTTGAACTGTTCGTCGTTTGAGTGGCTATATCACAATTACCAATTAGCGATCCATTTTCCAACGCATAATATACGTATATATGTGGTAGGTTGGTTTGCGCAAACTTTGCGAAACCGAGGTGTTACTTGTGAGGGATTTCGTGGATTTGCACTTACTTGGCTAGGATGGGAGCAATAGCCTTGCAAGGACCGCACCAGGTAGCGAAGCAGTCAAGGAGCACGACCTTGTTGTCCTTGATGGCCTGCTTGAAGGCGTCGGCGCTTTGCGCAATGTTAGCAAATTGTATCACCACTTCGTAGGAAGACAGCACCCGGCTAAGCGGGGTAGCCGGTTTGCGCTGCAGGGGCCCGGAGGACGGTGAAACTTACGTCTGGTAGTTGTGGACAGTCATGTTGGGCGAGGTAGTATGGAACTGGCGTAAAGATGCGATATGCGACGGTCTGTAGATAGATTGTCTGAATGTAGACTGAGCTGCTCGTAGGAAGTTTGTTGACATGGAGAAAAAAATGGAATTGCAAGTGGGCTTTGGATGCGCGGGGCAATGGTGGGTTTATTTATGTATTTTAGCTCTTCTCTCTAATAATTAGGGACAGGAGGGAAGTAAGGCTACGCCAAGACTGATTAAGCTTGGTGTAACCGGTGTGTGTGGAAGGTAGAAGGTGGAAGGTAATAGAGTTGTATAGGTGTTATTGGGTAATTCAGTAATTCATGCGGGTGATTGATATTTCGCAACTGATGGAAGGCACGGCAAGACAAGGCGTTGTAAGGTACCTACCTAACCTAGCTAATCTTTAGTTTGATGATGTAAATGTTTGATTTGTAAGTGTAACTGATGACGTGATCAAACCTACATGCATGCTCTTTAGGGTCTTTTGGGGAGGTGCTTCTGTGGCTTGCTAACGATTCCAGGGCCTTGAGGTTGGGTCCGTGGCGCTCAGTTCAACTAAAATTGTACCTATCAGACCTGCCAATGACCTGCAACATTTCCCCGAACAACACCGACACCAAAGTTTTATCACTCAAGATTCCAAATCACGTATTTGACTATAGGTCCCTGTTTGGATTAGTGATAGCCATTATTTTCCAAATCCTCGGGATTTGAAATATAACCTCAAAATAACTCTCGCCCCTTATAGTGGTATTGATCAAGAAATTGTCATGTGGTAATGAAAATAGTCACTTACCATTCACACGATCTTGTATTTCCCCTTTTAACATTATTTGGTTCATCACACATTGAAATGGCTGGCAATCTAGAAATCAAACGAACAATAGTATTACTGATCTTACCCATTAGAGCATCATAATAGGAGTAACTGTCTTAGCGCTTCCAGATTCACTGTGTAACAACCCCCTTACAGCTAGCCAGAGACATCAACATGACAAAGAACATACTTCAACCACACATCTCAGCAACATGCAGAAACAAGACAACATCGAACTTACACGATCACATATTCATGCACTTCACGCAGACCTCGTATTAAGAATAACCTTTTTCTTCTTTTCGCTCGCAACCCTACAAGCATTATACATCATACATGTACATACAACATGACCAACCTAAGCTTCCAATATTACTTACGGGCGAGGCAAGGGTATAATGGCCCAAGTCGGCCTCTCACACGCTCTCTCCCTCCTTAATATTCCCATCCCATCCCATCCCATTCCAATCAATCAAAAACTAAACACCTTCTCTAGTTGGTTTTGAAAACTTGCACTTCCAATTTTCCCCATCCCGAAAACACCTAGTTCGCCTGCCGTAGCTCGCCAACTTGGACCCGCTCAAACCCCGAGCATGTCTATTCGAAAACAGGTTAAAATGCATCGCAATGAATTTCGCTCGCATACCGCTTAATTTCGCACGCCGATGTGAGAGCGAAAAGCACACACATAACTCCAGTGGAAAGGTGTTTTGGGTCCGATGCTTTCTTACATAGCATAGACCTTTTACTCCTAATTATTCTCTCGGCCAAGAAGTCAAGTGAAGTCGAATAGACATGGTACGCGCTATCAAAATTTAGGTAGGTCAGTGTATGGAAGACAACATCCATGCATCATTGTAGGCACTTCTCTAGATGCCTATGAAACTGCACTTGGGCAGAATATGAGTGGTATCAAAAACAGGAAACCCGCCGCTAGAAAAACAAACAAATCCCAGTGGTATCGCAGTATATCGAGAACAGAAAAATAAAATAGCCCGCATTAAATTCCCCCTCAATGTATTCCCTTTGTTAAGTGTGAAGTAGAGAAGCCGTCGGGATTGCAACTTGCTATAGTGAAGAAACTCGCATGCTCATTTCGAATAAAGGGTCGAACTTCGAAGGGTAGTGAGGCTGAGGACGTATTGGTAAGAGTAGATAATTCGGTTCGAGTAGGTGGAGGGTGTCGATTCGATATTGCGATAATTTGGCCAGGAGATAGATAACATTTTGTGATCTTTTCAACTTTTTTTTTCTGTTTGGCAATTGTGTTGAGAAACAGTAAAGGAAATGTTGAAATGAGTGAATGAAGGTCGGTAGCTCGAGTGTAAGAAAATATCAAATGAAGGTGGGCGAAGCGCCATTGGCGTCTATCCGAGGGTGCAAGGAAATGGTGAATGATTGTAAGTCATATCTCCTGGCTAATATCGCATATCTTTCGTATGTTCCAGTATTCGGAACCAATTGGTCCAAGTCAGCGCACAGAACTACTGGGTGATGTTTGTCTGACTCCTTCGGTTCTCGCCAGATGCACGAGGTGAGATCTCAAGCAACTTGGCACTACCAGCGCTAAAATTCCGAGCATGGCCCTTGTCTAAGTTGACGCTTCTTGCCCTTTGGGGTTGTACAGGACTCTGGCCTTCCTCATCGTCACTATACTTCTCGAGATCTTTGTCCTCTTCGTCATCAAAGGTCTGAAGGAGTCCTTCTCGGCTTCGCATGGTGTCTCGATGGTGCATAACGGTAGGGGTTTGGCCGACTGCGCCCCACTTGGCTTCGCGTTCTTCGTCTTCTTCATCGCTACTGGGGCGAGCCTCGCCAGTGGACTTGCGGCGAGACTCTTCAGGGACTACGCTATTCATATATTCATCTTCGACAATATTCTCATCGTCTGACGCACGTTCTTCGGATCCACCAGAAAATGGCGGTTGGGTATATTGTTGTAGGGAATTCCTTATGCCTGATGAAGCTCGCTTCCTGCTGATGCGACCAGAGAGCCAAGACGCTTCCGAATCAATAGAGGCGAGCGACATGGATTGTGGTGCCGGTGAAGCTTGGACTTCGTCGCGCTGCCAAGAAATGGGGGTTGCTCGCATAGCCTCGTGGGACCGACGGCCTGAGGTTGGGGTATCATAACGCATTTGAACATCGTCGGGGATGGCTGGCAAAGGCTCGGTCGGTAAGGGTTCGGCTTCAGGGGACGCTACACGCGAATCTGGCGGGGAAATCGGTAGCTCGGGAAGATCCTCTCGGAAGCGAGACATAGTTCTCTTAGGAACGCTGGAGCTAATCTTTCGTGGGACAAAATTCGTGTGAGCCGGTGGAGGGCCAGCTAACATGGAATCTCGTGAAGTGTTCGAGAATGACGAAGGACCGCCAGAGTTGCGCCTGTTCTTTCCCCATTTAAAGAATGATCTCCATGGTCTCGAGGAGCCGCTATCCGATGCTCGGGACGCCCTAGATGCTCTGCCGCCGGACTCTGCGTACTCAGGCTTGGTGGGTGCAGGAGATGGTAATTCAATATCCATTCTCGTCTGGTCGGACTCCTTTGGTGATTTCGAGCGCGACTTCCTTCGAATGAAATCCAAAATTCTTGGACTCGAAGAGCGCGAGGAGGGTACATGTTCTGGGATAGATTTAGGAACAATTACAGACTCGGGAGCTTTAGCTGGAGTAGACGGCTCTAACGGAATGCTTTCCGTGCGGTGAAACTCATCTAATGGTTTAGGGGAATCCTCTCGTTTTTCAGGTTCCTCCTGTTGTCCGCTTTGTCGACGAGTCGAGTCATTAGATCGCCTTCTTCTCGATGATGTGATAACTACTGAAGCCGGGTCGCGTCCCTCGCCGGACGCTTCACGGCCTAAAACACCCCTTTCCAGATTTTGGGGTGGTGGAGTGCCACTTTTTGTGGCCTCAATCTCTGCTGCTCGTTGCTTCTCTGCTTTCCTAGCAAGACGCCTTTCTATCCTCTCGCGTTCTTTCTCCTTCTTTCTTTCCCTCCTTCGCTGGTCTCGCTCCATCAACTCCCGAAGACCCGACGCGTCCAAGTCATCTGCCAAGTCGTCGATCCTCTTGTGGGCCTTCAACGTTGCCTCGGGAATTGTGCCTCTATCAGCAAGCTTACGTCTTGTCGACTGAGACCGCGTTAACCCGGCACCAGCAGCCGGCCCGTAAATTGGATTCGAAGCACATCGTAGTGTCGGGCGAGGTGCGAGTGCTTCTAGGGCAGAGACCTTCCAAGAAAGTTGCTCGGAGTCTGATGACATGGCTGAATGAATAGAACCAGGGAGAGGTAACGAAATATCAGAGGGTTGTTCGTCCCAGCTTCTGTTCGGGCCTGGTCTAGCTCGTTTGCTCTCCCTTTTCATCGGGCGGCCTGCTGTCCACATATCCGTAGCAGGACGTACTGGCATAAATTGGCTCATGGCTTTGATTTCAGCTTCCCGATCATGGTCCTCCTTCCGTCGTTTGCTCGACTTCTTTCGTGGTAGAGGCTGACCCCTCCGCTTATTTCGGGAATTGTCATGGTGCAGAGTAGGTACTCGAGTTGCGAGGTCATCATTGGATCCATGATTCCTTAAAGCATCGTCCACAGCAGCCGAGTTGAGTGTAGGAGGCATTGACGCAACCGGACCTTTCTTAGTCTTTGTGACGCGCAAAGAATCTCGTCGACCTGGAGAAAAGCTGTAGGTACGGGGCCGCCGTTGTAACTTGTTGGGACCATCTCGCTTTCCTCTTGGGGCCTCGGGGCCTGTCGCAATATTGATGGGCTCGGTTTGACTTCGTGATGGCGGTTGGTATTGACGACCACGTCCCGTAGTATCTGCGTCGGAATCGGCGGCAGGTGTTCGGGAACGTCTACGCGAGCCCCTGCGACGGAAAGGCCACATAGCCATATTTCCGGAAGTCGAGGGTCGTCAATCGTCCTCGGCTATTGGAAATATTGAAGAGGCTATATCGCGTTTCGCGACTGGGGGTTCCTGTCGATGGTACTGGGTGATGATGGTTGTGGAATGATTATCGCCATGGGCGCGGATTAACTCGAATTATGCATATAATTAGTAAAAGGATCGAACTGAACGCTACCAGCCAATTCGAATCGTCGAAATCTAATGTCAATCAATTCATGCACCTTGTTATGGTGTGCTGGTCGAATTGAAGCAATCCCGAGGATATCGTCGCACTGCAGCAATCAAAGGGGTTATGGAACGCTGGATATATCGACGCCTGTCTTTCTGTCGATCGTTCGCGTTAAAAGACCGTATGCGTAGCGATTGCTGACAAAAGGGATAAAATTGTTGATATTAATCTTTTTTTTTTGTTGTTCCTTAGACGCGAATCGCTTCAATGCGTTTCCAGCGCAGGCATGAAGACGGAGTTTCGTTCGTGTTGGAATGCTGCGAGTTTTAGATTGGGCTCCAGAGCTAGTGGTGGTTCGAGGTGGTTCAACCTTAGGATTGAGGGACCTAGGGGACCTTGGGAAATACTAATAGTGGGAGGGGGAGAGACAAGACAATCACCTGGGTGAAATCGGTAGAGGGAAAACCTGTGGCGGTCGGCAGTGGGGAATTACTAGGTATGAATGAACAGCACAATGAACTGACACGGGGGAGGGTGGTAAGGGAAAAAAAAAAAAAACGATAAAAAAATGGGGGGGGGAAACCTTGGAAAAGAGGGAGGCGTCCGTTGGCGACTGCTATTTTCAGTCGGTGCGTGTGGCAGGGAATGGCCGATTAAATGGGCTTTGCGAAATGAAGTCACACCCAGGGGGGTTACCTAGGTACATTATTGTACCCTTGGGCTGAATGCTAACGGGCTGACGGGTATTGTGGACAATCACCTTTTGAGTGGATCCTTCTATAGATGATGTATACATTTGGGGATAGGCTACGTAATATGAAAGTACCGAATACGTCGTAAACACCCTAGTCGAAAGCGTTTTAGCTGACTTCCGTAAAGTCACCTGTTACATCCCATTAGGTATTCCCGGGATGTATCATTTAGTTGACCATCTACTTGTACCTACATTATGCATGTAACATCCGAATCGCTGACGGCCTGTCCTCTCTCTACGTTATGTACCAACCCAACACTGAACCTATCACCCCATCCGAATCCAATATCCTATTAGATATGGCGTTGTTGACAGGGAACAGATTGATGGAGAAGAACAATTTAGGTACCTGGTTAGATTTCGCAAACTCTCGGTTCGTAGAAGGGTCAAGTTGCGGATGTGCCCGATAGGAGAAGAGAGAAGATCCATTAATGGATGAGTCTCTGTTTAAGACTTACATACAGAATCAACCCTAAAGACGAGGGGTAAGAAGAATGTCCTCAACTTGTTCCTGGTATGGATCATGCTCTATGAAACAAGTCGTTGTCAGCTAGGAGGTACGTAGGGATTGCTTATTACATGCCAATATATCTCTAGTTTATACCATCTAAATGCTTCAGTTATCTTTAGTAATGGCACTATACCTAAAGCCTCTTGTGACTAACCTTCAACAGTTTAAGCGTAAATATCAATGATAGCATGGCGTCGCATAGCGCTGCGGTACTTGAGAAGTAAAGCCGGCTCTTCGTCCAGCTTAGCTCGAGAACGACTAGATGCTGTACATGCCTACATACGTACATGTATGCCAGTGATGTCAGGAACAAGGAATTGCAAGCAAGGTACGATACATAACCGTCGTAAACCTGCAAATTAACGTACCCCAGGTACGGCTTATGTTAGACGAACGACTTCGAAAACATACCATTACCCAGCAGATTTTTTCTTTTCTTTTCCGTAGCGGTCACTTACAAACCCTTTTTGTGGTAGCCTGGCACCCCCGTAACGAAGTACCTAGCCACTGAAAAGCACCGAGTTTTCCCCCTTGTCCCCAAAAAAGCTTCGCAGGGGCAGGACGGGACCCTTAGACAGTGGCACTTAGATCATCTAGCGGTACGGCTTGCCGCTTGGTCCATGCCAACTACATCCACTTCCAGACTCCGTATGATGACGGGCGACACCCATGTTGAAAAGTTTGATTTGGGTCACAGCACATCAGATAAAACCTTCTATGAACAACGACGAGCTCAAGGGGACTCTGTTGATAAGACGGAAAGGGACGTAAGTCTTGTAGCAATCTATTTCACGAGCCGTTCACGTCCATGGCAAATTAGCCTCCTACACGTGCCTGCACAACAATTGTGAGAGGTAGGAATAACAAAGATTGTAATGCTTTGACAGCCTATGCCAAGCGAATATCGGCTTGTTACACGCACGCTTGCAGACGCTAAACGCCCACCGCATCGTCCAGCGCTGTAAGCGAAGCGGGTTACTCTCGTACCTGGCAGATGTTACCAGCAAGGAACCTCGGCGCTGAAATACCTAAAATTGAGAAATGCCTTAAAGAGGCTCGTATTCAGGACCTTGCTAGGGGGGTTTCGCCCTCACAGACTTTGTGACAGAGAACTAGTGTTGTGACATGCATCTATTATTGAATTTCTCGTTCTTTTTTCCCATGTGCCGCAAGCATTCTTTAGTAACAACGGTTATTAGGTGTACTCGAATGTACCGCATTTCTGCGTCGTCATTAATTGGGAGGTAGTACAGTTTGTGCGCTACAACAAGGCACACTTAGCTTCGGGTAGTTGAGCTCTAGAATGGAAATGATAGACGCCTTAATGCTTGAATTGGGATGGTTGTTAGGGGCGGCCTATTCCGTCCCCTGCCTCCGTACGTCACCGCAACTGGAGATGCCGGATCCTCAAGTTACTATTTCGATTTCGTTCTTGCTTTTCTTTTCTCTCTTCACTAGTACGTAAGTAAAAAGACGCAAATGCAACTCGATATTGGCGATAGTCTGTTCGGCTCTTATTGCAAATCTGGATCTCTACCACTTGCATGATGCGGGGGTATTGGTGGTCACTCAAACGGTGCTACTCTTCCCTCTCGAGACTGACACGTAGAAGGTTGTGTGCTTGACACACGCATCTCCCTTGCGCCTGCATGCAAGAGAACGGTTCCTGGAGAGCTCAATGGATGATCGGTCCCAAACGTGCATCCAGATAAGGCCCCGTCCGGCTTCTTTTTCATGTGCCTCTGACTAGAACGGTATACTATGAACGAGGTAGTTGGCCGCTATCCTCGCTATTTACTAGAATTTACTGTAGGCGATTGGATGTTAGGTAGCTTTGATAAGATTCTGCATAGTCGCCGTTTCGCTCTAGCACCTCTGTATACGTGTGTATTGGTAGTCGAGCGAGCATTGTCGAAAACACCACTGTCATACACCGACTTTGTCTGATTGGATGTAAAATTCTGCTCCTGGCCCTGGCAATATGGAAATAAATGATTCGGGCATACGAATATCAAACTCGACATATACAACGAGGGGAGCTGATTGGGCGCTTGACAACCTGGCGGTGGAATGAGGCCCTGAACTGCTATATGAATAAAGCCGCATTGCACGACGGCGATTTATGATTCCTCATCGTGGCTGTAGGATCATAACTTTCGGAGCTGAATCTTACGTGTGTAGCCGGGGCTGGATTTAGATGTCCAGGATGTATGAGAAAGTTATGCTGCTGAGAATGCTTTCGAAACAACCGATGCCCGCCATATCAGCCATGTGAAAAATGGGGAGCCAACGATAGTCGAGAAGCATTAGGATGTTTCAAGAGGTATTTTAATCAACAGCCTATCGCGTGGCCGAACGAAGAGCACATCGCTAAGAACATCGTTAATTAGGATGATCTCCTGAACCATTCAGCCCAGCCGCCCCGGTATAAGGAGATTTCCGATGGAAGATCATTTGGAACCTGTCATAGCGCATAATAAATGATGACATCGCCACGCGGATCTCTATCCCGACCACCAGGGTGTCGACTGACGAAGAAATGTTGTCGACGATCTAGCAATCGTTTGTCGTTGAGTCCATTAGAAATAGCGAAGTGGCATGTACTCCAGCAATACATGTATGATTGAGATAGTAGACTTGCAGATTAGTGGCTCGGCACGTTTTAAGAAGAGTAGAATACAAGGTTAACCTAACCTTAACATTCAAGATTTATCCATGGATTCCGTAGAATCATAAGGTTGAAGCTACATAATTACAGGTACTAGCCTGCCTGTAGAAGGAGGGGCAGGTCGCTAAATTGGAGTGTGCATGGCATTTTTAACTAAGAATTAATCAGGCCAATTAGAATTGATTCCATAGCTGATATAATCTATTGTTTACCAGACCCACATAGCAACCATATCAAAACATCTCCAGGCTCTTTATTCTTTTTACTCTTAGCCTTATGGTCCACTATATTCAACCCAACCGATTGACGACCTGGAACAGATTCTCGAAATAATATCTCCGACTCCGCACTGAAGCTCTTTACGATCAAGAACGATACGAACTCCACAAAGCTTACGTACCTAGAGACGACCACGAATACTCAAATACCGTAATTATGGCGTACAACCCGCGAATGTCGATAATTCCGCCGTCGCAAACGCAGTCGGGGCGCACCCGCAAGAAGGAGGAAGAAGCGGACGCCTTCATGCGGTTACCGGATAGAGAGATTGTCGGATGCATAACAGACATCGGCATCCCATTTACCGTTGCCGACCTACAGAAGCCGAATCCTCTACAGGTCCAAATGATCTTCGAGTGGTTCGCCGAATTATTATTGAATGCGACGCGCGAGACCGTTCATCCTGCCATGAGCGCCGCTGCTGAAGATGTTTGCGGCGAGTTTGCCGATATTGTACCCCCCGACACGCGGGACCTTCTAGGATTCTACGTATCGCTGCGCAAATTGCTCCTCGAATGCGGTATCACCGACTTTAGCTTTACCGATCTATACAAGCCCACGCACCCGCGACTTGTCAAGATCTTCAGTTATCTAATTAACTTCGTCCGATTCCGTGAGAGCCAAACAAATATTATCGACGAACATTTTAACAGAGCCGAGCAGACTAAAGCGCGTATCGAAACACTAGATGGCGAGAATAGGGTTATGGAAGAAAGGCTAGAAGAGATGAAACACAACCGCGGTATGATGGAAGCACAAGTACGCGAGAAGACAGAGCGCAACGAGGAGTTGAAGAAGACTCTATTGGAGCTTCGAAGGAACCAAGAGAAGGTCGCAATGCGATTGGAAGAAGCCAAAGAAAAGAAGGGACAACTAGCGCAAAGACTCGAGCAAAAGACCGCTGATAAGATGATGCTTAAGCAAGAAAGCGCCAAGTTACGACCATATACTCTACAGAGCCCTCAAGCACTACAGACAAGCCTCACGGAACTCAACAATACTCTCAATGGGGATAAGGCACATATAGATTCACTCGACCGACGAGCAAGAGCACTCCAAACGTCAACAGATTCATTCGGGGTCGTAGCAACCGATGTAGCATCGTGCATTAAACTCCTCGACGAGATCGCCTCGGAATTATCCAAGGAAGAAGAGGAGAATGCTAGAAACGCCAGACAACGAGATGCATTATCAGAACGTGGCAATAACGTCAAGGAAGTGGAGAGAACAGAAGCATTGCTGCAAAGGCAATTAAGCAAATGGAATGAGCGTACGGAAAAGCTTCGCGATCAAAGCCGTGAAAAAGCCCAGGAAGCCAAGGAAAAGATGGAGGAGCTTCGAGCGCTACACAAGAAGTTGACGGAAGAACGATCAGCAAAAGGGACAGAAATTGAGAGACGAAGAGTCCGAATTGAACAAACTGAGAAAAAGGTATGCATATTCGAAATATTTACTCATTACTTCGAATGACTACTAACAATGGACTAGATGCTGGATCTCAAGGAGAACATTGAGAACGAGGTCCACAGCGCCTACGATGAGTACCTAAAGATGGAGTCGCACATCAAGCTGTACATTACAGAGATGGAACAGGCCATCTAATTATTCCATCCTGTCTATCTTTTCGATGTATGCATTATGAGGCTATTTCAAGATACCACGGGAGGCGTTGAGGTGTTCAAGATTGACCAAGATTAGGATCAGGCATATATCTGGCATCCCATACATAGGTTTTGCTATTATTATTATTATGATGATGATGATCATAATTTGCGTTTTGACCATCCAAAAGATCATATTCTTTACGCTTTCATATCATGGGTTTCCTCTTTATCCTCTTCGGAAGTTGTATCCCATAATCCACGCTGAAAGCGGAACCATCTTCTCATAACTCTTCCCACTTCTACAGTCCGGCCGGTCCACCCACCTTCCTCCGGATCGGGGCCTAATTTGCGGCCACCACCGCTTAGAAAGGGAACAGCTTCCTTTAGTATGTCCTCGAATGAGGATAAAGAATTGTGTCTTTGGGGCTCGATAATAATCGTCTGCCATGACAATCGATGGCCTAGTTCTACCAACGTAGCAGCAGAATTGCCAAGACCCTGCGCACTCCATTCACTAGTGTCTCGATGGATATCCAGGAACCCGTATAAGATTATGCGCGGCGAGTAATTTCCCGGGGGGTTGAAACTGGCTGGCGGTTGTGGGATCCTAGAATCATCGGGAGAAAAGACGGATAAGTAGGCGCGTAAGTGCGTGACTGTAGGGATGTAGATGACGCGGATGTGCCGCGACGTAGCTACTTGGTATAGTGGAGACGACAGCAGCCGATGCTGTTGCTTGATTTGGATTTCCTCTTGAATGACATCATGAGTATCTTGCGCATCGACGGGCGAACCACTTTCCGTGTATTGCTCAGCTGGAATTATGTCCTCCGCAGGGACAGTTTCTTGGTGTACATCGTCGGCAAGGGCAGTTAGAAAGTCTAGCCGAGACGAACATATAATAAGCGTAGTGGGGTGAGCATGGTGGTTCAGGATATAAGTGAGAAGCTCAGAGGGCAATGCTGGAGAGAGGAATAGGAAGGGTGCCGAAGACATGAATATTGCGACTTCATCATACCCATCGCTAGGACATGGGACGGATATATACCCAATAAATTTTTAAAATAATCATTCGCCCAACTTTGGCATATTGAAATTGAATTGAGCTTGAAGGTTTTAAGAATGGTACGTGGGCAGCTTTAGCCTTTGACGCTTAAAACAGATATTAGGTAATCATGACATCTCGTTCTTGGCATATATTACGCTTTAATAAAGAAAGCCCTTATACCTACGGTAGCGGGTGCCTTAATCTCTTCTAAATGCATACTTGTAGCGCGTTCATCGTATTTTCATTGCTTTATAGCCACTCCGCAGTCGTCAATAAGTCTATGAAGCAGTCCTACGGAATCTACAGACACTAAAAGCTACCCAGCGTATGCTAGTCTATCAGTAACTAGTAAAACAAGTCGCCCAGGGTCATTGAAACGGATCTACATCCTTTAATGGTAGAGCTGAAGTCGCTACATCGAGTGAACATGGTCCAAACCTGGCAGTATGAGGCGATTTAGTATACTATTTAAGCATGAGCGGACAATGACCCAATGATAAATACCTGTGACTGGTGACTGTTACCCGGTTGAGAGAAAGTTCGCCTGCTGCACACTTTCACTCTATTCTAACTATCGATATGGCAGCAGAGAGACCTACCGTTGTCATTGTACCTGGTGCATGGACTGTACCTGCGGCGTATCGAAAACTAGTCGATGTTTTGAAAGCCAAATCTTTCGACGTTCGTATCCCGGCCTTACCAACTAATAATGGGATTCGACCCCCAAATTCGTCTTTTGAGGCCGACGTGGCTGCTGTGCGAGCGATTGTAGAACCACTTGTCCAAGATAGCAAAGAGGTTTTTATGTTGATGCACTCCTACGGTGGCTCGGTGGGTACCAACGCAGTTGGGGGACTTGCTGTAAAGGACCGTCAAGCGAAGAACCTTCCTGGTGGAGTCGTACATTTGCTATACCTTTCTGCGTATCTTTTGGCGAAAGGTCAGAGCGTCTGGAAGGTGGTTGAGAAATCGGGAATAATGGAAGAAGTTAGACCACATATTACCTTCGAGGAGGATGGCACCTGGTTCCTTGGCAATCCTATTTGGGCGATGTATCATGACCTCGATCCCGCAGACCAGGAGGAGCAGAAAAGTCTCCTCCAAATACAAAACTTCTCGGCCGTGAAGGGCGAGGTAACATACGAAGCATGGAGAGATATTCCAAGCACTTATGTTTATACACCAGAGGATCGATGTATGCCTGCGTTGTACCAGGATATTTGCATTGGCAACACGAAGGAGGCTGGCATTCCTCTGAACGTTGTGGTTTTCGAGAACTGTGCCCATTCAGCATATGTGAAACATCCAAAGGAAGTGGCCGACATTGTTGTTAAGGCGTCGAAATCTGATTAATGTCGTGTTGGAATATCGTTTTTCACTTCATATCTGTTCATAAAAGGAGAAATAGTCTCAAAACGCGAATCAATCGACTCCTGAGGCTATGGGGAAGAGGAACAATGTTATTTTCCCTCAAAGGCGAGGATTGATGTCTGAAACAAAGAGGAAGGAGGGAAAGAATAGCATGAGCTGAACTGAATCTAAAGAAATGATTACATAATCATATTATGTCAGCGATAATATGCTGCTAAGCGACTATGAAACCTTGATTATGATACTAAGCACTATTGTATCATGTATCAAAACCATAAATAGTAGTAACGGGAAGACCCCGCCGAAACCTTAGAAGCTCAATAAGTCATTCAATGTTCCGACTTTCTCCCACCAGCGACGTCACGCACCCATTTAAATAAGTTACATACACTTTAATAGACCTAATACCACGCGACCAACGCAACAGCCTACGAGCTGGCTGCGCGTCCTTAACTACACTATGGAGTCTATCTCTCGAATATCTAATCTCCTCGAGAGCGGTAAGGCAGGCCATTTCTGTATATCATAATACATATGACAGACACTAACTTCGCTTTTTTCATAGCTCGGGAGCTCACTCTCGATGCGGCCCAAGCTGCTCGGAGCTCTCGTAGTACCACACGATCCCTACCTACAGAACAAGTGAAGAAACTCCTAGATAGCCGAAATGATCGTGAGGTTCTTGACGGATTACGGCGAGTTATTTCTGTACGAATACCATATTTCCCTTGTCGACTACTAGAGTTCTCCCAACTGATCGATCCTACTTAATCAGATGATGTACCGCCAACAGAGGACGTTACCATTCTTCTCTTCCGTTGTTAAGAATGTCGCATCACCAAATATCGAAATCAAGAAACTCGTATACATATACCTAATACACCATGCCGAGCAAGAACCCGATATGGCTCTCCTATCCATTAATACCATTCAAAAATCATTATCCGATTCGAACCCCCAAGTACGAGCGCTCGCACTACGAACGATGTCTGGAATCCGAGTCCCAGTTATCAGTCAAATTGTTTCGTTGGCTATCAAAAAGGGTGTGGTCGATATGTCTCCTCACGTCCGAAAAGCTGCCGCTCTCGCTATACCTAAATGCTACCGCCTGGAACCGAGCACTTTACCACAATTATTAGAATACCTGACGACCCTCCTAGGCGACAAGCAGTACTTCGTCGCGGGCGCTGCAGTCAGCGCATATATGGAAATATGCCCAGACAAAGTGGAGTTGATACATAAACACTACAGGAGTCTTGTCAAAAAGATTGTCGATATGGACGAATGGAGTCAACTTGCGATGTTAAGGATGATGTCTATATACGCGCGAAAATGCTTTCCGAGACGGACGAAAAGCGCCAAGGCTAAAGACAAATCAGCCGATCTTCAAGATTTCTACGGCGAAGGTGCATCAGATCCCGCATCAGAAGGAGAACAAGTGGTCATACTTGACCCGGATCTTGTTCTGCTACTAAACGGGATAAGACCACTTCTACAGAGCAGGAATTCCGGGGTAGTAGTGGCTGTGGCACGCTGTTATGCGGACATCGGCACTCCCGAATATACGAAGGCAGCTGCTGGACCCTTAGTTGCTCTCCTAAGGGGAGCACAGGACATCCAGCAGGTCGCTCTTTACAACATAGTATCCGTCTGTCTTTTACACCCGGAGACATTCGTCAAGCACGCTTCTCACTTCCTCGTCCGCGCTACTGACACCGCCCCGGTATGGGAACTGAAGCTTGAGGTACTTGCATTAATTTTCCCCCACAGTCCGCTACAGACGAAGAGCCTCATTCTAAATGAGCTCGAACACTTTTCCCGCGGGACGAATAAGTCACTCGTTCGTGAGGCAGTACGGGCCATTGGTCGCTGCGCGCAGGCAGATCCAGCAACCGCACCACGGTGCATGCGACTGTTGTTAGGGCAAATAACGAGTCTCGACGGTACACTAGCGGCTGAATCCCTAACCGTGATCCGACACCTCATTCAGCAGGATCCCCAAGCGCACGTGGGCACCGTTGTGCGATTAGCGAAGAACCTTGATTCAGCAACAGATCCACAGGCGCGCGCAACGATCATATGGCTCGTCGGTGAATTTTCTGGCTTGAATGGAGAGGATAATATCGCGGCCGATGTATTACGCATACTATTAAAGGAATTTGCGGATGAGTCTGAGATCGCCAAGAGGCAGATTGTCCTTCTCGCTGCTAAGGTCTATTTGCATCACATCAACCGGACAACCGAGGAGACGCAGAAATTGGGGGAGGAAAGCCAAGATCAACCTCCCCCGAATTCGGAAGACCATCCTATAGCCCGTCTATGGAATTATGTCATTCTACTCGTCCGCTACGATACGTCATACGACCTACGAGATCGTACGCGGTTGTACAAAGCGTTATTAAGTGTGCCCCAACTCGCTACCTTAACACTACTCGCACCAAAACCTGCACCTCAAGCGCCGAGCCCGTCGGAAACGCGGAAAGGGCTAGCACTAGGCTCCTCAGCTCTAGTGCTTTCTGCTGGTGGAGGTATGGGCGTACATGGCCTTCGCGGGTATGAGCCGCTCCCAGATTGGGTGGCAGAGGGCGCTGAGCCAGACCCGAAATTGCGCAACCAGGACGGAGTCCGAAATGAGTACGGTGAGGAGAAGCGAACCATACCCGCGGCACGTATTCTAGGGGATGCTACGCCGTCATCACAAGGAAGTAGGAGCAATGGGTTATCTTCCTCGGCAGCGGCTGGCACAGGGGCCAAGACTTTGGATGATTGGCTTGCTGAAGATGAGGAAGGGGAAGAGGAGAGCGAAGAGGAAGAAGAATTAGAAGAGGAGTCCGAAGAGGAAGAAGAGGACGATGAAGATGACAGTGACCAAGAGTCAGATGATGAGAAAGCTGAGCTAGAGGGATTTTTGAATCGTTAATCCCAAGCCATTGTTAGGAGTTTTCCTTTCTAATTTTTGCATACTGTGCGAAGGCATGCTGAAGTTAGAATTGTACCGGGACAGGTGCATTGGGATCTACTGCATATCTACATGGAATCGGCTATTAGAAGCATCGCTATCTAGAGCTTTTGTTTCTTGCTATCTTGCTATGTCTATCTAGGTAAAAAGCGAGGTTAGAAATGATCGATAATTGAAAAAATTACCAACATGCGAGATGTCATCGAAGAAATAATTGTGAGGCCATAATTGAGGCTTGTGCATCCTATTTCCATGGGAATATAGGCTGTTTAAAGCAAGGATAACTCATTCATCTATCAATGGGGGGTACTCAAGTCTATGATCGTAAACATCGCTATAGCATCTATGTATATATGTCTACCAGGCAATATCTTATAGAGAAGTAAAGCAAATATAAACCGCTAGTCCAATGCTAATTCTTGACCTGCTCAAAAGAAAAGCTCTCAACACAAGGATCTAATGAAATTCTATACGCTCAGAGCCTCCGTCTTCCGCTCTGTCTGTCCAGCCTCATCGCCCGATACGATAGGCTCGTCGGAGTTCGTCTTCTCAGTTGCTACCGAACCCTTCTTTCGTCGGAAGCGCTGGGCCTCGCGCTGAGCCATCGCGGGGAATAAGAAGCCCGGTGGGAAGAATGTTAGGAGGATAACTGGGATGACGATGCAGCTGATAAATTGTTAGTTGTTTGGTCTCTTATATCTTCACTCCTAAGTGGCAGAAGAGAGATGACTTACAATCCCTCAAGCACGACAAAACTCGGCTCATCCTGCATAATCGGGTTTCCCCAACCACCCGCCATCTCCGCAATACTATCGTCGCGCATTAGTACACATCCATCCCCAAGTTAGTAAGTCGGTACTCACCGGTAAATACACCGAATCAAAATCCCCGCATACGCGCCCGCAACAGCGTACACAAACATTCTAAACCTGCGATCATTCCAAGTAGCCAGTGCCTGCGCATCAGCCTGTCCGCCTTTAACCCACTTCCTAATTCTCAACCAATAATCCACACACATCACACCAAAGAACCCAAGAACCGCGGATTGTAACGCGATACCAGCGATAATCACGCGGTCTCCACTTAGCAGTAAATTCGGGTTATCATACCCGGCGGAGGCGGCTAGACTACCACCGATAGCTTGCAGGATTAAGCATGACACGTCGGCGGGGACGAAGATCAGGGGGTACAGACGTGGGCGCAGTCTTGAGAGGGAGGGGTTGAGGGAGAGGGTTATGTGTTTTAGGGTGAGGTAGATGGATATGCATATCAGCGTCGGCGCGAGGATGATGGCGCAGATTTGGGTCTGGAAGGCGCTGGAGTTCCAGGGGTTCGCGTGCAGGAGGACGCGGGCTACGTAGCCTGGTTATGGTTATTAGTATAATTATAACCAGTTTGTAGAAAATTGCATTGCGCATATCGAACGCATGCAGAGCAAAAACATACCAGCGAATTCCAGAATGCATCCAGCTGTGAGCGCAGCCGAGTATCCCCAAGTCCTCTTCCAAATTCCGGTGACGACTAGGCCGATGACGCACAGGCCGAAGGCGGCGGCGAGGAAGGCGTTGACGCCGAGGTTCGGGTAGTACCCGAGTACTGTTGCTTCGACTGGACACAGAGGGCCGACTTCTGTGCAGTGCTTGAATGATATATGTTGCGGTTGACCCGTGGAATTCGACATCTTGTCGAAGTTCTTTTACTAGATTTCCTTTCTCTTTTCCCCCTTCTTTTTCTCTTCTAGTAATAAAGTCTAGATATCTAATGTCGATCCGATTAAGGGCTTCGCTTTATAAGGGTTCGCGCCCTCGAGAGTAAGCGCTTATATATCGACGTTACAATAACTCTATCGCAAATGGAGGGGCAGAAATAAATAAATGTAAGCAAAATCTTAGAGAGCGGTTATAACAACGAGTCGTAAATAGGATATATTAAAAAGAGAGTAAAAAAAGAATACGACGTTAGTAAGCGAATTAGCAGTTGAATGATAAATTTACAGAAAATATGGGAGCCGCAATGAAATTAATGGACTAAAAGTATATAAGAAATATCCAGCGATCGGTTCTCCATCATGCCATCCATATATCTCGGTATGATCTTGTGTGGGTGGGAACAAAAGAACGTGGGTGCTGCGAAATGGATGGCGAATACGGGGAGATTGACCGTTGCGGAACCTGACCGAATATACGCTACCGACGAGGAGGTTACTACAAAGGGTAAAAGACGAGATAGCCTAGGCCAGCAGGGCCAGCAGAGCCCACAGCAAGCCGAGTCGCTTAGCGATCTGACAAGGCTCTAAGTGGGCTTCTAGAACGCCGATGCCCAGCTCGGTACGCCAACCGAGGAAACGAAACATCATCCCGCTCCTCAGCTATTTAATATTTCGCCATCATCTAGGTGTAATCTAATGGGGGGTGTTAGTTCTTGGCGCATGGGCTGAGTGATCGTTTAGGTAGTTCGATAGGGTATTTCACCTACCGAGTTAGGCACACCCCTCAGGGTATATCAGAGAACTTATCCGCCCGAGTATTCACTTGAATATGACCAAGTATACAGTTAATCATGATAGATGTTTGTCTGAATGGGACGAGAAGAATAGCTAAGTGGCCAAATAGCCAGTCAGTCTAGTTCTGAACGGATACGAACATGACTAGAATTTGGAAGCGTTCAACCCTCATGATGCTAAAAGATGAAAAAGATTGGAACCAGGAGATTAGAAAGGATCCATATTTCAGGCGGAAGAGGCAGCATCCGGGACGCTACGGCCTTAGCCTGCATCTCCGGCCGCCATCCGATCTTGGGATTCGGAAGCAGCACATCATTCGTTAGTTTGTAACTGCCTGGATACTAATGATCATATGTGTCGATTGATATCATACTTAAATCAATCATAGAATGATAGATCAGAATAGTTACGAATTCTACCAATATGTCACTAAATTGTAAATAAATCGGATAAGATGGGATGGTATCATCGAATTGGATTAATTTTATTCCTTACCACCAAGGAATCTATATATGACAGAAAAGTCTCTCCCTTTACATGTCGATGTCTGTACTGCCTTTTCATAGACCTCTTTCGCTCGATCGCCAAGTTCCAATTTAGCATCAGCATCATTTGCAGCTACAATGGCAAGTTCCAGATCTTTCTTCATCAGACTGATACCAAATCCACCAGAATAGTCACGGCTAGCCGGTGCACCCTCAACCACCCCTTTCACGGGGTTGTTGATTTCACTCGGCCAGCATTTACCAGTGCTAACATTGATGACATTGGCTAACGTTTTGGGATCGAGTCCCCATCTGATACCAAGGTTCATCGCCTCGGCTGTTGCGATGTTATTTATCGCGAGAAGGTAGTTGTTGGCCAACTTGGCGCTAAGCCCATTGCCTTGAGCGCCGCAATGTAACACTCGCTTCCCCATTCGTAATAATGGAGGCTCTAGTTTTGGTACCAAACTATCGGGAGAACCCAACATGAAAGTTAGTGTACCTGCAGTAGCACCTACGACTCCGCCTGACATCGGGGCATCGACAAATTGGCCTTGATTACCTTCCACAACCCATCTGGCGACTTCTCGGGATGAAGAGGGGTCTATCGTCGAGCAATCGATATATAGCCTGTCTTTCCTGGGCAAATCCGAGGATAGGATTTGGCGGAACACGCCTTTTACATGAGATGGTTTAGGTAACACCGTAATGACTATATCCTGTAGGGCCTCAATTAGTCTTCAAGGCCCAACATCGGGTTGACAAAACAATAGAGTTGTATTGAAGTTTCTTTCAGAGGATTGGCTTTAAATGTTTAAATAATCACAGGAAGACCGGACGAGCCGGTCCCAACTTAGATCATAGATAGAACAATTTATCTCATCATGTGAGGAAGAGGGAAGTAGGTAAGGATATCAGGATGCGAACGTACCGCTTCTCTTACTGCATCGTGTGCGTCATGGGCCTGTTCAACAGTAGCACCGCCAACTTGAGCTATCTCTATTTCCCTTACTAAACGTTTTGCCGCATCAGTATTGATATCGAATAGTTTAATAGAGTCGCTCGGTGAGAGTTTTGACTGGAGGTTCTTGGCCATTGGATAACCCTATATTCATTCTCATTAGTTTTGCTTTTGATGTGCGTTTATAGAATGAAACTCGAAGTTTGTGACATACCATTTGACCTAGACCAATGAAGCCATAGTTCTCTAACCGACGCGGCGTTGCTGAGAAAGCTCGCCGTTGAGCCCTATATAAGCTTCGCGTAACTGAATGAACCCTCATTGTAGAAAATGTAGTTAAGATGTATTTCAATCGAATCAACAATCACTCGTGATTTGGGTGCACACGCGAAAGAGTGGCCTGGAAGCATCAATTGGGACTTTCTCCAAGCTCTCCAAAGGACCTTCTAGTAGAAGTCGCGGGGTACATGGGGGTTACCCGAGGACCTACGAGAACCGACCATTGCCGGTTCTAAGCCTCTCCAAAGAATCCAAGAGCCACAAAGTTGGTCCAGTGACCTTCAAATGGGTCAAAGGGAAGATCTTTGATTATAATAAGGATGTTAATCCATATTATGGTAAATCAATTCCATAGCCATTCCTAGATGTCTTTAATCTAAACATTAGGAATTTATATGTTCGGGACAAAATCCGATTTTTCTGCTGGGATTGAAAAAGGTGAAATTGGCAAAACGAAAAAATAAAAATGAGTTTGTGAAAAATTTTCTTCTTCATTGGAAATGAGAGCTTGGACCACTCAGTTAAAAGCAGTGGACCCCTAAAGATACCTAGGTACCGCCTAAGCTCCTTATCCTTTAGCTGCTACTGTGTTGGGGGGGGGGGGGGGGGCATTACGGCGGCATTAGGGGAAGCTGCATTCCAGAAGGTAGCACTAAGATAGGTAGCTAGAGCTTATGTATCACAACATCCTTTGTTCTCTCAGCAGCATATATAGGCATTCAAAAGACCTAAATCAATTCCGTTTTATTGTAGTCCATCGTACTTCTGATCATACAATCATGTAATCATTTAACTCTATAAAGGTCACTAGCATGAATTAACGAATGAATTTTCTCTTTTCATTATGAAGTTTTTGGTACTTGTAGAGCAAAGCAACTTCTCCATTATCAGGAGAGGTTTGCTAACAGGGGGTGGATGGGTCGGATGTATACATGAGCCATTTCATATAGCTTAAGGGAAATCAGAATCAGAACAGCCGACTCTGATCAACTGTGGGGGTATGTGCAAAATCAACAGACAGACGAGGAACCTAGCTTCACCAGCGAATACAAAACCCAGCAAAACCGTCCGGGCTCATTATGATAAAGGGGGAAGCGTTATGGGATGGTAGTTGGTTTAATAATCAAGACTCAAGGATGAGAAAGAAGGATATATCATCCTAAAATACGCCCATAACATACGGGATGAGAGCACTAGGGGGAACGATTAGCTTAACACAGTTCAGAGATCGAGAGAGAAAAAAACTTACCCGACTGCGAGGGTCGCACTGAGACCCATTAACGCCCGGGTTCGAACACGTTCCTTTCTCTTTTGTACTTCTGTCTTGACCTTCTTGGCTCTGGGTTCTTCCGGAACTTCGTCAGTCTTTTCCCCTTCCTCGTCTTCATCCACAGCAATTTCGTCGGCCTTTCGCTTGCCCTTCTTGCTCGAGCCAGATGACGACGCGGCGGTTTCTGCTGCGGCGATTCTCACCATCTCTTTCGCCTCTTCTACCATTCGGGCGGCTTCTTCAGCACTGGGCTCCCCACTAAGAGGAAGTTCTAGTTCAACAGCAGTCTGCGTCGTTTCAACACCACCGTGGAATTCAACCTCCTGGCCAACCTTGACTTGTACCTTAGGTTCCTCCTCGGCCGGCGCAAAGACAACAGTAGGCTCCTTATCAACAGTCCTGATGGATACATCTTCGGTAGCAGCAGTGGATGCGGTATCATCATCCGTCTTAGCACCGTTTGTAAGGGGTTCAGCCTCCTCCTTTACAGGAAGGACCTCGGCGGGAGACGACTGAGGTGCGGCAGCAGTAGAAGCTTTGGTTGATCGTTTTCGCGGAGAGGCAATAGCTCGCTTCTTCGTAGGGCTGGCTGATCGACGACCTCGCGTGCTACGAGGGAGTGATGACGGAGTCGGCGGCGCAAGAACAGGCTGGGTTGGCAGAGCGGCCTCAAATTTCGGCGGCGCGGCGATTCGCTTAGGAGGGCTGTCTGGCGGGTTTGTAATAGCGATATCGGCCGGGTCCAAAAGAGCGCAGATCCAAGGAGTAACCCGATATTCTTCGGCAAGAGCCAACGCTTGCTCAGGTGGGATCCAAACATTTCCAGCTGTCTCTTCATGGCTCGTGGTCGGCAACGACTTGATATATCTTCGCTCTAGTTCCTCTTCATGCGCATCGGCATAAGGAAAGGTTGCCTTGAACATACCAGTCGCGGAGACGAATCCATCTTGACTGCGACGCATGAGGAAGTACGAGTTCGGAGACGACTTGAAGATACCCGAAGTGATGCCCTTAGGCAAAGGAGCTCGTAGGTGCGCATAATCGAAGACGCCTAAGCTCGCGGGATCAACATCCCCTACAGTTCCTGCCGCAACCATCTTCGCGGTCAATTGGGTCTGGCCCAAGCGTCGGCGCGAGACAAGCTCATGATCTAGAGAACAAGTAAGCGACACGAATTAATAGACATCAGATCCAGTGTTTTATTACAAGGAGGTATATCCTCGGTCATAAGAGGGTTATGTTTCTGAGGCAGGTGTCTGTACGACATTTTGAAGAATTTTTTTATGTTCTTGGGGGAAAAAACGCGACCGAGTTCGACGTCTGGGCTGAAGGCTCGTATTGATTGGAGTAGCGACAAACGGCCAACGATAAGCGTGACCGGAATTAAAAAGGTACTTAAAAAAAGACTGCGGCTGGTCGTAAGGGTTAGCAGTTGCTCGATATCGAGTCGCGCGAAAATGCGATGCGATGCGATATGATGTCGCGGGTCGCCATTAGGAGCGCGAGCTTACGGGTCTCGAATGGGCGGGTCGCCAGGATGGATCTCACTCACGTTATGCGAACTTCACTAGAAAAAGGAAGATTAGATTATAATAAAAGAAAGAGTACACTTAAGATCCAAAGATCTTGAGTGCGAAATTGAAGAATGGATGAAACTAGAAATTCTTTTTTTTGGACCACCGAAAATATTGAAGAGAAGACTGATGGAATTGTGACACGCGGCGCAAAAAGATCCTTTCGGATTTTTGAGGCGGATGGGATGTCAGGAAAAGGATAAGGTCTTGGGAGGGAGGGTAGCGAAGAGGAAGGGAGGAAAGCTGGGGGGAGAGGGTCCCGTTCGAGTTCGCGTGCTGCTTAATCGAGCTTGTCAGCAGCAATGATTTGTCCACTGAGAGCAATCGCGAAATAGGGAATCGATGAATTACCTCGAGGGGTTTAGCGGAGCCACTTTTACAGTCCGATGTCCAATGGGAGATAGCCTACGAGCCTGCATCGAACAGGGGATATTAAACTCTTCTAGGTAGTACGGAAAGAGCTCGGACCAACAAACTATTTTCCAGGTACACTTGTACAAATTATATGAGGTACGGAGGTACGGAGTTCACTTTGACGCTGCGCTAACGCGGAAGAGGGATCGCGGGATTACAGTGTAGTGGTACAGTATAATTATCTTATTTCACTTATTTCACTAATGTACCTAATCATATCTAATCCCTACCCCGTAGGTCACAATTCTCAGCATTAAAAGAGGATATCTTGCAACTCTAGTTAATACAATACATGGATGTCAATTTATACCATGAAAATACCTAGGTATCCGATTTCTCGGTATCTTTTCTATTAGTTCGCTTCATCTACCGTGGTCTAGGAGCCGCAAGGCTGTAATATCCTTTGTTCCCCCACCTCTATAAGTAAACTGGTAGGGTTGACAATATCGATTCAACCTGTAAGAGTAGTAGGTAACAAAGTATTGTTACTTTGTATGGACACTTCATTGGTATCTATGTAACCGGCCTAACAGTAGTATGTTTCATCGATAATCGAAGCTATTGTCACATATGCATGTTCGAGTTATATATCGGAATATGTGCCTTGCGTTTATAACATCATTTGATACGGTCGACACCACCTAGACCATCATTGATACATCTATGGGTCTTCATGTTGTATGAGAGTTACAGAAACCTCATCAGTACTGGCTAGCTTCGCATAGTTGTGCCTGACTAGATAGAGGAGGGTGTGCAGCGTTTTTATTGTCTAGCATGACTGACATGTCCAATTTCCAACTACATGTGTACATGTATGAATGTACCTAACATTAAATGCATGGCTCTATCTAGCGATCCCGGATTTGCCCATGGATGTCAGGCACCATCGAGTCGACATCCCTAAAGTTGAACAAATATGTGCGTACATATGTGTGCAAGGCAAGCGCGGCTTTGACACTGCAACATAAGCAGAAAGAGAAAGAGACAGAAAGAAGGGAAAAAGAGGAAAGAGAGGCCTGGGCCGATCAGACGGAGTCGGGTATGTGAGACGAGACCCCTCAAAAGTGCTGGCGCCTTCTTTAGCCCCGCCGCACTTGACCTGCATCTTTGAGCCACAAAACGGCCAGAAGCCCCCCGATTCTGTGACATCGTATCCATCCCACTTTCTTTATATCAGATCGACACAAAAATAACTACAAGGTACAAGTGACCCAAGTACATCTCTAGTGCGACCCACCAGTATAACTACGTACGAGTACATATTTCGTAAGTACAAGGCCATCACCGCCAGTCTACCCCTCCTACCAATATTTCACCGCGGCCAGACATCAATCTTTATTTACTTCTTTCCAAATATTATACCCAAGAAATCTATATTCACACATAGATCTTAGTTTTCTTATCTCCTAGTTCTTTCAACTAGTCATCTTTCAAAATGGCTTCCCATGACGAGAATGACCATCTCCCTGAGGAGACGCAGGGCTATAAGCTCTCTCAGCCCAAGCAGAGCTTAGCTGAATATCAGAATATGGGTGCGTATTAATAAACCGCGTTTCTTTCTTTTTTGTCTTCTTCTTCTCCCAATATTGCACCAAATAATAAAAATACACTACGCATTCAATTCATACGAAGGGGTGTACCTATGTTTAATAGGTATGATGAGGATGGAAAGTTGGGAGTTGGGTGAAAATCCATTGTGAAAAGGGGGAGATGGAACCGTGACGAGGTTGAGGCTCGATGCTATGTGAGTAGCACCTGATTCGAATTGCGGGCCATGGTTTGTCAATACCTATGGAACCTCAGGTTTGCATACTGTTGCCCGGGAACTACCACCAGTAATAATTGGCATTGGAAGTGCCAATTACCTACAACAACGAACAACAATTCGTTCCGCATTTTTTTCATACCGCAACCACCTCACCAGACCAATTCTTTCGACAAGAATATCGGCACCTCAACCGAGACTCGTCTCTATATTCGACACGTGATACCGTCCTCGCCAATGCATCAGCCCAATCTCAATTTTCGACATGGACGCACCTACGCTCCGTCCACGTCAGCCTGGGCGTGGCGTTACTCAACGTAGTCGCGTTCTCCGACATATGGCTTCGACCCCATTGATGAAGCGCACGTACGTTCCTGATGTAACCGACTTGCCGAACCTTGATCGACATTCAGAGGAAGATGTATATCCGGAAACACCTGTGCGAGAATCTAGCCTACACGACACCACTCTTGTCCCTTCCCAGGGGTCTGGTTCTTTTGATAGCAAGCGATCCCTCGGAGAGTTCCTAAGGGTCGAATTTCAAGCTGGCTCAGCTAAGCCAGCTATCAATAAAAATGCACAACGTTCCCATAGGAAACCCCGTCTTCGCATGGAATTTCTGAGTTGGCTTAAGGGGAGAGCCAAACACAAGTTGACGAGATACCCTTCTTCATCCTCATCTGGAAGTGGCCTTGACCCTGCAATTACATGCAGGGGGCTGTCATATATGATGATTAAAAAGGAAACAACGGTCTCGGATGAATCAGCAAGCCCATTTCCTTACCCATCACCGTCCCCTCCTCCAACTTCTCAGAATGAACAGGACATCCCACAGTCCAGAGTTGAGAAGGTCGTATCTAACAAGAACACCCTTGATACAGATGCCAACGATGAGTCTCTTCAGCGATACAAGCAATCCCTCGGTCTCGGCGGCGGAAAGGATCTCTCTGACCCGAACGATCCTCGAGTTTGCATTATCCACTCCCTAACCATGGACTCACCCGGACGTTCTCCCGTTACTATCGACTTGTCCGCTCCCGGTAGCGAACAGACCCTGAAGGACCGCCCCTTCAAGATTAAGGAGGGTTGCAAGTTCACCATGACCGCCACCTTCAAGGTCCAGCACGAAATCCTTAGCGGTCTGCAGTACGTCCAGATCGTCAAGCGCAAGGGTATCAAAGTTAGCAAGGATTCAGAGATGTTGGTAAGTACTTCGAGAATATTCAAAAAACATCGTCTCGTTATTAACCCATCATAGGGAAGTTATGCTCCGAACACAGAGAAGCAGCCTCTGTATAGCAAGCGCTGTAAGTATTCGCGATCCTACCTTCATTCCCCCAAATATCTAATATTTCAATAGTCCAGGAGGAAGAAGCGCCCTCTGGCATGCTTGCTCGGGGCCACTACAACGCTACCTCGAGCTTCGTCGATGACGACAAGAAGACTCACCTTCAGTTCGAGTGGAGCTTCGACATCAGCAAGGACTGGTAGACGGCGGTGAAAAAAAAAAATCGAGTCCATAGAGAAAATATTTTTTCCATTTGGCTTACGACGACCAAGATATTATGACTGCAGGAAAGAAGAAAATTTTTCTAAAATTTCGCTGGATGTTTCGAGCATAGCTCAACTCGGACGATTTGTGTAGCTAAGGGGATGCAGACAGAACGTTGCGCATATAATAACGAGGCCCAACGATTGATTGAGTGTAGATAGTCCTTATTATGGGAATCAATATTTCTCATCAATTCTCTGCCTAGTGTTTTAATGCTCGCGTGGATTTTATATTTCCTAGCAGTTTTTGTCCTCGGTAATGGGGAATCCAGACAATAAAAACTTGGGTATTTTGATTTGATTCCCTATCATACCAGGGTTTTTAAGGCATTCGTCCATCTAATATGTGTACGATATACCTTCGAATCGTGAATATTCGATTCAAGGGAGTATATCTACAAGAAGTAATCCGGCAGCGCATTCCCGTCGGCTGTCTTCTCCGTTCCCTGTTGAATCTCCTTATGTTGATCATTTTCGGGCGCGGCCGCAAACACGTTGAAGAAGCGTTCACCACTATCACTGACTTCCAGTACGCTAGCCATATTACCGCACCGGTAGCAGTAGTTAGGCGCACTCCAAACCGTGCTCAGCCGGTCATCATATAGGACCTGGTAACCCTCCTGGCACAGCTGATGCGCGCGCAAAATGTGGTTCATTCCGTTGACTGCGAGGAACTTCTTAACTACCCGTGCGCCGAATGTGTACCCCGCACCCCGCGGCGACAGCGAGAACTCGTCTCTCTCGGGATCCGGATCGGACCATACTAGATCGGCCATCGGGCCCTCGTGCGGGATCTCCCGGAATCGGTCGATGATCTTTATTTGGTCGATAGAATGGATCGAAGGCGATAAACCACCGTGTACGCAGAAGATCTGGTCGTTGATGACGACGGACAGGGTGAGGAAGTCGAACATATCGGTAAAATAGTGCCAGACGTTAGCATTACCGTACTTGCGCGAGCACTCCGTGTAGAACCCGTAGGATTGTGTTACGCCGCGCGATTCGTGGTTGCCTCGGATTAAATGTACGCGGTTAGGGTATCGCAGTTTGAGGCAGACGAGTAGTGATATGGTTTCCACGCTGAACATGCCGCGATCTACATAATCGCCTGTAATCCTCGAGGTTAGGGGAGTAAAACTTGATTTGATTGGGCTTGTTTGGGCGCTTACCGAGGAATAGGTAGTTTGTGTCTGGACACCAACCTCCGATCTTGAATATCTCGATTAAGTCGTAGAACTGGCCGTGTATATCGCCAACTACTGTGACAGGAGCCCGCACGTGGACCACGTTGCTCTCTCGCATGAGCAGTTCCTTGGTCTTAGCACATATCGCCTCGATCACCGACTCGGCTAGAAGTTCCTTTTTGTATAATCGGGAGATGCATTCATCTAGATCAACTGACGCTATATAATGTATAAATTAGTTCCCGACCAAGGAGAGTCTTAGGACTATTGCGTGGGGGGACCAACCAGGAAGTCCAGGCATTTTGGGCGGCTAGAACGTTGCAATACGAGGGATGAAGGAGGTGGTAAAAGGAGAAGAAAGTCTACCCAAAGCTTATCTCAAGAAGCTGTTTGTGGTCGACAATGTGAAATGGGCTTCCTTCTGCTCCGGAGAAATGCAAAATCGTATTGGGAGCTAGAAGAAACCGCAAACATGTTCGAAGGAGGAAGGGGATTCGTCGCCTCGCATGGGGAGCTGTCGAATTGAAGTTGGGCGTGAGAAAGGGGGGCGGCGATGGTTGGAGGAATAAATTGAAACCGCGTTGAAGATCAAAGGGAGGAAGAAGATATTCACGCGCCAGAAGAATATGTTCTAGTTTTGTTCACTAATAGTTGGTTTACACACAGTGATGGGGACGTGGGATGGGATAGGATCTGTGGATATCGGCACGGCGAATTGGTAAGCTACCTAGTTAGGTGCTGTACTTACAGTACAGCGAGGTAAGGTTATCGCCTCCACACCGCTCCACACCGACTTTGACCTATCAAAGAGCCGCGGCGCTTAAGCGCGGTTCAAAATCGGCTATATACATACTGCTGTACTAAGATCTTTAGTAATGGCGGCAGAATAGCATTAAGACTGGCACCAGCCTATTGATAATTTAGTATGTGATTTTCCTTATAGAATATGAAATGGCACGGTCAGTACGATGAATATTTTCATTGTCGACATTGTAGCTAGTTGGTAATATTTTAACAAATTTGTCCATTGAAAACATAGTGTGCTTTAATCATGGATAATCTAGTATCCGCAAGATGCGACAAAAGTACCTAGGTACCCTTCTTTAGCCCGCTTTGGCCGCTTTTCCGCTTTTGAGTCATCCGATAAATTTTTTCTGTCTACTTCAACTTTCTTTTTTCAATCTTCAACCTACAAAATTCTTTACCAGAATGTCATAGGAAATCGTCTCTAAGGCGTATATTTCTATACTTATTCACGCCGCATTTGTTGGAGTACATATTTCTCCTATTTTGATTTCGGATAGTTCATAGTAGAACATTCGAATACTGTTTCTTACTCATTTATAAGCCTGCTTACATGTTTACATCCAGTATCGAGAAGGTTTCATATTTCTAATTTGTTGGTATTGTTTGGCAATGCACATACGAGTATTCTTTCCCATTCACAATTTATCTTTGGAATTATGAAAATGGATACCTATTTACTCTACGGTCCAGTTGAGTTGATGGAAAGGAATACAAAGTTCGGAGCTGGCTGACTATTAGGTCTATGGTTTCTGCTATTGATTTATCTATCTACATCATACTTCCTGTTCTGATTATCATCATCATTTTAGTCCCTTCTTCGATGGGTATCATATTCATATAGTATATGTTTCTAGATTAAGTTGTCAAGATATCATTATGGTTGGTATCAATCCGAGCTCGAAGTCAAGCTACGGTATGATGCCACGTTCTCAAGTATATCCATAATGTCTTATTGATTGTACTAGTCAACCTTGCCCTTTTTTTCCCCCTCTCCATGCAAGATAGATCAAACTTTATATTAGAATATCATGACCACATTAGTTTTGTCTTGCTTTATATCTCGTGCGTAAGGCTATATAGTAAGACGCCACTGCCCACGGTTAAGGTTTCTCAATAGGGACGGGCCGAAGTTTAACCGCTACCATCTCCGATAATTTGGTACCTTTAACTTTGTACCCAAATCTTGTCTCGTACCCAGGTAGTGCCCGGTCCGTTCTCAATTGATGGTACCTTTTTTCCATTTTGGCCCTTCCTCTTCGAATCTCACTCGTGAAACCTTCAATTTCAGTCCTTTCTACATTGATATTCGATGCCAGGACACTCAAGCATCAATACTCTCCCTATCTCTCCCATTGTCTTTAGGTCGCAATTCCATCGCCTGGATGGTTTCCTCTTGATGACTCCACAGCATTTATTTTCGCGACACCGGAGTGGGATTTGTGTTGGCGGTGGTCTTCAATTCGTCGCGGTGAGAAGCTGATCCGGTACGTCAAGCTTGATCAACGTGACCTACAACTAGGATCGGATACTCCGTTATGGTCCCGTACCCTTTCATATTTTGATATCTTTCCTTTCTAGACGATTTGTTCTTGATCAGCATCCTATTCGCAGTCCGAATGGGATGCCATTGGCCGGTTTATCTAACTTCGCGCATAGTAGGTCGTTCAACGATTTCTACGCTTCGTCGCGTCTTTCTTGTGTTGAGAGCTACTTCGTCGCAACACCACTCTTCATTATATTCAAGGAATTTCCGCCACATCAGGGACTCAAATCTAAAAAAATCTTCCGGATGATCGCGTTTCCAAGTTGGTAACTTTTACTCTTTCGACCGTTGCGCCCAGGCGCTCGGCCATTCTTCATCAACTTCGTCTTCATCAGCGGCTTCGCCATAGCCATCCTTGAAAGCTATACCTTGTTTCGTAAGGTATAGCTACCAATTCGTCTATTCACTATCATTTTGAGATGGCCCAAGTAGCTCCGGGCTTGGGGCCGGATCGCAACGAGCCTCCGTGCTACAATTGTGGAGTACGGGGCCATATGTTCACCGCATGCCCCGAGGAGCCTCGGAAAGTACCGGCGTAAGTAGTTCATTATTCATCCCGATATCGACACCTTTTCCTATCTTTCCTCCTTTAGAAATTCGGGCCGTGTTGGCTAAGAAAGTATGCTAGTGGGTTGGAGGCCTCTTGGGCACGGCAACAGTCAAGTATCAGTCCTCACAATGATAGCTATACACCAAATAAGCGAAGCAAGGGACCGGTGATAACGCGTTACCCTCCTCCACCTCTTCCTTCGTCTTCTCATCACACGCCCCCGTTGCCTCGTTTTGAGAATCCTCTGCCTCAGCCTTATCAATCGGGGCCTATTCAGAGTTACCCTCCGCGACCGTCTTATAGTCCAGGATTTGGAAACCACCCGCCGTCTGGCCCGCCTTATGATCGATATGGACCTCCGGGACCACCAGGTCCGCCGGGTGCATCGCCGGTGCCACCCGGTCCTCATCGTCCACTAGAGCCACCAGCTTATCGCGGCGCGTATGGTCCTCCGTACGGTGCCCCGGGCTCAGTTCCTGGGCCTTATGAATCACATTATAATCCTCCCCCGGGACGTCCTAGCTCTTATTTTTCTACTGATTACCCTCCCGTCCCTCCCAGTCGAGCGGATCCCTACCCCCCAAACCCATATTCCCACGGTCCGCCTGGTCCCCCTCCATATGGCGTGCAACAATTTCCTCCAGGTCCTCCGCCGCCGTATCTACCACCGACTAGTTTTACTCAACCGCCCACACCGTATGGGTACCGTGGACCTCCTCCCGGGTATCCCCAAAATGATTACAGTCCACCCCAACGCGATCCTCCCCCACCATTTTACCCTGGGTACCCGCCACCTCCCGACCCCTCTTATGGTCAATCACATGGAGACGATAGAGATCGATATCAACGCGGTCGAGGTCATCAACGCCGTTATGACGATAGACGCCCGACCGAAGCTTGGCATCCTCAGGATGCATGGCACAACTCTCCGCCGCCGAACGATCTCACTTACAGGGACGATCATCGTGATAATCGGCATGGGAGATCCTCATATCGAGACGATCGGCAACCTCGCAAATGGGGACACGGTAGGCCCGGGGAGGAACGGCGTCGAGACCGTCATAATCAACATCACCCATACAAAAGTCAGGATAAATCAGACAAACATCATCGGCGAAAGCAACAATCGGCATCAACCCCGAACCAAGGACCTCGTGCACGAAGCCCTCTAGATAGAAAAGCACAATTAACCGTCAAGACCGACGAAGACCGCGAGCCCGGGGAGATTGTATCTGAGCCAACTTCTGCATCAGATCGCGGTAATCTAGACATTGCATCTAACGCGACTCTAAAGAATAACGACGAGGAATTCGATTGGGACGAACAAACCATCTTCCTAGAGCTCCCGTTGGAGAGCAAGGTAGATCCCATTGCAGCACCTTTACCAACTAACTATTCCGAAGAGGTGATGATACCTCCTGCGTTTGATGCCAAATCTTTAAAGTCGCGATTTATCTCGCCACGCAATATCGATGATTTTGCGCAAGGCATCCGCGAAACTAGGGACTGGCAGATAATGCAACACCACCCCGCATTCCTCGATGTGGTGGAAATTCGCCTCGAGAAGTTGGATGATTACGAGAGGGCGATCCAGAAAGACATTGCTATGAGGAATAGCCGCCGAGACCGTGGTAATAATTCTCACGATGTTGGCAGGCACCGTCATGGAAACGCGAAAGGGCCGGGGAGACACCATGGAAAGGATCAGAAGAAAAGGAGGTGGAATGAGATTCATGGTGACGCTGATGATTTTAGGATGGAGAAGCGACATCGCGATTTTCCTTACGATGATGGTTTTAATAAGAGATTGAAACCCATGTCGCCCGAGCCCGGCGAAGTTATCGAGACAGAATCTCAGGAATCTTCTTACGAACCTTCGAGAACGCCCATACTCCCTGTAGGTGGCCTCAAAGAGGCGCCAGAACTAAAGGAGAACAAGAACTCCAATCCACAAACACCTGGTCCTAATTATAGTAGTGGGGAGCGTGATCATGAGACAACGGATCACCAGCCTAATACATTGCCGGTAGACGACCAGGGCCGTCCTAAGTCTCGCTTGCCAACACCGTCAGATCAGCCGGTCGATACCACACCATCATATGATCGGCCACCAAGCAGACAGAGCTCCAGGAGTCGTCGTTCTTCCATTGGAAGTCAAGTTTCCCAAGCCTCTTCGCTTGATCCGATTGAGCGCGAATTGCTTGGAATGGGACGACCTTCAAATGGTACCAGTGACGCCGGAGATGAGTCCCCGAAACGACCGGTGAATGATAAGACAGCGAAACTCAAGCGACGCCAACCTAGGCTTGAGGCGTACTCGTAAGCTAATTGTTTCCGCATTTTATTACTAAGTAGCTAATCTTGCAAACAGGCGTCGTTGGTAAAGGCTTGAAGCCTTGGAGATTCATGATGCCCGATATATGGCATTCCAAAAAGCTATAGAATCAATCAGCCTCATGGCTACGAAATACGCGTTATTGAAGAAATGCGAAAACATCTCGACAAAAATCCATTTCTGCCCCTTTGGTGTATATTGGGCATTGCATCTACGGATCACTTTCAACTAAGTACAAGCATTTATATTTTGTCGATATTTTCAGACTCAAGCGATTGTTTACGACGAAGCAAGATTATAAGTCGAGGTTTTGTACGAAGGGCGGCATGGTTTTGATTCCGGTCTCTTTAAGGATGAATATACGTGGTAATAGCAGAGGCGGCGGGTGTTTAATGTGGAAGCATTGGATTCAGCGGGAGGGGGTCGACAGAGCACTAAAGGCGTACGGATCTTTTCTGTTTCGTTTTTATTTCTAATCTTGGCATCTACGATGTTGTACCTATATTGTACACAAGGCCATCGGATTGGAACGTAAGTGGCCAGCTCGGCGTTCATAGGAGGTCCTCATTGTGGACAAAGGCCAAAATATAATGAATTGATGGCTCGGTAATAAGTGTAATTGGCCCTATCTGACCGCCTTATGTGACGATGGCTTTGATGTTGGATTTCTATATCCTTTATCTCTAGTTTCACCGACTGTCGTAACTGTGTAAGTTCCATGTTTCTTGGTCCTGGCGTATGGGGATTGTTCAACTACCTTCTTTATTCTAAACAATGTTCTTGAACGTTCAAACAATGGATTACGGGGGGCAGAATCTCCGACAATATAAAGGGAACTGCTTGTTCTAATAATGGGACAGTAAATACAATTATATTTAGCCATCGTACTACCTCCTTATCGCGATACGTTCAGTAGGAGGGGGTTATCATTGAGAACAATTACCTGCAAACAATCTGAGAAATAGCCTTCGTTACCTAACCTCTTGCACTTGCACTCTTGGCCCTGTAACGGGGTAACCACCTACCTACACTACCCCCCTCCCCCTCGCACGACTCGGCGAGGAGGAAAGGAAAAACACAGTAACAAATCAACAACAAAAGCCACCCGACGCCATGTGTACAGGGGTCCGCTGGGTCATCCGGTGCTGTCGGTGCTGGACAATCATCATGAAGAACAGCAATATCGCGGGCTACACATGCCACAAAGCGCAGATGAACCGGAAGAAGGGGTGTTGCAGGACTGGTGTTGAGTTCACATCGTATGATAGGATCGGTGATGAGCTGTGTGTGCCTTGTGAGCTTGAGATTGAGATTCAAGTCCTGGATGCGGATACTTGCGATGAGGGACATAGTGAGGAGCGGGTTGGGTATGATGTTGATGATTGTTATGATAGCGAGGATGAGGAGGAAGGGGGTGCTTTGTTGGTTTGGGGTGATGATTAAAGCGGGATACATAGGGAGGGAGGGAGACAGTGTAAAGGTGAGTTTAGTGTCGTAGTTTGTTATTTACTCGCAAACCAACTTATTCCCAGGTAGATTGGATATTGGTTTTCTGCACATGGGACTCTTGAGGTTTTCATTATCGAGATAGGTATTTACAGGAATACAAGCACCGTGCCATCAACGCTTGCTAGGTTAAATTGCTTCTCAGCTATGTCTAGAGTGAAAACAAAGTCTCACAGTGCACCCAGGTATATAAGTATGTTGCGTCCACGCGCATATATACGTGTATTCTCAAAATTGCTAGGTACACTGTGCTATTAGTTGGTATATGCAAATAACTACCCAGTGCAATTATACCCGCGCAGTCATGCGAAAGCAAACACCTCCTGTAGTGTAGAATGCACTGTGATGTGTACCTTTCTATATATACACATAGAATTCTACTCTACTCCTTCTCTTCTCTACTTCACTTCTCAGTAAAGCTCTCCTTCATCAGTACAACCGACCGGGGTGTTCATCAAGACCTTCGTCGCTATTCATCCCCATTAATCATTGTCCCTACATACATCATCCCTATCATTCAACTTCGCACACAAAAACAACTGAAACCTACATCCACCTCCTTGTCACTGTTGCCCAAGATGGTGGTGACCTGGAGCGACCTTTCCCAGGAAATAAGACAAATGATCTTATCTTCCCTAGGATCTTCGGGAACTAGTATTGCTCCCTACGCCGCCGTCTCCAAGGAGTGGCAACAATCCATCGAGGCAAAGAACTTCAAGCATCTAGCGATACGTTATGAAGACTTCGACGCCTTCGGCAAGCTGTCTCGTCCCCATCAGAAACTCGTCGAGCACATCCAGCTTTGCATGGAACTCAAAGAGTATGATTGTAACTCTTGCGAGTCATACACACTGCAGAGAAATGCCATCTACAACGAATGGATGTTGAATCGCTCAACCACTCAATTCTTTAAAATATTAAAGAATTGGGATATTAGGGAAGAGGGCGACCCCGGATTAACCCTCGAGATCAACATTTACTCTCCTAGTGACTTCAAACATGCATTCAAGCACTATGAGCACGGAAATCACCCAACAGACGATGGCGGAGTACAGAACATAACCGATGCTCGCCATGGCTGGTACTACGGCCTCCGCCTTGATCCCCCGGACGCTGCCACAATTGATAGAGTACATGGATTCGTGAAGCAGGACTACAGGCTATAGTTGCCTCAAGTCAAGGCTGATACGAAATTCCTGTTTCCGCGGGATATTCGCCGCTATGTTGAGCCCCAGTCCATAAGCTTTCTACTCGGCGCGTTGCCAAACGTTAAGGAAGTTGGGTACGAGATGTAGCGTCTTTTCAGCCTATTTCGTATGAGGGAAAGAGACTCTGGTAGGTTAATGAGACTAAACCAAGAGATTTGAACTAACTCCTGATATTACAGAATTGGAAGGTACTCTGCGATTTATGTCGATACGAAATATAAAGTCAGTATCACTCTTCGAGGATACCAATCAGGATATCGACGCAGTACACCCATGCAGAATCCACGATGGATACGACCTCAACCAGTCGACTATCACTCCCAACCGTGTCAATCGAATGGCGACCATGTTACCTATGGACCAGTGGCTTGCTAAGCTCAGCTTGAACCTTGAGTGTCTATCCATGTCATTCGTGAGCGACGCGAAATTTTTCTTTAGAGCCGTCGAGCCTGTTTGGATATGGAATGATCTGGAACAACTATCTCTCACTTCACACGTACTCAGACCAGTCTCGCACCCCGACAATCCCAACGACCTCCTCATCGCCGCAGCCCACGCCGCATTACGCATGTCGCGCCTTCGTATTATGGAATTGTGGTATACGGAACCCGAAGCGACCGGAACCACGGGATACGCGGGCGTGTTCCGTTATCAAAGGGTCTCAAAAATGGTTTGCACAATCACTTGGGACGGTACTTGGTCTCTGCCTCTGGAGCCTTCTGTGGTACAAGCTTGGAACGAGGTGGCACTCACTTATACGGAATTTGATATTCGAGTCCGGGAGGATAGACGGGACGCCGGTTGGATGGATTGCCGCGGTGATGCGATCAAGTTCTTGGGGCTACAAGACCATGTGGTGTCACAGACTTCGTTGGAGCACATGGTAATTGAAGCGATTCCTAGATGATTGCAGAGCTTGGGATAGTATGTTCTACGGGAGATCTAGATAGTCTACAAAAGATCTAGACATTTAGCAAGGAACTTTGAGGATTAGGTTAGGTGTATACACTGCCTAGAGGATGTTATGTTAGAGTATACCTAGGTATCTTTCCTAAGAGGGGGGAAGGAGGATGTGAGGTCTTCTATAGGTCCTAGAGCTCCCTAGTCTACGCAAATGGAGATATAAATCACGCTGTTGTGTAGGTAACATAGCTTTGCGTGACGTGTCTTTGCCCTCATTCTTAATGTGAGGCAAATAATTAAGTTTAATATTATATACAGATAATACTAAGTTCGCTTCGTATCATGACCGAGACTATATAACTCCCTTAATTTAACATTACATACATTAGGTATAGCATGAAGGTCCCGCTGGATGTTATGTGCGCCGCCAGCTGAGGTGCTTCATTAAGTTCTAACTTAAATAGTTCCAACCCATAAAGATAACTCTTTCGAGGAGTAGGGGACCACCCCTTAGTTCTTAGCCTGACCACAGGCACCGTTGCCGACGTAGTCGTAGCTGGTGCCGCCGAAGTAGAGATGGCCGATGGTGGCGGCCTGTTTGGAGCCATTGCAGACGCCGGAGTCCTTGACGGTGATACACTTGCCGGAGGTCTGGTAACCGAAACCACCACAGTGGGAGTCGTTCACGCAGAGCATGCAGCAGGCAGAGGCGTCGGTGACGACACCGTGGTCGACCTGGCTGTAGGACGCCGAGAACTTGTTGATGCGCTGTCCGCTGACGCTGGATGCCATGTTGTTGGCCATGCACTGAGCGTAGACGGTGGGTGTGGCACCAACGGTAACGGTGGTCTGAGTTGTGGTCTCGGTTGTGGTGGTGCTGGGCACGTACGAGGTGGTCATGACGGTCTCCGTGGTGTAGTCGGTCACGGTGGTCTCAACGGGGGTAGGTACGACAGTTGTGGTGGTCAAGATAGTACTAGTTGAAGTATCAATAACAGTGGTGGGGTCGCCAGTGATGGTCTCAACCGTAGTAGTGGTCGTGGCGGTGGAAACAATGGTGGAGGAGAAAGTGGTCTAGATTGTACAAGTTAGTGCTCAGATAATTAAAAAGGCAAATAGGATTATGGTCAAAACATACACCACAGGCGACGGCGGTCGCGTAGGTTTCGACATCTCCGTCGTTGAGGACTGGGGTAGGGTCCGCACAAGTGGAAGAGATAGTGCGTCCACGTGCAACACGCTTGGCAGATCTCGCCACAACACCGGGGAGGGCGGACTTGATGGGGGTGAATCCAGCAGCGGCGGCGATGGTGGTTGTGGTAGGAGCAACAGGGACCTAGAAAATTGTGATTAGTAAACTACTAGAGAAGTGGTAGTGAATGTTTGCTTACCGTGTTGGTAATAACCACGGTGGAGGTGTCAACAACGGTCTCGACATCCGTGGACGTGGTATACTCGGTGGATGTGGTGTAAAAGGTGTCAGTGACCTGTACATCGGTCGAAGTAGATATCTCAGTGGTGAAAACCGTGGTGGTTGTAAGCACAGTCGGGACAGTGGTGGTCTGCTCGGTGCTGGTGGCGGTCACGAAGTCGGTGGAAGTAACAGTAGTGGAGTACAGGGTGGTGCTAATGTAGGAAGGGGGCTTCTTAGCATAGGTGGTCTGGCAGGTTGAGGGGTCCTCGATAACCGGAGCCTTGTAGCTAGGGAGCTTGCTAGGAGACGAGCAGGTACCGCGGCAGCTTCCCAGGATCAAGGAGCCACTCTTTGCAAAAAGGTCAGCGTGGGTAGTAGTACCCTCGTTGATGCGGCTGTTGTAGTACGTGCAGACAAGGTTCTTGTACATGAAGCTGGTGCACTTGGAGCTCTTGTCGCAAGACTTGAGACAGTCGTTGAAAGAGAGGCCATAGTTTTCGCCAATGGAAGTTCCGGTAAGACCATATCCCTTGTAGACATCGTAAGAGCACTGGCAGGAGCCGGTGCCAGCAACGAAGGTCGGCGTAGGGCAAGCAGAGGACGATGAAGTTGACGTCGTGCTGGAGACGGTGCTAGATGTTGATGAGGAAGTAGACGAGGAGGTCGATGAAGACTCCGACGCGGACGGCGTAGAAGTAGTCAACGAAGAGGTCAACGTAGACGAGGTCAAGGACTCTGAAGAGGTTGTTGACCAGGTCTCTGACGATGACACTGATGAAGTCGTATACGACGAAGACTCTGACGAGGTCACCGAGGAGGAAGCAGATGAGGATTCCGATGAGGAAACGCTCGAGCTAGTCGACGGGTCATAGACACTAGAGGTCGAGCTGGGGTCGTACGAAGAGATGGTACTCGACGAAGTGGGAAGAGCCGGGTATGACGAAGATGACTCCGAAGCCGAGCTTGTAGCATACGAGGGCTCCGTGGCGGAGGCACTTGACGAAGTTGATAGTCCTGGGTAGGATCCTTCGTAAGCCGAGCTCGAAGAGCTGGCGGAAGCGGAAGCGGAAGCGGAAGACGAAGACGAAGACGGGAAAACCGACTTGCACTTGGCGGCCGCTTCTCTCGCGAGAAGGGCAACAAGGATGGCCTCGAACCTCATGGTGATGATGAAAACACACTCTAACAGGGACAAAAAGAAGGACTAGTCCGCACGAAGCAGGCTTGGAACTGTAAGAGTTGAGCGAGCGTAGAAACGAGCGACGAGAGGCTAAAGAGAAAGCTTTCCATCTTGGGAGGTCTCACTACTGCCTACTTATACGTCTCTGTACTTGAGGAGCACCGGAAGCGGGAGGGAAATTGAAAATCGCTATGTCAATACATCAACTAGCCGAGTAGTGAGGAAAGCTCCATTTCCGTTAGACTAGTATAACCTCTACTGAGGCTTTTCGACTGGCTGAGCCCTCTAGAGTAGACGCCGACTATACAGCTAGGCTCATATGGGACTTGACAGCCGTGACGATAGAAAGTTATCAAGAGGTCTAGACTACCTGGAGTGTCTAGACCAAGCTTCTAGCAGTTTGTGGAGTAGCTGAAAGCCACAATCACATACTATCGAGCAGCTTGGACCTGACTAACACATCAATTGATAGAAGCTAGGCGGCGGCTCCTTTCCGCACAGAGGTCTAGTAAGCGAATGTTGTGGAAATTATTATCCTCTTCAACGTAACTGAGGAGGATTTTGGCCAATCAGTAGCTGTCATATATTACCGACAGATCGGACAGATCGATTTACCCCTGACTAGTGTCTAGCTCCGGATACTATTCGCGCCTAGCCGGTAAGGCTCTAACGATAATTGGCCACATATAGGGTAGGAGGATGGACTATGTTAGAGGCGTTTTTCTTAAGCTGGTTATGTGACGACTTACATCCTGCTTTCAGTTTAGTTACACCGAGGCAACTCGATATTTCAACCCGCTCTGGTAAGAAGGCATCGTGGTGTATGAGCTGGCAGGTTAAAATAACTCAAATTGAGCTCGAGAGTCGTACGATTCTAATGTAATAAATATTCCTTCATTGTATTAACCTAGTTATTTCCTCGACGTATCCCGATGTACGATAATCGTCGGAAGGAATCATTATTGCTTGTGCACGTCTGTACCTGGGTAATATTGGTGTCATGAACACCAACTTGAGATAAATGATAAATTAATGTATAATTGGTCTTTGATAGTATAATTACACAATTCCATGATAGCTAAACCTATTGATAAAAGAATGTTTTCGTAATAAGTTGCGGGTTGTGAACACTCTCGAATGTGTTAATTCATGGGTGAATTTTCAGTGATGAAATTGAGAGAAGAAAAAAGAGGGGAAGAGAACTAAGATGAATACCTAGGTACAGCTGTGGCATTACCTAAGCTTCGGTTAAACATCGGATAGGCTTAGTAGTGATGAGCTCCGATAAGATAAAGCTACCCCGCCTACACTCTACTGCGTACCTTGTCTGCTTGTAGGGCTGAAGGCAACGAAGCGATGACATAAAGGGAGGAGGCAAACCTTAACGATGTAACTGCAAGTGGGTTGATGTCTTGTCATTCGCCCTAAACCTAACTCCTTACACCTTAATGTTCTATTTAAGTACATACTGTTGCTATACCTCATAGTTTACAAAATACTAAACCTTTCATCCAACGCATCTTCAATCTATCAACCGTGATTCGAGTGGATTCATCACCACCATGTCGACTAATCCCTTAAGTTCGTCGGCCATCCTCCAGCAGATGGCCGACGCCTTACCTACCCACCCTCAAGGCGATACTACTTCCGATTTGAGCAGTTCCCACGAAGCTTTGGCCTTGTTTGCTCATGCTTGTATGGCCTCACTTGGATTTCGTCTTCTCGGCTTTGATGAAGACAAGCTCGAAGGTTAGTCTATCATACCATCTCTAGATACTCCTCTGTAGACGGTACTAACATCATTTCAATAGAGGCGAAATGCCACGAGCTAGCCCCGCGACTCCCACCTAACTGGAATGCATCCTTCAACACATACGCATTTGTCTATGCGCATCAACAATCAGCACTTCGTTTCGTTATTAGGACAGATCGCATGGGAGGCAAAGCCGAAATCCGGGGTCTCGGCATCAACGACGAACGTATCACGCGTGTCGAAGTAACCATCAAAGACTTTATCTCAAACGCGGCTCTCCCTATCAGAATCACTATCAATGATGATGGCGAAGATCGCTCCGCTCTACCGCAGACATTACAGAACGTCTTCATCTCCGGAAACCGCATCGAGGATCTAGCCAGCCTCATCAAAATAAACATTGTCCAAAAACTCCTACCTGCGTTACAAAAGGAGGGCTACGAGGAATCTCCCGATGACAGAGCTGCACACGACGATGCCGGTGAAGCGGGTCGAAGGCCTCCGAGACAGCCCGTGCTTCCAGATCCACTGCCCCAGCCGGCTCAACCGTACCCATTTAACGATCCACTTAACCCGCCTCCTCGCAACCCCGTTCCGGCCGGCGATTTCCCACCTCCAGGATTCGAAGATCCTTATGATATCAATCGCCCAGCACGAAGCCCCCTACAGCCTGGTCGTAGTCCATTTGGAAATATTGGGGCGGATGATTTGAACCCACCTGGGCTAGGACCACATGATCCGCTACGTCCGGGAATGGGTATTGGAGGGGGGTTACCGAGACCTGGTGGAGGCCGAGGCATGCATCCAACCTTTGATGACCCGCTTTTTGGAGGTCTAGGCGGTGGTAATGAGGAGTTCGACCCTCAGGCACCGCCAGGAGCTAGGTATGATCCCCTAGGTCCAGGGGGTCTCCCAAGACTGGGAGGTCGCAGGCCCGGCGGCGGTGGCGGCGGACCTTTTGGTGGTGGATTTGGTGGCTTTGGTGGGGGCGATATCATTTAATTTAGTGACCTGAGCTGGCGTTAGGGGCAGGTTGGGCGAAGACGGGAGGTTTTACGGAAAGAAAAATGTATTGATTGTATAACCATTACACTTTCATTAAGAGCGCGCGTCTAATAAAGGCGTTATTAAAGCGATGAAAATCGAACTTACTAGATACACTATTGATAGTGCAATAAACTCACGTTGTTTAAGGGTTATTATGGTACAATTAGAAGGTCGTATATGCACACTAAGATCAAATAATTCAATTCATTCATTCATTGATTCGAAGTTGGTGATTTTTCTTTGGCCTTGCCCTCTTCGACCCAACATTCAAAGAACAAAGGCCCAGCTTCAACCATACGGAGAGGGGTCGTCTTGGCTCCTCCGACATCCTCGCCAGATGTTTGCTTGTCTTTGTTTTTGGGCTGTAGATTCGACTGAGTGGGTATCCAAGGTTGCGGATGCTGAGATAATTAGTTGCAATTCTTTAGATGAACGCTGCAAAAAGACGATACTTACGCCTATTGGGGCCGCACCCTCATCTCGCAACTCTACCGCAATGGTAAAAGTACACCCCTCTGGAAGTGGTGTCATTTTTTCACCAGTGTAGGCTAGCTTCCTTACAGTGGCGCGTAATTGTTCGTCTACATTGGCCCAATTTACTTTTCCTTCTGTACTACCATCGGTATTGGCGGCCTCTCCTTCAGCGATCTCCTCTTCTTCAATTGTCCTAGGCCCTTTCACCTCCTTATAACCTTCCCATGCTGGAAAGTTGGCAACATCGAACATCCATCGTTCCATCACTTTTGCTTGCTTATCGTGGATAACAACAGCAATGCGCTCTACAACACCTAGAATAAGCTGTGCCTTTACGGCATCAACAGCATCGCGAATCCACGAACATACTTTGGGGTGCCTGGATTGGTGAACTGGCAGATTATATGCTCGGCTGGTGAGGAATGTCTGTGCAGGGTAGATGGAACGGTAAAACAAGATATTGTGGATGCATATTGTAAGGAATTGGGTGAAAGAGTTTAGAACATGGGATGCTTGACTGGCGGATATCTCTTGTTGATCGTCGTGAGGTTCCTGATCTGGTTCGGGAGACATGTTTGGTAGGTGCTTAGGTGCTAAGGTTAGGTGCTTGGGTAGGGCGGTAGGGCTTAGATAACGCCACCTGCTAGGCACCTCCCCGTAAGTTTGGTAACTCTGACCTGGACCCGACCCCGTGTTAAGCTAGTTAGGTAGCTGCAAGGCAAGACAACGTTAGCCTATCGACGCGTTGAGGGGCAGGAACAAAGCTTAAAAACGCGTTAAGTGGAAGGTGTTTCAGTGTTCAGTCTATGTACATTGAGTACCTGGTAATTTCCCCGTAATCATCATCATTGCACATGTACCTAGGTATTTTGCACAGTCCTGAAAGTAACGTAATTCAGTAGTTCCTGCCAATCAATTGGGTATTTAAAATTTGAGTTTTATCGGGTGATCAACAGTGCGCCGTGCCAGAAAAACGCGTTTGCGCTAAGCTTTGACACACCTACGCAGCTGCCAAATTACCTAGGTACAGGCGACCGTTAGGCTTATTGGTGCTAAACCTTTTAAAGGATTTAATGCACAAATAAATCGAGTTCGGCGTCCCACCTTCAATTCGTCCCGCATCTGTCCCGCCGCCACTGTTTTGACCGCTTTAGACTAAACACAAACATTCTTGTCGAGGCAACAGTCTCGACGGAACAATTCCCAAGATCCCCCGCGCCGAAGTAACGGCTTCATATTATCTAAGTAAATTGTTTTCGACCCAAATCCCCCGGATTGCGACGAGATTCACGCGCTACCATGGAGGACCAGCTTGTCCAGGTCCTAGCCAACACGCAGTTGGCCGCCGAGGGACCTAGAAAACAGGCAGAAATTGATTTGAAGCGTGCTTCTAGCAATCCTGCCTTCCCTGCCTCTCTCACCAACGTCGCCCGACATAGTTCTATTTCGGTAGAAATCCGACAGGCGGCCTTAACCACGTTACGACTTTTCATTGAGAAAAATTGGAGCGGCGACAATGACGGCTTCCCCATTATTCCCGTCGCTGATTCCATCAAGGACCAGCTCAGACCTTTGATTCTTGACCTTGCATTGAACTCAGACGACAAGAAGATCAAATCCTCTGCAAGGTACGAGCACTAAATCGCGCCATGTTGATTCTTTCTATTGTTACATCTAGATGGCCCTCCAAACATACAAGCACATGCTCTATTGATTATTAAAAAGCTGTCACTAACTTTTCATGTCCTATAGCTATGTTGTAGGAAAGATCGCTAACGTTGATTTCCCCGAACAATGGTCTACCCTCCTCCCTACCCTTCTTGAGACGATTACAAATGGCAGCGACGACCAACTTCATGGGGCTTTGATCGTGCTCCGCGATCTGGTTGAAGAGAGTTTAAGTGACGATCAATTTTTCTCTATGGCACGCGATATCGTTAAGGTCGTATATGATGTGGCCACAAATGGAAATCGAAAGCCCGCTCTACGAGGGCTTGCCGTCGCCGTCTTTCGAGGATGCTTTGACCTCATGGATACAGTTAAAGAAGAACACCCCAAGGAGGTTCAAGGATTCGCTGAGGAAGCCATGAAGGGTTGGTTCCCGTTCTTCCAAGAGACCATGAAGCTGGGTCTTCCCGAACGTGACCCGGAGTTGACGTCGCAACCTGAATCTTGGAACGGCATTGTCGCTTTAAAGCTACAGGTCGTCAAATGCCTCTTAAAGTTGAAGCTGGTTTTCCCCAGCATCTTACTGCCTGAGACTCCTCACTTTTTTCAAGCGATTTGGGGAGAATTGTTACTTCTTGAACCTTCCCATGAGCAGATGTACATTGAGAATGGAGCGCAAGGCAGGCTGGAAGACTCAGATGGTCTCCCCTATACCCTTGATTTTCTCGTTCTAGAAGAACTGGACTTTTTGAATGGCAGCATAAGGGCGCCACCAGTTCGCAAAGAATTAGAGGCCCAGCTAGCAGCCCATCCTTCAGCACATGAAACACCTTGGGTTCTAGATCTCATGAAGCTTGCTTCTTCCTACGCCCGTATCACTCTGGAGGAGGAGGAATTGTGGGATATCGATGTCTCACTCTATCTTGCGGAAGAACAGTCCGTCAGCGCCAACTATACCCCTCGAACAGCTTGTGGAGACCTCCTTATCAAGCTAGGCGAGTGGTTGAATCAAAGAGCGTTAGAGGGACTCTTCGCGTATACAAAGAGCCTATTCGTCGAAGATGCATCTTGGAGAAAACAGGAAGCGGCCCTTTTCCTGCTCAACATGCTTGTGAATGACTTCGTTGATTGCGGTAAGGATGTACCGGCCGAGGTTAGCCAAGCATTCCTTGAGTTGATTAACTACGCTATCAACCGTCCCGCGGAACCGTTGCTGCGTGGTCGCGGCTATCTAGTCGCTGGCGTGCTGTCTCAATTCAATGGGACAGCAGCTGCGCTCATGGATCGGACAATTGAAACTATTACATCAGACCAATCCGAACTTGTGCAGGTCGCATGCATTAAAGCGGTTGAGGGCTTTCTACGAGGCGGAAACGTCGCCGGGAACCATTTACTCCAGGCTAAGGTGGTAAATGCTATTTCGCAGTGGCTCTCAACCAAAGATATGACCGATCTTGAGGAAGCAGACGACCTACTTGTCACTCTTACAGAAACCCTTCGAGCTGCCATCAATATCGACAAACGTGTTGCCGTATCCAACGACATTCCTGCTTTGGATCTACTCTTCCTCATCGCCAAGCACGGCTCATCCAACTGGCAAGTTACAATGCTTATTTGTGAGGAATTCGAGGATATTGTGAAGACGCTGCCGGACCCAGCCGCCTATCAAGCGCTTTGCCAAAAAGTTCTCCCTTCACTGACCGGCGCATTCAACGTTGCCGACGCGACTGAAGATAGCCCACTTATTACGGTATGTCGAGCCCATCTACAACTGTTGAATATTGAATCCCTTAGCATGCTGGAATCTTTCCGACTGCGCCTAAATTCCTCTTACATGAAAACTGGCAAAAGCTAATTTTTTATGATAGTTCGCAACTGAGTTGATGGCATCCCTCACTCAGTATGCTTCAGAGCCTCTTCCTCCTGGTTTCGTAGCAGCTACTCTGCCTAAATTAAGCCGCTTGCTCATGGAGGGCAATGAGGGTGATATCCTTCGACCTGGTTCTGAATCAGTCAAGTACTTACTGCAACACGATCACGAGCAAGTGTTCAACTACCACGATGAGAATAACAGGTCCGGTCTCGAAGTTTGTCTCCATATTATCGACCGTCTGCTAGGCCCTTCCATTGAGGATAACGCCGCATCGGAAGTTGGTGGTCTTGCAGCAGAATTGGTTGAAAAGGCAGGCCACGAGCGGTTAGGACCGTTTTTGCCGCAACTCTTGCAGGCCGTGGCTAACCGATTGGTCACTGCTGAAGCTGCTTCGTTCATTCAATCGCTCATTCTAGTCTTTGCGAGACTCTCTCTCGTGGGTGCCCATGATGTAGTAGAGTTCCTCAGCACGATTCAACTAGATGGTAAGAGCGGTTTACAGGTCGTCTTGAGTAAATGGCTGGAAAACTCGGTCAATTTTGCCGGGTATGATGAGATTAGACAAAAGTAAGTGCAGTCAGGATATTATCGACTTGCATTTTGCTAATAGATATATAGCGTCATTGCTCTCTCTAAGCTGTACACCTTGAATGACCCTCGGGTTACTCAGACGTTGGTTTTGGGTGACCTTATCACCCCCGCAAGTGAGGTGATCATGACACGATCGCGGGCTAGGCAGAGTGAGTCCCCTCGTGCCCCTCCTCGCAGTAGTATTGACTCGGATCCAGCGCCAGATCAATGGAGTATCATCCCTGCGCCGCTCAAGATTTTGAAGGTCTTGATCGAGGAGCTCCTCTCGGCCTCGGGAGCTAATAGCGCCGCAAACTTAGCTGCTGCTGCTGCTTCTGAATTTGTCGACGAAATTGATGACGACGGTTGGGAAGATGAAGCTGACACGCTTGATCTCAGCCTAGGCAGTGTCAAGGCTGGTATGATGAGCTATATGGAGTCTAGTAGCATGCGCCACCGAGATGATGAGACTCAAGCTTATCTAATAGAATTCTTCCTGGCCGCCGCGCGCGACAATGTTTCTGGTTTCGGAGAATGGTATAACCAATTGACGGACGCTGAGAAACAAAAGCTACAACAGCTTTCTGAAGGACAATAGTCATTTGATTCAGCAATCGCCGCGTGCCATGCGGGATAGAAAGTGATTTCGCGAGAACATTTACGAGTGGCGTCTGGGTTCGTATCAGATGATTAGAAAAAGACGTCCGCACAAAGAATGGTTCCGTCAAAGGCCTGCTTAAAATTGCCAAAAGGAGGGTTTAATGCCTTGGTATGGTGGTTGGCGAAGATACCTAGATGAGGGCGGTCCAATATTCGGATTGGACACGCAAGTAGTATATAATGCTACGACAGTAATCCTTAGGGGGGAATGGTGACCTAGATAGGCACGCAACAATAACTAAGTCTACAAAATAAAAATCATTATAGTTGACATACCTCTTTTTCCAAGTCAGAGATATACGTGCGTCGTGTCCATATAGAGGGAGCACGGATTACTAATTAGTGCTCGTCAGCAACTTCGTTAGGTAATCGAAATCATTCCTACAATGACTAATCCATATAGTCTTGACTAATGCAATTTATATAATGAAGCTGACGATGACTAATTAATTAGTTATCATCGTCTATGAGATACACAAATATAGCATCTTGATGCCATGCTACATACACGATCACCAAATCATCTTAAAGGGCACGTATGTGTACTTGTTCAAAGCATTCGCAACCGTACTTTCCATTCATATAATTACTAACCGTCCAATGCAGCTATAAAAGGGGGACCAACAGGTCTTACCTATCTTCTAAGTCGTAGTTCATGAGAAACAAGCCCAGCCGATCCAAGCCGAGCCAAGCCGAACCCGTAACCGTTACCCGTTTACCAGAAGAATCGTCGTTTTTTTCGTTACGTTACGGAGTTTACAAAACACAACGGCCGTCCACGCGGCCGATTTTTCTCTTTCCCCTGCTGCCTTGTACAAGATAAAGCGCCATTATCATGGTCATCAATATACAACAGCGAGAGCATCAACGACAACAACGCCCGTCTCGCAATGCCTATGAATCTCGTCGTGACCTTCCTGAGCAGCAGCCAAAACACCAGTCGTCCCAATGAAATCGTTTCGTAAATGACGTCCCTCTAGTCGTCACCGGCATTAGTAGTATTGCCCTTTACCAGGGCTCGTAAGCTCACCATCTCTCGTCGGAGACGGGCATTTTCTCTCTTAACGCGAGCTGTCTCCTCGCTACAATCCCTCATCCGGGTCATTAATTCTTCCTTATCGTCACGGCCCTTCCCCTTGAGGGCCTTAACGATCTTTCCTAATTCGCTATTGAATTTCTCGTATAGTATCTCGTTCTCCGCCTGGGTTTCTTTATATAGTTGGTCAATAGCCTTCACTTTAGCCTCGCTCGCCTTCACCGAATTATCAAAATCTCGTTGGAGCTGTTCCTGCCGCTCCGATGCTTGAGAGATAAGCATAGGAAGACGTTCCTCAAGCGCTTTCAAGCCAGAAGCGAGTTTTCTCATATCAACACTCGTACTGCGTGGTAGTGAAGAGTTAACCCTGGCCATATCTGCAGTGATTTTGGAAAGTTCCGACTTGAGGTTGACATCAACCTCGTCGATGGAATTTTTCTCAGTTTGCAAACGCTCGCGAAGTTTTTGTGTCGACTGTAGTCGGAGCTTAGTTGGCGACTTGGTGGGGCTAGAAGTAGGTCTAGAGGTGGAATCAGTTCCCGGCGTCCCAACATCACGGGGAGCTTTCAAAGTGGGAATATTGGACGTTGATAACATCTTAGTATGACCCTGCACTTGGCCCTTCCTAATTGACTCGCTCGGCGAAGAAATAGACTGTGAGTGTGTTCGTGTTTGCGGTTGTGCCTGTGTTTGTGATTGGTCGTCGACATTTTCTTTTTGTCGGGATAAACGGAGAGTCGAGTTAGAAGCGGCGTTTTGTGATGTTGGGCTAGTTGGGATTCTAGATGGCGATGGAATGCGTGGTCCGGAGTTAAACTTCTCGGATGTCTGCTTCATATGAGAAAGAGGTTGTAATGGTTCTTCGTCCTCAAGGCTCGCCGCCGCCATAAGGCTCTTTAGGTCTGACAAGGAACTTCGGCGTTTCCTCCTTGGAGCTTTGGGAATAGCCTCCTCGGCTTCGGGCTCCCCAATCGTCTCGAGTTTGTGTGAACTAGTAGGACGTGACAGATTGTCGTCGAAAGCACCGGCAATGGGGGGTCTATCGCGTGATCCAGGCCGTCTTAATTTGTTCGGTCCGGATGGAACACCAACATCAACGGATTTTGTCCTGGCCACGGGGCTTCTGACTGGGGTTAAAGTCTCGCCCGTTGCTGGATGCCTGCCATGTTTGCTTAAACTGCGCCACACTGAGGGTCGGTTGTCTCCCTCATTCTTACTATTTTGTCGCACCAGAAAATTATCAAACCCGAATTTCCTTCGCAACGAAGACGTATTCGAAGTCAATGATCCGGTATGCGACTTCAAACTACGAGTAGTAGAGTTCATTGATTCGAAGGCGGGTACGAGATTGCTAACGCTTGCGTTGAAACTACCCCCTCCATCATCGAAAATACGATCACAATCTTCGACGAGCCTATCAAGGAGATTGATATAATTATGCGCAGTTCCGCCATCAACCAGGAGTTCAGCAAATGCTAGAGTAAGAGCACCTCTATCGCTGTCATTCCCACAGCCATCAAGGAGATCGGCTAGGAGCTTGATGAGAGCTGTAAACGCCCTTCGATTTTGTGGGGCCATATCCATGAAAAGAAAATGGACGAAATCAGCAAAATCGCCAGGCAATTTCTTGGAAGCTCTTTCTTGAAGGGCATCTAATGCTTTCGGTGTCATTATAGGGCCCATCTGTTCTCTCCAAGCGATGCTCACAAATTTCTCGAATGCAACGAAGATGATATCGGATGTAAGGCTAGATGAAGCTTCTATATCGAACGGGCTCTCAATGAGCTTGTTGTAGAGATCATTCACAGAGAGTTCGTCAACAGCAGACCTGTTGAGCAAGGTTCGACCGACGAAGCTGCCTTTACGAGCCTGGAGACTAGCCATGTAGCCCGTGAATGTCTGTTCAAGACGAACTAGCGGGTTTTCCGGTCGGTCATCATCAGCACCGCCAATCCGAATGCCATCCCTACTCTTAGCCGAACCATATAATGAGTTCGCATCTCTTGAGCTGTTAGAACGGCTAAGTTGGCCGGGAAGAAGAACCGGGGCGTCTCCTGTTAAGGTACGTTGATGTTTAGAGCTGCTACCTAAGTCTGAAGTGCTTCCGCTGAGGAAACTCGAAAGATATTTCACCGGTGACGTAGCTAAGAATGATCTTGTTTTCTCGGCCCTATTCGATACGCTTAAGCCTCGAAGTATTTTCGTGTGGAACGATACCATCGCAGATGTGAGTCCAGGATTAGCAGCATTAAACTGGCTACTGAGAAGTTGGATTACTACGATTCAGTTAGCAACGTTTCCGAAATTTTAAATGAATAGAAACTTACCCCTCCTAGCGAGCGTTGGAAGAAAATCTTCCAGCGCTATCTCGTCAGTTGCTTTCTTTCCATGAAGTCCCAATGTAACCACAACCACCTTCTTCATAGTCCCAGTTTGTACTTCAGAACATATCTCCACACCATAGTGACCAACGGGCGCTCCCTTGGTGCCCCTTTCTTGGTCCACAACGATACGAATCGGTGCCGGCTCTTTTCGGCCTTCTATTAATTGATCGAGACCTTCCTGGAAGACGGCAACGAATAGTCCCAACCCAGTATCGGGCATCTTTACAGATCGTAAAGTCCAGCAAGGATCTTCACGTTCTTTCTCCGCGAACCTGCCTTCCACTCTAGCCTTCACGACATCCTCGTTCCATCTTGCAGCTTTTCCTTCGTACGACTCTTGTAATACGAAGCAACGGGATGTGGGTGCTGTGCTTGTGACGAAATCCCCTGCATGAGCACCTTTCATTTCATTGGACGAAGTCATCCACACCATGCGTCCGTCAGAAGATTCTGTGAAACGAACATCGGCCAAAGTATGCCAACCGGCGAACGCCAGTTCATAGGAACCTGGCCCACCGGCCGCATTCGTCATAGAAGCCAAAAGACCCGCCGGCGATGGCTTGTCTATTTCACGCAGTAAGTCGCGTGCTGTCGTATTTGCGCCATAAGCTCTTCTGACAATAACGACACAATCCGAGAAAAGCAGAAAGATGCCTGCTTGGTCGCTTTGGAGTGGTTCTGCTGCCGTACCAATTTGGTACGGAGCGGATATCTCGCAGAAGTCAGCAGCGACAATCAGTCGCCCATGAGGCTCAAGATCACTAGGCCAACTCTCAACCATGTTTCGCAGGCGTGTATTGACGTGAGGCTTGTCAGTGAGTGGGTCGTCCATAGAGCAGATATTGGCAATGATATCCCTGGCTTTCAACATAGGTTGAAGGGCGGGGTGAGTAATAGGTAGACAGCTAACAATTTGATCGATCACTAGACTATACCGTGGTAGTCGCTGCACAGGCTCGATGACAGTAGAACGAAGATATTGTTCTCCGGCAAGGGGTAATCTTTGCGAAAAGCTAGATTGTTGGCTAATGAAGGAGGTGATGAGTTGGGCAAAGTTCTGACTCGCTCGAATATAGTCCTGATAACAGTCCGTAAATTTTGGAAACCATTCCAGCATGACCTTTGCCATCGCCACAGCTCCGCTCGCGTCTTTTGTCCTTCCAACCAAACTTCCCGAAACACCCACCCTCGAGGATGCGGAACCGGATTCCATATCCTTGAGAGCATCTCCTTCGGTCTCTTCCATCACTTGTCGTAGTGCTTGCAGGAAACCTGAATTCAATTGTAGGATCTCATCGGCCGACCTAGGGAATAGCTTCTCCACATCCTCTTCCGAAGGGCTGAAGCTGTCCGGCTGTCGTTCCTTGGCTTTTTGCCTATACTCAGGAGCAAGTTGATTCACCAATTCATCCACCTTCATTACGTAGCGTTCCTCGGTATCTAGCAATTCAGTCATTTTTCGTCGTAATTCGGCCTTTTGGTCCTTTGAAAATGATTTGGTTCGATTCAGCGCGCTCGGTTTGGAAGGAGCTCGTCGCAATCTTGACGTTGGCAAGAATACGGGCTCGCCGAAGAGTTTGACGAGAGGCGTATACATGCCATATTGTCGCAATGTTGGATCTAAGATATCGTCTTCATCTTCGGGCACATCCTCGAAGTCTGCAGGTTGTAGTGGAATAATGGAGCCAGGAGGTAAGACAAGATCGATATCGACATTATTTATATGCTGTGTCTGAAGAGCAGTCTGGAGCTTTTGGATGATTTCTAGTGTGCTGTCTGCCTTGACCATTGACTTGGCGATATCGGCAGCATGCTGTTCACTGAATAGCATCGGGGCCGAACCCGGTCGACGGCTTCTCATAGAGGGGTATTGCAATCTAACATGCGTTTTAACGTGCTCTGGGAGTTCGTGGAAATACTTGAATAAGCCGAAAGCCAACGCTCGGTATACCTCGTCGCCCTGAAACTCGCGGGGCAGGTAGTTAACGACATTATAAAAGGGCGAATTCGGTGAGATTGTGAGTCGTGGAAAAGATTGGAAGCCTGCTGGAGTATAGACGTGAACCTGCACTCTCGAGCTATTCAATGTGTAATTCGCAGTTGTGGACGGTCCGTGAAGGATTAATAAGGGCAAGTGGCCAAGCAAAGGGTCGGTGGCTTGGTAGAGAGCGAGTTGGTCTGGCGAAAGAGCCAGTTCTTCGGTGACGCGAACCATGGTCGCTTCAATTGGCCTTTCGCATCATGCCTCGGAAGGGGAAAACGAGCGTAGGGAGGTCAGTGGACGAAGACCCGGTGGCGAGTTAAGCGATGCAAACGTTTCAAGATTCGTCAATCGTGGTAAACAAGTGGGCGGTACTTGTGCGTGTCGAGCTATAGCGACTTGTTTACTTTGTCGAGGATCAAGAAAAATAAAATAAAAATAACTAAGCCAAAGTAGAATGGTGGTACAAACAAGGCTACGTGCAGTTGTGGATACAGTCCATATGACTCGGTAGAAGGAGAAATAGTAACTGCGCAATAGAATCAAACCAATGCTCGAAAACTATTTGCATTTAAGAAGTCGGATACACAAGAATAATTGGGTGAAGTGGTATGTATCAAGAATGTTGTTAATCATCATTTGCGGTCAACAACAAGACGGCCGACAAGGATCAGGTAGAGAGGGAACCGGGACAGGTAGGGTTATTTTTTAGCGGGCTCGGGGGTTCTTGATTCGGGGGATTATTTTTGGGGTCTGCCCAGGTGGTAAACCTAAACACGCGCGACTTGAAACAACCTTGGAAACCGCGTCTCCTCTATTAGACCCCACTAGAGAACCTTATTAGACCTAGACCTTGCCCTGTATCTCCAGCTATATGATTATTTTTAGATACGTCGCTAACATTCCCTAAATCACTCGTCTTTCAGCATCTATCCTTTCAAGTACCTTACATTTCATCTCCACTATCTACCAAATCGCGCAGTCAGTTCGCGAAATATGTCCAGCCAAAAGGATGCAGGGATTCCGCTTAATCATGCTCCTAACGGGATCGGTTACAAGCTATTGGAGCTGCCACCAGAGGTGCTCGCACTCTTAGAGTCGGAAACCCCACCCGTGTTAGTGGAACAAGCGTGCTAAGAATTCATTGACAACACCCTAACACGATATTTGCATCGCAGTTTAACCCTCGAATCGTCAGCAAATTCGGCAATTTTAAAAACCGGCACTCAATCATGGGCCCTCCATCAGAAGAATACATCAAACGCTTTAATCATACTCGAGCCTTCTGAAGGAACAGCCTCTTTGTCGTCATCGCAGATACCAGAAACAACCCTCAACGCTATTGCAACAATTCACGATACAATTGAGCTTGTCTCGGAACCCACAGGAAAGCCAGCCCCCGTTGCGCGGGGCAAGTGGCACGAAAGGTTTGCTCGTGGACGATAAGCTCCTCGGGATAAGGAGCTTTGGGAGCGAACCTTGGTATAAGTTACCTACATGTAGGTATTCAATCCACGAAGACAGCGACTTCAAGATCACTACAGCATCAAATTTCGTCAATACTTAACGTGATGCTCATACCTAACATCGATTACTTAGAACAATATAACGTGACAACTCACTAGAAACTACTTCAAGCTTGGCTGAATCGACTATACAATTGAAGTCTGATATTTATTAAGAGCTATATGGTGGAAATTTAATAAGGAAACCTGCATGGCGATAATTTTAACCGGCGCTCTCACTACCGCTTAAGAAGCATCTCGGAAATTATCCTACATGATATAACGTTATACGGGTAGTATCCGACAAGTATCTTGTCGATACTAAGTTTAAGATTGCGCAGGTGCTCAAGAACGGTACTTGGATCTACGATCTTGCTTATAACCCTTGTCAGCACATGCTTAAGGTTTCCAATCACGGTACGTACTCGCGCAAAACCAGGAACTCGGTACTTGATCGAGGAAAAAAAAACACGAAGATACATCAAATGCGCCGCAAGTAAGTACCTAGGTACTTTCTGATCGCCAGGAATATATATTTTTTTCGATATCATCTGCGTTGTTCTACCTCGAGTGTTTGGATATAAGCGACCAATTACCCCGAATAACGTTTCATTTTTAATAGCCTACGGAGGAAGTTGGCAGGCTGATAGAATATACTCCGATAGGGCTGTTGGTTTGTTTTAGCTATCTAGGTCGACGAGACCGGCCTAGATAGGCTGAGTTGGATTAGGATCGCGGGATGTTCCCGACAATGAAGGGGGGAAAAAGCAAAATGGAGATGCCTGAACTTTATGTACCTCGTGAACCCCCCACCTCAGAGCACCTCAAAGCACGCACCTTCCCCCGAGACTTGCTCATGATTAAATTCAGCCTCAACTTATTCTTCCTCAATACCTCCACACCATAAATTCTTCGATCGTCTTTATTTGGACTAATCATTGCCAAGTCACCAACCCCGAACGCTTCATCATTCCATATACCGGAGTATTGAGTGTTAGACGAAGCCTTGCGAATCTCAGACTTCGACGATGCAATAGCTACGTCCTAACACACCTCTAAGAAGACGAGCGACTATTATTACACCACCCACCCACCCACCCACCTGTATAATGGACTATCTGACGACGCCAAACCTTTGTCTACTCGTATCACCATCGCACGGGTGCTGGGAGGGTTTACATATTAGTTTACCCACTTAACGACCTCACAATCAAACTAGGCACCGTAAGTAATGCCGTTTATCATCCCATCTTGACAAATTTTCCACCTCTACATGCCGTACGTTTCCTAGAATAGCCCCGGTGGCCAGTGCAATTCTATTGTTCTTTCGTATGGCACACACGGAGGCCATACCTTAAGTAATCATCCAAGCCAACAAAAATACACTAGGTAATCGATCAGTGCGTACTTTCTATTGTTTTTAATTGCAGGCAGTATAGTGCTGTTTGCGTTTCTATCCAGTCCGGGGGGTTTTTTTTTTTTTCCTTCTTGGTTTTTTCTCAAGTCTTCCTTATTTATTCTATACATTGTTTTCTTCGTCACTCCAATATTTCCTTCCAGTTCGTACATCCAAGCAGCCAAGTTCTGGTTACATGGAAGTATCACGCATGAGCGAGTTCAAGGCGTCTGCTCAAGTACCTAGGTAGGTACAAGGTTGGCGAACAGACAGAAACTCGCGAGACTCGCGAAACTTGCGCTTCTGAACATTAAAGACCAACATTCCCGTTGTTGGGATGCCTTAGCCCTCAACCCAAACTTCTAGGTAGGTACAGATATGGTTCGTATATGCTACATCGCTCTGGCCCAACCCTTCCTCCCTCCTCCTTCCACTTAAATATGGATGACTCTACGCTATAGAGCAATATCGCAGGCAATTACCACCCGCATTGAATCAACCCACCTGATTAACTAGGCAAAACTACTAATTACCTAGACTCCCTTCACCACAACACCTACCCATCCATACACTACCGCTTCCAGGCCCTTGGGGTTATCTTCCAGGGTCTTCCCTCAACGTTCACAACCCTACTAGACACTTATATGCCCTCTGGAGTATCTCACACCCTTTTTCTATCTCTCTAAATCGCGTACAATTTCCTTGTGTACCCCAGTCTTTTCTTATTCCTTCCCACCTACCAAGGTACAGCATCCCTGACACTAATGTCGGATTGGTACACATATCCAATGGCGCCTGGGGACATTGTATACTACTTAGTCCTGCTAGGACTTACGGCTGCTTTCCAGACTATCATAAATTCTCTTCTATTTGCATTGTTCATTGTTTTTCACCTTGGAAACTTTACCATTCTTCACATTTCTCAAGAACTAACTCGTATGAGCCAGGTCTCATCCAATCTCATCTTCGACAGAAACTTAAGACCTCGGCCCTTTCGTCACAGGTTTACCCAACCTGGAACCTTTGATTATAACACCAACAATAACACCCGCCATAGCCCTCGTGCTAACAATCATAATCGATTTACTGAAGCCGACATGGCACCACGAGAGCCTCCCGAAGTCATTGTAATTGATGATGACTCAGATGATGGACCCATCTATCCCGACCATGAGGAGCTACAGTTTTCCAATCGTGACACCCCGGAGGCTGCTCATAATCGCTGCAAGGATGGTGTTAAAGCTGTCTTCCCCGACATCTGTTTGGATTACTTAGAGATAATCACCTTGGAGCAAAATGATAACTTGGATGCTGCTATCGACGCGATACTTAATCTTCAGGAAAATGGTGAAAAATATCCAGTCAGATCTCGTGAGAACCCCCTAAAACGCAAAAGAGCAGACAGAGACAACGACGAGGACAACGACGAGGACGGAAAAGGGGACAAAAAATTGGGCAAGGAGGTTGCGAAAAAGATCCGAGCCAAGATCGCGGGAACCGACTACTCACAGAACATTTCGTCACCGGACTACAGAAAAACAGCCCGCAATTGGATTGCTGCAGAGGTTCGTATACGCAGCCAACCCCCTAATCTCCAATCCCCTTGATTGTATTCACATGTATTTCTTTCAAAGGCTAACCTGATAGCACAGTATGTGATATTTACCTTTTCTTACTCCCCTTTTATTCTTCTTGAGCTGGTTTTTATCCACTTGTATTATATAAAATGTTATGCTGCAGGTAGGACGTCGTGTCTCATGCTAGGTATTGACTCTGAGTTAGTTTTCCCAAAATTCCGTTAAACATAATCGACAAATACCTTAAATCAAACAAAAACTCCGTATTTGAGACGTACACAGCTATAGATGAAGCCGCCCGCAACTGGGACCCAGCAAACCCCCCCTGGCAAGAGAAGAAGAAAGTATCAAAGGCGCCAAACGTCAATATTGAGGCTCTTAGTCTCGCCGAATTTAGTCCCGCGGAGCAAGCAGCAATCGATGAGCTACGCGCCGCTAGGGAGGTGAAATTGATTAAAGACTTTGCTAAGTCTGAAGAAGAGGTTAATCTTGCGAATGCAAAGGCGACGGGCGAAATTACAGAATGTGGTTGCTGCTTTGAAGAATTCCCTCTTAACCGAATGATCTCGTGCGATGGCGAGACGGTCCACTGGTTCTGTCGAATTTGCATGAAAAGTCAAGCGGAACACAACATAGGTCTCGCGAAACACGAACTTACTTGCATGTCCATGGACGGTTGTTCAGCTGGATTTGCTCCGAGCAAAAGGAGCCAGTACCTTGACAAGAAATCACTTATCGCATTAGAGCGAATCGAGCAGGAGGCTGCATTACGAACAGCCGGTATCGAGAATCTTGAGACATGTCCATTCTGTCCGTACGCGGCCGAGTACCCTCCCATTGCTGTCAATAAAGAATTTCACTGTGTCAACCCGGGCTGCGAAATAGTTAGCTGCCGTATGTGTCGAAAAGAGACTCACATACCAAAGACTTGCGCCGAGGCTGCTGTTGATAGCGGCGTTGACGCTCGACATATTCTGGAAGAAGCGATGAGCGAAGCCTTGATTCGGAAATGCAATTCATGTAAGGAACTTTCATTGTCCCCGTTTGATCAACGCCGCACAAAATTTCAACTAACATCCCTATTATAGGCAAGAACCCATTCTTAAAAACGGATGGATGCAACAAGATCAAATGCACGCGGTGCGGCGCGTTACAATGCTATGTCTGTCGTCAGACTATAATTAATTATACTCACTTCAAGGACAGAGGTGGTGACGGCAAATGTCCGTTATACGAGAGCACAGAACAGCGCCACCAAACAGAAGTAGAGCGCGCCGAAGAAGAAGCCCGACAGAGGGTCGCTCGGGACAATCCCGACATCGTAAGTTAATTCCTCTAGCCCATATTTCTACCACATCCCCATCTATTGTTCCGCTATACCTTATCCATAACCTAATCGCCTGAAGAATTCACCACTGATAATTATGATCATAGACCGCCGATGCCTTGAAATTCAAAGTGTCAGATCAAGTTCAACAGGATGAGCAGAAACGTATAACTGCTGAGGCTGCTCGTAATCCTAACGTGGCAGCATATGCAGCTCGTTTCCCTATGCATTATCTGCCTGGCGATCTGCCTCCAGCTCTTCGTATGCCCCCGGACGCACCAAATCCGAGGCCGAGGCCCTATCGCGCACACCTGCAACCACCACCGCTACCGCATGCACCTCCACCTCCTCCCATGATGCCAGAGCAACAAATAGATCCGGATAATGTGTGGGCTAGATTGTTTCCACCGGTACCTCAAAGACATGATCCACCTGCCGCCGCGGCTGTTGCCCAGCCTAATTTTCGACGCGACGAAGCGACGGCTCGCACCATCCTCCTAGCGGAGCGTCTTCGCGGAAATCATATGCACCCGGCCTGGCCTCGTTTCCCTGAGTAGAACAGGCCATTGATATCAATAATCTGTTCATTATGCCTTCATTGGCTTCTATATTTAATGCACTCCAGATCAACGATATTCTCTAGCCGGAAAATGGCCATGTATTCTTCCCCAAGCAATAGGGTCCCCGCCCTTTATTTTCTATACCCCTTTCCGTTATTGAGGTATTGTTGGAATAGGTCGAGCAAAACCGGGTAGTAGCAAATGTGTTCCACAATCTCGGAATTTAGGGAAATGTTCTCAGGAGTTTCAGGCACTCATCGTTGACACGAGGAAGAACGGTAGATATACCAGGGCAATAAGGAGTTTTTTATGGTTTTTACCGATTTGGTCGTTTGTGCGAGGGATTGTGATTTCTGCCACTGTCGGGAAATATGTGGCAATCATGATATACCCTATGTTGTCTTTGTTCTTTGCTTGACATTGACACACATACGCACTAATTTCGTTGGAATTTGGCCGGTTTCTGCTGCTACGGAGGGAAGTAGGTTGAATCATGTGGCTAGTACATAGGTCGATACTCATTGTCTGTACCTATTGAGCAAAGAATATAGCAATGCCACCCTATCTGAATATTTTAAGTTAATTTCGTAAAAGTCTAGATACCTTTGATATTGTAGGTAGTAAGCAATAGCATACCTACACGAGCATGTTGCTCACTCCCAAGAACTCTCTACCGTCTTGTACCTATTTTCCCATTCTTGTCTCCCAAAATTTACCATCAAAATTCATAATCTAACACCAACAATACTTCTCATTCACGACCCATTCGATTTCGCGCACATCCTCATCGCCGTACCACATCATGCTAGGTATGCTCTCCTCATCTCTATCGACCCAGCCGTGCTGTAATCCACTACGCTCAATCAATCGCTTGACAACGGGCGTTGGGTTCCATAGATCGACTTTTCCTAAATGCCATGTCTTAGCTTCGCGTAGCGCCGTTTGCATCACTGCCGTGAACGCCGTGAGTATATCTTCACTCGGCTCCCCCTCTTTCTCCTCTTTCTCCTCAGGCTCGATAACGAGGCGTAGTATATATAACGTATTTTTAGCCACGTTATCGGCGGGTGACCCCTTGCCGCCGTAATAATTACGCGACCAAAGCGCCCACACACGGCGGCCCTCGGACCCGGCCAGTGCGCCTTTGATGCAGGTCATAACATCGGCTTGTTGGGGAGTCGACTTGAACAGGATTGCTGCGATGAAGTCTTCCCTAAACAGATGCCAGCGCAGAGTATCATGATCAGGGGCGAAAGCAACACTCGTGCGACCCGTTTCTTTCGCCGAGCGGAGTATCTTTTCACGTAAAAGTTGTTCGTCTTGTGCGCAGAGGGATTCCAGGTTGTCGTATGTAACTGGTGCCACGTTCCCCTTGCCATTTGTCTGTTCGTCATTATCCGGGGTTTGGTTGTTCGGGACTGAGAATTCGGCATGTAGACTTGGGAACGGCGCCCATCCTTTCTTGGCATAGTACGCCTTTCCGATGTCAGACCAGAGAGCTGAGCATATGGCATCCTGGCCATTGTGGATTTCTGTCCGCCACTTGCGGAGGGCGGGGCCTAGCTCGTTTAACATGCGCCCTGCATAGCGATACCCGCGGAACTCGGGGTATGTGAAAACGGAACCGACGCCATGTCCTATACCCTCGCGGACTGTTGTGTCGTTAGGAGATGCGACGAGCACACGCTTACTGATGGATTCACATGAGGCGAGTACTGGGCGATCTCCTCCATTTTCGACGGTCCAGGATGAATCCGTCAGGATCCAGTGAGTCATGCCCCCGTCGCGAGATAGCGGGACGGTCGTTAAGTAGGGTTCTCGCTTGAGGTACTCCTGGAGAGTAAGAGCTCCACCCCATTCTTTGTGGTTGAGCGTCCAAGTTCGCCGTTTCTCATCTTCGGTTGGATGTGTGAGGATGAGCGAAGCAGCAGTAGCTTCAGGTAGGATGTAAATGTCATCTCGCGTAGTTGAACCCATATTGATGAAAGCCTTTCTGTATGATTGGGATAAAGACTCTTTATTCTGAGGCTATAATATTTGCCTCTTAAAAGGTACCCTCCCAAAACGGAGCTTGCTGGTAATGAAAATAGAGCCTGATATAAATCAAGGTGTAATCCGTTGGCCTATATTTCCTACGAGACTTAGCAATACTAGACCCCGCGAAACCATGAAAGAAAAATGTCTTAGATACATGCCAACGTTTAAGTAATAGAACGGGAGAATGGAGAGATAAGAGCTAGAAATAAGAATGGATCGTAAGATAGTATAGTCCCAGCAGCGGTAAGAACTGCATCTTGGTAGAGAGCCTGACGTATGAACCCTGCGGGATGAGAACACCAAGATGAAACCCGGTGACCAGGCATTATGCATGTATCCCCGCGAATGAGGATTAGTACGTTACCCTGATCCACGACTTTTGATAAGAAAGAAAGGGAAATTGAGAGGGCCTAGTGCTACATAGGCCAAGTTCCAGGAGTGTTAGGTAACAAAATATAGAAAAGCAAGCCGGGAACGCACCGGTTTTCCTCGCTCAAGTATACCGTCTCGGCTCCCCATCTCGGGTCGGGGATGATCGGTCCACTTGGCCAAAGAAAATAGCAGGTCAGATACCGGTGACACTTGTTCGTTTGGCAAAACGATTTAGGGATACGACATATGTAGAATACTGTTTAAGGAAAAGTGAATCTTGAAAATGCATACCTTTCATTAAATACTTTATGAAGCAACAGGTTGAGTTGAGTTAAGTTGAGTACCTAGGTAGTTGAAAGAGAGAGAGAGGCTACAAGGGTCTTACAGGGAGACAGTGTAATAATAATAAGCTAAACTAATAGCTTTGGAGAAGGTGTGCTCAGGCAGGTGTAGCTGAGTAGAATGGGGCTTTTAGGTTAGGTGGGGCTCGGTATGGACGCTATGCCGCAGTACGGGGTAGCTTTGCCGCCATGCCGACGCAACCCGCCTCAAATACGTATATCCATGGATGTGCTTGGAAGGAGACCGGAACTTTGTTACCTCACTTTAACTCTGCTGACCACTGAAAATTGTAGGTTTACCAATATCATCTCGCCGTCACCGCACGTACATTGTTGGAATGTTGCTTGGCACTAGTTAATGTCGGTAGGCTGGTGGATCAACTCGGAACCGGAATCTTTGGTCTGTTAAATTAGATAGACTTGTGTCTCAAAACCATCTTCCTATCAGGAACGCCTTGAGCCCACCATCTTTTTTCCTTTTTAATTCTCCTATCAGTGACCGTGGCCGTCATCTGGTTCTCCCCTCTCTTCCGGATCCAGCTTAATCAGGGTATCGATTCGCATTATGCTGATACACGCCTCCACCGCACTCTTCAATTGCCGAACCTTGCTTATGCTCGGTTCCAACACACCAGCCTTGATCTCGTCAACCACCTTACCCTTCATTAAATCCAGACCGTAGTTCTTGTAGCCCTTCTTTTTCGCAATCGTCTTCTCGTCTTCGTTACCTTCTCCATCTTGAGTTCTTTGAGATAGTGCATGTCGAGATCGTAATTGAGCAACTAATTCGCTTGCATCTTTAGCGGCGTTGACGGCTAACGTCTTGGGGATGACGAGTAGTGATTGAGCGAACTCTCCAATCGCCAATTGCTCTCTTGAGCCTACGGTGCCTGCGAACTCTTCTAGGTAGATGTGTAATGCTGTCTCCACTGCTCCACCTCCAGGTACAATGCTGCCACTCTCCAAAGTTCGCTTAACCGCGCAAAGGGAATCATGCACGGATCGCTCCATCTCGTCAAGCTGGAAGTCGTTGGGGCCTCGGAGGAGGATAGAAGCAGACGAATGTGTCTTTGTTCCCTTGACTAAGATGCACTCATCATCTGAGATTCGTTCTTGGACAACTTCCTCAGCATGACCTAGGTAAGAAGGTTCGAATCGCTCGTCACCGTTTAGATCGGAGAGTGTGCTCAGCAAAGTTGCGCCAGTAGCCTTTGCAATTCGTCGTAGATCTTCCTTCTTGCAACGTCTTACAGCCATGGCACCCCGCTCAACGAAGAGCTTCAGACACATATCATCAATACCCTTGGTTGTAAGGATGACATTTGCTCCAGCTTTGAGTATCATTTCCACTCTCTCGATGACCATTCCGGATTCTCTCGCGCGAATCTGTTCGAGTTGCTGGGGATCATCAACAGTGATTTGTACACCCAACTTCATTCGTTCCTTTTGTAGGTTCATGTCCAACACTGCAATCTTAGCATCCTGTACCCTTGTCGTCATGGCCTGCGATGCTACTGTGCAGTTCAAAGCATAACCCTTAACAAGAACCGACTCCAAGGCCCCCTTTCCGTGTGCCTTTAGAATGTTTACTGCCTTGACCGGGTATTTGACCTCGCTCCGGTTATTCGTCGTCTTCACGGCTTGTATAGCATCAACTACCATGTTAGCAAAGAAATCGGAGTCGGCTCCAATAATTTTGCTGGACATGGATGTCTTGGCAATGCTAAGTAGCGATTCGCGACCGAGGTTCTCAACCTTAGTGCTAACATTCTCGTTCATGTACTTAATAGCCTCTCTTAAAGCAAGTCTGTAACCTGTGATGATAGTGGTTGGGTGTATTCGGTTCTTCATAAGCTCGTTGGCCCGTCGTAGAAGTTCGGCGGCGATGAGAACTACTGAAGTCGTACCATCACCAACTTCTTTATCTTGTTGGTGCGCCAAATCGACGAGGATCTTGCCGGCGGGGTGTTCGACGTCGAGTAAGCTGAGAATGGTGGCACCATCGTTCGTTACTGTGACATCCTAGAACTGTTAGTTAGAATCTCCTATACTAGAAACTAGTTGACCTACTCCAATATCGTCCACCATCATCTTATCCAGACCACTAGGGCCGAATGAGCTCTTGACAACATTCGCAATAGCTTGTGTAGCGAGAACTAGATATTCAATTAGTTATATATCGCATTTTAAGGAGCAAAAAAGCTACTTGCCATTTTGATCCCTAATATCAGCGCCAGAGATCTTTTGGCCGCCTAGGAAAAGAGTCCCATTTCCGGACTGCTCAAACATGGAAGCCATTTTGTAGGGACCTTCTAATATTCAACAAAAAACAGAAATCTCCTAGGTGGTTGAAAGTTTGAAGAAGGAAAAAAAATAGAAGGAGGGGTTCCTGTTTAATCGTTGCTACCAGACTAGGCTCCTGCTTCTTCAGCACCACTTGAATTATTTCGACTGAAGCTTCCTAACTAGCGGGTCCCGCCTGGAACTTTTTTGCGGAAGTAATGGTTATTCCCAGCCCGATAAATTGTGCACGGGCCCTAATTTTCTTATCAGACTGCTGCCCCTGCCAGAATCGCAATGTCACTTCCCCTAATAAACAAGTATTTTGTAGCCCTAGGATTTTCTATAGAGTTTTTTTGAAATGTCAACAAAAATAAAAACAAAGAGAAATGAAAGATACTTTATTTTGATCTCATATGGTTATTATGCATCATACCCTACAAATGAATGAAATCTTGGTGATCGATAAGAGGAAGACTTATTTATTCTGACGCTACTTAGATACCTAGGTACCTACCTGCCCCTCCAAAACTCAATTCAATTGGATTCGACCCCTCGGACCCCTCCATTGTAAACCAAATCGCGGGGCACATTGAAATTTCCAGGCCGCGTATTGTACCAAAGTTGTGACTCCGGTACCAGCTTCCGTACCTGATTTTTCCCTAAGCGGTACTTTTTAATAGAACTTTAGAAGTTACGACCGCGAACCGGCGTGACTCAAATAATAACACCTCGACAATTGCCGTCTTCTTTTAAGTTCACGGTAACGGCGCCCGATTAATTTAGTTTCTTTCTTCGCAACCTCAAAACACTCTTTTCAATCCCCGCCGTTATCGTCCATCACCTCACGCGACGACAACCATGGAGGAGAATAAGCCTGCGGAGCAATCCAAGAGCGCCTTGAAAAAGGCTGAGAAGGAGGCAAAGAAGGCCGCCGAGAAAGCTGCCAAGGCTGCAAAGCAAGCCGCTCTCCCTGTTGTCGGCGGAAAGAAGTCTGACGATATCATCGGCATCACCTTTGACAAGGACGAGAACTTCGCAGCATGGTACCAAGAAGTCGTACTCAAGGCCGAATTGGTCGAGTACTACACTGAAATCTCGGGTTTCTACATCATGCGCCCTGCTACGATGCACATCTGGAACGTCATTCGAAAGTGGTTCACCGAGCACATTGAATACATGGGTGTAGACGAGACCAACTTCCCCATGTTTTTGTCTCAGAAGTCACTAGAGAAGGAGAAGGACCACGTCGAAGGCTTTGCTCCTGAGCTTGCATGGGTCACAAAGGCGTAAGTAAACAGTCATTTTCTTGTTTCTGATCTTGATCTACATTTAACCCACCATGATTATTGTATCTAACCCTACTTTATATCATAGTGGTGACAAGAACCTTGAGGTTCCCGTCGCAGTTCGTCCTACCTCCGAAGCCGTCATGTACCCTTACTACGCGAAGTGGATTCGTAGCCACCGAGACCTCCCTTTCCGACTAAACCAGTGGAACTCCGTCGTCCGATGGGAAGCGAAGCAGACCACCCCCTTCCTACGAGCAAGAGAGTTCCTGTGGCAAGAAGGTCACACAGCACATCTTACTGAGGAGCTTGCCGGCGAGGAAGTCTTAGAGATCTTGGAGCTCTACGCCGGTATTTACGAACAACTCTTGGCGGTTCCTGTTGTGCGAGGAAAGAAGACTGAGAACGAGAAGTTTGCTGGTGGATATTACACCACCACAGTCGAGGGTTACATCCCTTCCAACGGACGAGGTATTCAAGGTGGTACTTCGCATTGTCTCGGACAGAACTTCAGTAAGATGTTCGACATCACGGTTGAGGATCCGAATGAGAAGGGAAAGCACATCAACGTCTGGCAAAACTCGTGGGGTCTATCTACTCGTGTCATCGGTGTCATGGTCATGATCCACGGTGACAACAAGGGACTTGTCCTTCCTCCGCGAATTGCCAAGTGTCAGGTTATCATCATCCCTGTCGGTATCACCAAGAACACAACTCCAGAGGATAAGGCTAAGCATCTCGATAAGCTCGATTATATTAAGTATACTCTGAGGAAGACAGGTGTTCGTGCCGAGGCCGATCTAAGAGATGGCTACACTCCTGCTTGGAAGTTCAACGATTGGGAATTGAAGGGTGTCCCTCTTCGTCTAGAATTCGGACCCAAAGACTTAGCCAAGGACGTCGTCAGTTTCGCACGCCGAGACACTGGAGAGAAGGGCACTATCCCCCTCGCCGATGTGGCTAACAATGTCCCTAAGCTTCTCGAGACTATCCAGAGCGACATGTACAACAAGGCGGAAAAGGCTTATCGAGAACACCGCCTAGTCATCAAGAATTGGGATGAGGTTGTCCCCGCTCTAGACTCTAAGAACGTGGTTATCATCCCGTTCTGCCTCGACGGCAAGTGTGAGGACCGAATCAAGGAGTTGACAACAGGGCGCACGGATGAAGACCCTAACGTTCCGGAGGCTCAGAGGGCCCCGTCGATGGGTATGAAGAGTTTGTGCATTCCCTTCGAGCAGCCCGACGGCTTGGTCAAAGGAGAGACCAAGTGCTTGAACCCCGAGTGCGAACGGTTGGCAGAGCAATTCGTCATGTTCGGACGAAGCTATTAAGCCAGTTATTGCCGTAAAGCACTAAGGGAAGTCATCCCTTTTGTTGTTGTGGGGATTTATGCGGGAGTCGGACGGACAGGTGGGCGGGTGCGGCACGATATCAGATGTAGGGGCGGCATCCGCTCATAAATTGCAGATCATGCGAGATTTCGCTTGAGCAAGAATAAAAAAAAAGATTACCCTTTCTAAATTAACCCGCTCCCTTTCACTTGGCATGTGCAGTATAGGTCTAACGAAAAGTAGGGAAGATTGCGTAAGCTATTGTGAATCTACAGTAGGTATTCCGTTTAATCCGGCTGTGAACATTGGCAATTTCGGATTTATACACCCTATCTCCTGTGGGCTTAAGCCACCTACCGATTCGCACGAGGCCGTGCATGATTGTCTCACAAAACATCGTGATTATGCCCGCTTGAGTCCGCTCTGAAACTTATTAGAAAGCCGCTCTGCCGGTCCTAAATGTCCGTATTAGCATCTTTCAATTCTGCAGTTATGCTGATGTCAGGAATATTACGAAAACACTCAATTGCCGCGTATGAGTTACCAATCGTAACCCACATTTCCGGGTTAAGTTTCATTCTGGGTACCTACATGATGTTGTTTCTATACTCAAATTATAGAGTCATATTATAGAGTTACAATGAGACCCGAACATCCCTGTAATGATATGATGCAGGCACATATTTAAGTAAGCTAAGAAGCAACATATTCCTCGTTACACAGAGAACAGGCGACGATGATTGGATACGGCCAGTTTGGAAGAGAGGTAGGCAATTCCATATTAGTAAACCGACCTAGCCAAACTCCGGCTCGGCAACTATTTCATTACAATACGTATGTGGAGAGCGATCGGCGTCTGATGTCGAATAGAGGCGCAGAGGCGCGAATGCGGGTATTATACAGTTCACCTCCCTTCTCGGTGTTTAGTCCGTCGCGACAAGCGAAACAGATGCGACTGTGTTACCTGTAGTTAGAAGTATGATGGTGCGAAGAATACCCTAGGTACCTTACGGGTATTGCGGTGTTTCTGTTGGCACGGGGGTGGGGAAAGGAGTATTTTCGAATGCAGGTTGTTATGGTTCCTGGTCGTTGCCAAGCTAAAGTTGCCTGTTATTCGGTGAGAATTATGAAGTTATTTCTGCCAGGGGTGTTCTGCAATCCACTTCGGACTTAACCTCTCTCGCTCGTCTTATAAATAGCAAGACAAAGGCCAACATGTATTTCATACGCCTACGATCCATGCTGACTGGCCGGAACCCTTCGGAGTTATTCTATATGCCTTAAGTTACTCAAAACTCAAACAACTATCTGCCTGGTGTATACGATATATCCCAATAGTCTTAAAGATGCCGGTAGACACCTTTTCGCTCGCCGGGAAGTCTGCCATCATCACTGGTAGCGGTCGAGAAAACGGAATTGGAGCCGCTATTGCTAGGACATTAGCACGTAATGGTGCCTCTGTGGTGATCAATTATGTGTCCGATAGCACGAGGCCACGGGCAGAAGCAACGGCCCAATCTATCCGTGACGAGTTTGGTGTGAAGGTGGCGTTGATCCAAGCCGACATCTCAACTCCGGAAGGCGCCCAGGGACTTGTCAGTGAGACGTTAGAAAAGCTAGGGGTGGATCATATCGATATACTCGGTAGGTTGCGAGGTCTTGTCAAGCCCATTAATTTAAAGTAGATATCTAATGGCGATAGTCAACAATGCGGGGGGTGGACCGGTTCAGTCTATCAGAGACACCAGTCTCGAAACCCTCCAAAAGGAGTTCGCGACCAACGTGTTTGGGACAGTGTTTATGACCCAAGCAGTTGTAGAGCTGGGAAAGATGCCACGCGGAGGCCGAATAATCAATATAGGCAGCATAGCCCCAAAGATGAATCCGCCTCTGCTAGCTGTTTATGCCGCAACAAAGGGGGCTCAGAATAGTCTTACTGTAACGTGGGCCGCTGAGGTAGGATTATCTCCAAATCGACACAGAAGGGAATTTCCTAGATTAAAGACGACGCTGATATCTCAATAGCTTGGCCGTGGCCACGGCATAACGGTCAATACGATAGCTCCTGGTCCCGTCACTACCGATATCAACAAAGATTGCCCAGAGGTGATGATACCTATGGCGGAACAACAGCGGGGAGACAGTCGCTTTGGCGTGCCGCAGGATATTGCTGATGCGGTGCTCTTAATCGTATCGGAAAAGAGTCATTGGATAACAGCGCAAGTTATTCATGTGGATTCTGGGGTGGTAGTCGGGGGTTGAGATTTTATTCGTAATCGATATAAAAGCGTATGCTATGATAACATGGAGTGTTGTTTCTCCCTATAATTCGATTCTGTAAAGGTGTTGTTGCCTTTTATGCTACCCTCCCGTATAAATTATTCACAACCTGAACTCGAGTAGCCAGATGGCGTTGCCTTCTTTTGCTTACATTTAGTTGCCGAAGTCTTCAGAATGCATTTCAAGTTGAGGATCCACAGGTATTTCCTCCTCAAGTCGCTGCATCAAATAGCAGTTAAGCTCACGGCAGAGAGAATCCGACTTCCCCTGATCAATGGCATCTATCCAGATAATGCCACGAGCTATGTCAATGGCTTGGTTACCACTTTGCAGACCCATGGATCCCATTATCTCGAGTATGGTTATTACATGCCAGGCTCGGTTCGGGCTCTCTTCCTGCATAGCGCTTATTATGTGAGCCCAGAGGTTCAACTCGGGCACCACGCTCCAGTTTACCAACGGCAGTTGCGAGATCTGCCGAAATGCGTCGAGATGCCTTTCCATCTCATACGCCCCGGCGCCCATGCGTATTTTGATAGCGGCAAGGAAAACAAGTGCAGCGCGCCGGAAAGCTTCCCTTGCTGCTGTACCACAGTAATCGATGGACGATGTGTCTTCGGGAAGTGGTCTCCCCTCCAGGCATAGAATCTCGTGGAAAGCCGGGCCCAGAAGTCTTGCCAATGTTACGTCATCTTGCCAGAATTTGGGGTCTTCGGAACGGCGGTTGATATAATTGGCGACGGAAGCCGTCGCTTTCATGGCATTCTGGATATCGCCTAGAGCGGGGCAGTTCCCATCCCAAGACCGTAGCAGTTGCTCTAGGTATTGAGCATCGTTACCAGTATTGACTTCTCTTATGAAACCTCTGGGAACGTCGAAGCGTGGCTTGACATTGAAATATGTTGCCCCCGCTAAATCGAGCCTACCGAATCACGTTTAGAGGGTCATCGCTTTCTATCCCTATAGAGAATCAACTTACCAGGAAACCATCATCCTCAAGAACGGACTGCTGAGATTTTCTATGCCGCCCTTCTTGTCGATGAGGCGTTGAAGTCCTTCCATATGAACACAATATCGGTCAAAATTCCCGACCGAGGACTATGGCAAGTCTTAGTATGGTTACGCACAAATATTGGGTATCCCGGCCTTTTAAGGGGGGTAAAGGAACATACATCGTGGCAGACAAATCCAGTGACAGCAACGACAAGGCCTTCGGTATCGCTGTCGTCAGGGGTTTGGAGTCTCTCTGTAATAGATGCCAGAGAAAGCGTATACCACTTCATAGCATCAACACTCGAAATGTATTCGGGTTTCTTCAGTTTCTTCGTCTCCGCGTCCATACCACGGTATAATGCCGCATTGGCCAGGGTGATATTCCAAGCAGCGGCATCTGATAACCCCATCGATAACCATAAAAATCGAAATGGTCTATATACAGAATGTGCTTCATTGACCACTGGTGTCACCGTTAGATTTTCATACTGCCAAGGCTTCCGGGGGGGGGGGGGGGAGTATCCTTACTAAATCGGACTAAATTCAGCCGTTCTTCATCCATCCCAGCTGGATATGATGGTCTGTGTAGATCAGCATCCATCCTAGGACTCGGAAGTGCTACGGCTTTTGATGAACTGCTCGCTTCCGCTTCATCTCCATTCTCAGATGAGGGTGAACTATCTTCTCCGAGGATAACTTCACCACGCTTCTTTGGTCGTGACTTTCGGCGCGCTTTACCGATATCCTTCATAACATGACGGCGAATTTTAGTGGAGTGTCGCTTTACTTCACTAGGACTGCCGACATTTACGAATTCGAAGTTCGTCATGTTTTATCGTGAGGGTGGGAAAATGAGGGTTGAGAAACGTGGTTATTAGTTTGTGAGTCTTGGGCTTGAGGTCTGTGAAAACCCCAATGTTCAAAGCGAAGAATTATGAGTATTATATCCTGTAAGTAAGTACCTGAATCAAAATCTCACTCAGATGCCTATCTCTTGTGGTTCGCAACCTCAGCCCATCTCATCAAATTTGATCGACCCAGACGATGAGATCCGAGGCAAATCAAATCAAATATTACCCTGTATCTATTCCCTATTTGGTGGAGGCATCGCCGGGTCCGAAAGAGGCACAGATGGCTTACTCATCGGACAGCAGTCAGACTTCGTATTAGCTATTCGGAGCCTATCCTATAGGGGTTAGGTAATCTTCCAGGGGTGGCTGACAAATATTTGTGCAGCTTGAGATAAGAATAAACTTCGATTCCCGGGATTTTGAAATGGAATTATATACCTATCATCTTCCAATTCAAACCAATCTTGAGCAAGAACCCTACTAATCACTTACAGAACATGATGTAATAGAGTTAAGGAAGCATGAAAAATACTATAATTTGCATCGGAAATAGGCTATAGCAGAGATTACTTGCTTCGTTGAGTCTGGAGCTTGTCAATGACTGCGAGTTGACAATTGATGTTGTATTTCTTAGGAATAAAAGTGGCGATCTCCGACTGCCAACTAAGACTATACCCTCAGCATACTACCCAAGCACTTCTTCATTATTACAATACACCTTACGTAAAGATCTAGTTTAAACTCATTTATTTCTTTCACATACTATGCGGGGTATAGCAATACTTTCTTCTTCACCACGAAGCAGCAGCCGTTACATTTTTGTAACTTTAAAAACTCCTAACTCATACAAAAAACCATTCGTTCATCATAACCCGATCTCGTACGTCCTTAAGACAGATATGAGTATACTATATGCACCCTTTCCTCCAACATGTCTCATACACCAAGAGCAGCATTGAAAGCATCAGCCGCAGCCTGTCCCTGCAGCGAATTCGCCGCCTGCGCACCCTCCTCGCACTGAGAGACCGTCGCATCCGCGGCACCGCACTTGCTAGCCAATTGACTGCAAATGAAATCCGTGATAACAGCAGGCTTGAGCGCAGAACCGTGGTTAAAGTCCGCAGTGTTAACAGGCGCAAACGCATCCTCATCGCCACGGTCCTGTTGTTGACCGAATGAGATAGCAGGCGATCCGCAGTCACCGGTGTCGGCAGCAGCACGGCGCTTCTTCGCGTTCTGGGCTACGCATTGTTGTTGTTGCGCATCACAGTCTGAGACTGAGATAGACGCATCTGCACCGCTATTGGCAGCGTTAGCGCAAGCGTTCTTCTGGACATCGCAGGCCCTCTGGATGGCAGCTCCTTGGTTTAGAAATTGAGCACCGTTGACGGAGAAGGGCTTATCGGCCGTCGAGCTAACTACGGGTACAGGGGCGGAACCGACGCTGCCGGTGAAAGCGTTTACGTTGACGCCAGCGGTGGAGGTAGCACCTCCGTTAGCGTTTCCGGCGTTGGCATTGTTGTTGGAGTTGCTGGCTGTGCCGTTGTTGGCGGCGCCTGCGTTGTTGTTGTTATCGGCGGCACCATCATCTTCGCATGCTACTTCTCGTTAGTATGAGGAGCTAAGGACTGGGCTAAAGAAATAAGTGAAATTGACTTACCATCATCAGCTGAGTCGTCAGCATTGTTGGCATTTCCAGCATTGGCATTACCGCCCGCCGAAGCGACAGCAGCATCAATTTCATCCGCAGTGGCGTCTTCGACGAGGAGATTCTGAGAGAAGATGCAACCCTCGGCGTCATCTTCGGTGTCGCAAGTGTTACCGGCACCGGTCTGATCACCGATTTCACCAGGGGCGAAGGTACCCGACTGGAGGGCGAGTTGAGGATCGGCGCCAACCGACGCAAGCTGAACAGCTAGGTCAAGAGTGATCTGCTTGTTCAGCGCAGCAGCGCCATCGGAAGCAGGGTCCTGGTGCTGCTGGAGAGCAGCAATTTCGGGGTTCTTAGCGGTTTCCGACTCGCAAAGAGCGGAAGCTAGGCCGACTGAACCGGTGTTCCTCTCGAGGGCACGGAAAATCAGAGCATTGGCCATGCCATCGACATCATTTGCTGCCTTAGCATTGGTGAAAGCCTGGTCGGCAACTCGTTGTTGCAAGCAGTCCAAGTCCTGAACAAGGCCTGCACCTTGAGCAGCAGCGGCATTGCCGAGTAGAGCGAAGACAGGGTCTTGAACTTGGTCAACGTTGTTTAGGTTCAAGGCCTCACCAACACCGGTGAGAAACTTGTTGTGTGAGTGCTCCTCTGCTATGGTATTAGTAAACTTGATCTTATTTCATGATCCCGGAGACTTACGAGGAACCTCGCGCCTGAACTTGGCGGATGCGCCAACAGCGGGGCGGGTCTTCCTGAACAATTTCACGGCATCGGGACGGGCGGCGGCCACGCCCAAAAGAGCCAACAAAGCAGCACTAGTCTCGACCTTCATATTGTCGGTTCTTGAAAGTAAACGATTGTTCGTGACTCGTAACGGAGTGATCGTATAATGGTATAAAGTTGAAATGAGGCACAGCCTAATAGTAAAGAGCGAATAGAAATAGATAGTTCCCAGAACTAGAAAGAACGTAACAGGGTGAGAAGAAGATGCTGTCGTTGGATGAGAAAGAAGGGAATGGGAATAACGACATCGTCTGGGGCAGCTATGTCTCACTATATATACAGCATTGAACATGAGGATTGTATGGACGCCAAGCAAAAGCCCATGTCAATGCCTATACCTTGATGAAGCTTTAGTGTATTACGGTAGGCATCGTAGCATGCCGGGCGGCCTGCCTCCTGTCACCAAGACATGTCTAGACTAACCAGTCTCACCAGAAGTTGCTATACCCGCCCCGTTTTTTTCCTCATTAGACCCCGGCCCCGTAGATCTAATCGTCCCAAGATGAGATGTTGGACTGGAGAAGAAACACCCTCATCCTAATCTAGGATGGTCTACTTGTAGGGTCGACATCGGCTCGAGTAGAAGCCGGAGTGAAATGGCAGCTCAAGGATTGAGATAAAATGCCGTGCATCTGGCTTTAGACATGAATGATCAGATCTAGGATGTTGTCGTCCTTGCGCGGCGTTAGGTCCGCTGAGCCGCTCATGGTATGAGCAGGCGACTGTTAATCCAAGCCGATCAATGGCCTCGTCATCAGCTCATCGGTTGCGGATGACATTTTCTAGGGAAATTTCCTATTTTGGACAGTCAATTGATGGTGTCTGTGTCAAGCCAGCAAATGCCTAGGAGTCAAGTGGATACCAGCTCCGCGCAATAGCGCTCATTTTCAGTTTCGAGACCGTTGAAGTTGGGATGAGACCGACTATCCAACCTGAAGTGTCTCAAGGTGGTCGAGCCGCTTCCGGGGTGTTGTCAGGGGTTATGATAGGCCGGTTCACACGCTATTGTCCCCTCTATAACCCCTGGCGCCATTCGTATTCCAGGGCTTGACTCCCACTGTAATGTTCTCCCGACAATGTCTGAATAGCAATATGTCGGAACCCTGCTTTTTTTTTTCCTCATCCCAGTTCTTCTCGGAACCCAGACATCTCGTGGTTGTCAAGGACGCATTACAGGGAACTCTTTAAGTCCAATTTTTACAGTTGAAGACCACTTCCTTTTTGAAAAGAGATCTGGAGAAGATTAACTCTGGGTTGTAAAGTGATAGACTAGGAATTTCAGATGACCCAGCTCTCATCACAGGCCTAATCTGTGTGTACCTATAATACGATGTTATATTCTTAGCGTGCTCGCATTCTATCAAGCCATATTAGGCATATCTCAAGATCGAGGACAGATACGATACCCTTAATGATCTCACGATTCGTGGGGCATACCACTATTAAGCGTCTATGTAGTTCGGAAGAACTCCTGTGACGGCGCCAAGTTGGTTGCCGCCCGGCATTGATGTCCTCCCGGGTTCGGGAAATCTTATGATGCAGAATATGGTTCCATCTATAGGACCAGAGACATCAAAGATACAACTCAAGGAATAATCTCTTGGGTCGCCTAATCCTATTTTTGATCGCATAATGAGACTGCCGTCTGCTTTGACGTGCGACATGTAGACAGCGCATATGAAGTTCGTCCGACCATCCCGTCAAGACCGACTGATTGCCTCTTGGAGTCTCATCCGAACCAGTTTCATAGTTTTTATATAGATAATATATAATTTCACTCTTTTGGTTAACGATCATCTTTGTATACTACCGTATTTTTGTTATTCCTAATACTGCAAATGACATAGTAAGATTTTCTCCAGATTCTACTCCATACATGCTCCAATTTTATCGACTATCACTCCCGTGTCGCTACTCTTATAGTTTCTTGTGATATGTTATGATTTATGATTGATCGATATCATAAAAGCAGCGATTGACTTCAATGATAAGCATGCCGCATTCCCTACAGGCCCGTTCCGTGTATGAATTATACTCTTCGTCTCATTTTTCTGAATGAAGGCCATCTCTCGTTCTCTTTCCCCCTTATATACCCCAACGTAATCGTCAACGATCGTTCCGATGTTGTGGCGAATACTGTATTGAATTCCGTCGCACATTGCACATAGGTAGGCTAGATATGATCTCGGTTAGTTTCGACATAAAAAATATACCACCTAGCAAGAAGCACAAGCAAGAATTAGGAGTATTGATGCATTTTAAACTTGACAAGTCTTAATGTATTTTGTACAAATTGGCAACGCCAGAGGAAACTTCTAAAGAATGCCGTGGAACCTCACGAGTCTTGTCATTACGTCTGTCTATCCTTGCCGTCCAGCTCGACGATTTGTGAAATGGAAAGACCACGGCCCGCCAGTCTAGTGGTGGTAGTTGGGGGGGGATAAAAAATTGTACAAGTAGTAGCTCGCTTCTTTTTTAACCGATAATCAACTTATCTTCCTCGGGGAACTCGTACGTGGGAATCTCGAGGTTGAGAGGAGCAGGTCCTTTCCTTATACGTCCGGAGATATCGTAGTGAGAACCGTGGCAGGGGCAGAACCAACCGCCGAAATCTCCCGCCTCGCCGATAGGGACACAACCTAAATGTGTGCAGACACCTATATTACGTTAATTTCTCTTCTAACAGACCAAGCCATACATACGGAATATCAATGATTCAGTATATATATCGGTGAACAACAGGAATAATCGTACCCAACATGACCAGCCATTCGGGCTTCTGAACACGGTCCTCATCGGCCTGAGGATCTCGTAATGACGAAACCTGAACCGAGTTCGCCTCGCCAATCTCCTCTTCTGTACGGTGTCGGATGAACACCGGCTTTCCTCTCCACTTGATGATGACGTTCTTGCCTTCGGGGATCGCGTTAAGGTCGACCTCAACCTTGGCCATGGCCAAAACATCGGCGGACGCGGACATGTTCTTTAGGAATTCTATATCATAGATATCAATATCAGTCATATGCGATTAACCCATACTTCTCGAGGGCGATAGATATCCGAATAATCCAACTATAATCCTCCAAAATAATGCAATGCGCAACATACCTTGCACAGTCGACTTAGCACCCGCAGCAGTAATAGCACCCATCGTTCCCACCATAAAATACTGAAAAAGCAGATTCGTGTTCGAGCTGCCCTTATTAAAGTAATGTCCAAAGTCAGGAATATTGGTAGACTTCGACTCGCCCTTGAAGGGGCTCGAGTAGGAACCGGCGTCGCTTCGCTGAACGGATGTGGTAGAAATGGCGCGGGCGGCGTTGACACGGCAGCAGGATCTCGAGACTCCTCGCGCGAGAGCGCGGGAGGCGATTGTGAGAGGCGCCATGGCGTTGTGGTGGATCAATTGGGGGTTGACGGCAATGTTGGTATCAGGTATTGTGAGGTCTTTTTTTTGCTGGTCCTGGGCAATTGAAATCGAAAGACTTCGGTAATGTTTCTAAGCTAAACTGCGAATGGGTGCATTAGGTAATGCGATGTGATTGGCCTTAGGCAAGAAAAATTCAAGAGCTATGAAATTGGTGTTTAACGATTGGTCAAATTCCTGTCAGGTCAACCCGATATTATTGATGAGTCAGCAAGCTAGCTCGTGTCATGTGACCTTAACTCTAACTCTTGATGTTCAGTGACGTCGCATCAATGGAAGATGGGAAACGATACTTTAGTACTTCTTACACGCTTATGTAACATTTAAAGATTCAATATAGACAATAGGAGATCACTACGTCACATCTCAGCAAACATTGATTTCTGACTTATTAATTGAAATTTTTTAAGACTTTATATTTTATTCTTGATCTCATTTATTGCTATCGTGCCCGTTTTACCCTTAGTATCGAGGGATATACACCAATACTCCCGCCATTCGCAATCAAAAACCGAGATTTGCAAACGCCTTTAATGCATTCGTTTCAACTCCTCGACAAGTGTTCGCATAGCCTCAACATCTGGGCCTAACCCTTCGCAGATTTCCTCTTGCGTCTTCTCATCTATGTCGAGGAACCGCTCAATAAACTCTCCATCAATGAAACGGAACGGCCCGTCCGATTCGCGTTCTTCGTTTTTGAAGGATCGGTATCTAGAAAAGAATATTTTTCCGGTCGTTTCCACTACCTCGGCTATTTTGGCTTGGAATCGGATTAAAAGGTCCTGATATTGTGGTGAAATAAGTCCGAATACGTAGACACCTCCTTCAACCTATAAGACTAGTCGTTAGTCACAATGTTTCGTTTACGTCAATGATGTTAAATAACTTACCGTGCCAAGGAATGCCTGTGGCAAGATGATGGCATTTATGCTAGTATCGAGCTTCACCTTTCGAATCTTATTCACCGTTTCTCCTAAATTGAATTCACTCGTGACTTCCATCCGGCGCCGATCCTCAATAGTGACCCCTGCCAGATTTCTCCTTAAAACAATTAAATTGCCTTGCGCGTCCGATTCGAGCCATGACTCCTCGCCCACATAGCAGACTGAGGTAGCCCAGGAGGACTGGTAATGTCTCGAGACTTCAACAAGCTTAGCCCCCGCACCTTCGGTAGGCGGAACATACTCGACCAGGGCCATCGACTTCATAAGGTCAGCTACTGCAATAATATTACCCTCAATTGCTAAGTCCGTAGGATACGTAGAAGGCCGGTATGATACAATCTTTTCGATGTCCGCAGAGGTTGATGATGTCTCGTTGTAGGAGTATACAACAACCGTTTTTGTTAGAGCTGCAACGATTTTGTCGCCCATGATTCCAAGGCATCTACAAGCCCCCTTCAAGTTCCGACTGTCAATTAGATAAGGTGATCGTTCGCCGTCGATCCCAAGGACTAAGATTCGTCCTCTAATAGAATTCGCCGGCGCACCATCTTGCTCATCATTGAGGTAGGATGTCCCGACTAAGAATCTCTCGGCTGGAATTCCATATGCATCCGGAAGTTCAGCTCGAATCACCGTTTCGATAAGTTCCGTTCGTGGTGAGCTTTCGAGAGCAAATGGCTTCCCAAGCTGTTTGAATATGGTTTCATCCACCAGTCGGAACGAACTAGTGATTATCTCTTCGTTATTCCTTATTTCTCTCTTGATACATCCCAAACCGAAAGTTCGTTCGTGACGAGAATACGCTATACGGCGAATGGTTTCTCCCATTTGTAGGGATTGTACGTGTGTTCTGCGTTCGGTATCTATCGTAGATATCTTCAACTCTCTCTCCGTTGCAACCACGATAGAATCGGGGAAGGCTTCGGCATCAAAATGAGATACACAAGTCGCATCATCTGCCGTGACCGCCGAGTAAACAACCCGACCCTCGGCTCCATAAACTAGGCTAGGATGCTCGCTACAAGCGAACAAATTATAAATTCCATCGGCTCGAGGGATTAGCTGTAATCTTGCTTGTCGTGTCCCTAAGACAATGCTCTTTCGCCCAGATAGGGAAAAGTCGTCCTTCGATACGTTGAAGGTAATCACGAAACCATCGTCCATGGTCACGAATAGTGTCGGGCCCGCAAGAGATGGGGGGAGTACCTGTGCAAGCGCAATATCCCGAGGTATAGAAGCGTTATTGTCTTTTCTTCGTAGGGTTTCTCCTTGGATAGACTGAAGAGTTTTCAAGTCAATTATGGAGACAGTGCCCGATTTCCAAAAACCAACTATGCCAATAGTGGGATATTCTGGAGGCAAGTGGACACAAGCAACCTGGTCTTTTTCCTCGAGATCGTTATGCTCCACTTGAACCAAGTCTTCTTGAATTTGCATCGATATGAGGATTTTTCCGTCGACAGCGACCAGTACCCGCTCATCATTCGCCGACACATCGGTAATTTGTCCACTGGCAGGTTTCCAAGTTGATACAACAACACTGCCCTCGAGGTCGACGAGTATCATACTGCTTTTCGTGACTTGGATAAGTCGGCCATTTGGTAGGTTTCGAGCCAACAATGTCTGCTCGTCAAATATCATCCCCCCGAATGATTCAACCTCTTTGATTTCGCCTTTAGGAGAGAACGTAAATATTCGAGTTTCTATCAGAAATGAGACGACCAATATGTCGGTCTTGGATGCTCCGTGGGATCTTAGGGAGAATAAGGCTCTAACATTATCCATGTCCGCAAGAATTCCGATGTCATCCAGCCCAACACCACTCCGTACACTCCTCAAGCTTCCGTCCTTGAAAATGCCACTGCCTGCGACGATTCGTGCTTGACCAGAGGAGTATTCATTAGTTGTTTGATCCTCCCCTTCGCGATTTCCCATATCCATGATGTTGAGATCCATTATTGGCGCAATGTTGTTCAAGGTCTGAATCAATTGTGGCGGGTACTTGGCGATTGGGTCGACCTTAAAGACCTGCGAATCGCCATAAGCCGATCCAACAAATAATATATTACACCCCATGTACACAAGACTAGAAGCCCTCGAGGTTTGTCCTAACTTAGTCATTCGTAAACCATTGATCACGGCGCCGTCAAGGAGGATCTCGAGTATCCATAGATTCCCGTAATCGTCCCCGAGGAAGTAATGTGAGACGTCATATTCAGTCCAGGTAACGAATATGGTCGGTTCTTCAAGTGCAGTCTCAACACTCTGCTTAGCAGCGTCATCATAGTACAACAGCCGCGTCTCTCCGACAACGATCAAACCTCCTAGCTGAGCTCGCGCAGTAGAAGCGTTCCGTATAATGTAACGTTTCTGGTCTTCTTCACCTCTCCCAACCGGTATTATTATATTGGCGCCGGGATCTTGAATATCCAACTGATCAACTCGATCCCGGATTTCGAATCGGGATACTTCTGTATTTTTATCGTCGGTCGTTAAGCGGTATGTGACAAGTTCGGAGTCGGGGACATCGGTTCGAGATTGGTGTAAGAAGGCGATCTTCGGGTGGCCAGTTTCAACATGTAAGAAAGCCGCACCTTTGATGAAAAGCTCGGAGACTCGTATTTGGTCCATCCAATGTAGATTATTCCTCTTGCTCTTGACCGTGTGCATGCGCAACACATTCACGACTCCCTCCCAGAGGAAGACAGCCATGAACCGTCCAGTCGGATCAACGATACATAGATCCTGGCTTAGAGCATCTCGCATGTGTTTTTCGTGTAGGTCGAAGAAAGAGTCGACTGTTTCCAGCTTTTTATCTGTGGCATTCCACCCAAATGTGAAGTAATGGAATCTGTCGGTTCCGACGAAGACTAACTCCGTATCGGCATCTCGAGGTCGTAGTTTCTGTAGTATAGAAATGGTGCCGTTAACAACTTTCGTATCAGTATGAACTACACTTCCGTTTATGTCGAGCTTCCATATTTCTAGGCGATTAGTCTTGCTGTGAGGTGTTAATTCTATGTCCTCTCTATTGTTTACGCCGTCATGGACTTGTAAGCTTGCTAGAACTTACGCAAGAATCAAACATGGATCCTTCTCTTCAGGAAACAAATTGGCACGTATTGCGTGTCGAACGCTGTTGGGCCGGTGGATAGGCGCTACGTAAGCCATATTTTGAGCTTCGCATGGTTCAAGAGAGGTGAAATGTTGCAAGATCCGGTCTGCACGGCGAGAAAGAGATGGGAGTTTTAATAAATTAAGTGTAAGAGATGATGCGAAAGACCCGGCGATAAGAATTACGCGGGGATTAGCACCAGATTAGCGCTATTGATAAAGCTAGCACGCCGCAGCGAGTCCACCCTGCCCCGCCTTTATGTAGGTAGATGCTGTAAACTAACCCCCCTGTATGTGACTTCCTCCAGGGCTATTAACGAAATGTCAGACCCCGCTGTACCTACCTCCTTCAAAAGAGTTCAATAAATAAAATAAAATACACAAAACCGCCTACAAAACCCAATGCGAGAAGTTACAACCGATTGACGTTAAGCTTGAATATAATGGATATTACCTGTTTAATATCGGGATCCTTTTTGTCTTACTTGAGTATTTGTTATATTTATAACACTGGGAAGATTGTATATTTTCTACGACATATGTTGGACTCGAGCAATCTGAACAATCATCAAAATCTACGTTGCGTCAACTCTATAGCTGTACAAAAGCCACCAACTTCAATAATAACAGAAACAGGACCAAGTTGATACGGCTGGTTATCTAGAAAATTGTCCAAGCACCTATTGTGGTATTGGAATTATTCTTGATGATTATTTCATTGATTCCTTGATTGTATTCTAGAGCTAATTAAGCTTCGGTGACATATGGGTATGTCTCTACCTAGGTACTAATTTGGTAGGTAATTATAGGTACACACAGCACTCCTTAGGTATTCCATAGGTGTCGTTCCCCAGTGAGCAGCGCCTGTAACCCCACAGATTTAGGTGCCGAAAATCGTATTATCTAGTTGAACCCACCATAATCTTTGCTTAGCGCAAATGAAGAGCTCCCTATTTCTCCCAAAACATATACTTGTACAACCTCCTGATGGAATATTAATATTTTCTTCCTAGTATAAGGCAGAACGTTGAAGGTTTGTTAGGACCAGAGATAATGGGTATCGACTTACCAAACACTTCGATGAGCCCAATTGATGTTCCCACTGGATTCCAAATCTCGACACCGTCCCCACACGCAGCAAAAACGTTTCCAGAGGAGTCGCAGAGTACTGATGTCGGCACTCCCTCTTTAACATAAGCGAAAACGCGCCGATTTATTAGGAATGGAGCTCCAGATCTATAGGCGACATCGAAGGCATAAATGGTAGCAGAGCTATGATTTAAATTAACGACGGCAAACCTCTAAATTCAAGAGAAGTGTATGGAGCATACCTTGAAGTATCCGTATTCCCACCATTAGGACGAGCAGCACCCGTGTCAGTGACATACAACGTGTTGCCGTCCGGGCCTAATGCTATCCCCATAGGCCTACTAAACCCGTCCGCAACAGCACGTAGATCTCTCGTCGCGGGGTCATATCGGTACACTTGGTTTGGCAATTTCGGCTTCGGTCTGATTTCTTGTTCGAAACCAATAGAAGCATCCGTGAACCACAAGGCGCCATGCTGATCCTCAACGACGCTTTGTATCGAATTGAATGGTTTTTGGAAGTAGGCAGTTAGGATGGGCGTTGGAGGTTTTCCCCACGGCATATACCATAGACCGCCAGAATTAGGAGTTAGTGCACCCTGAGAACAAAAAAGTATACCATCTCTATAGCGACATGCACCAGCAGGCATAGGCATTGAAGAAGGGGGGCGTAACTTCATCCACTCAACCTCAGGGATGTAATCTCCAAGTACACCGCGATCTCGTTGGAGTAGTATTTTGGATATCAGGATTGCTGGCAACGCCGAACTGCTGGTTGATTGAAGGAGGTCCGACATAGCATAGAGCTCGTCTTTCTCTGGTAGATATACGCAACCCTTATAAAAGAATGGATTTTTCGATGAATCGTCTGAAGTGAGTAGAAGGGAGTACTTTAGCGTTGGGTCCGTGATGTTTTGAGGTCCTAATTGGTACTGTTTGACAACGATTTTGTTTGGTCCTGGATGTGGCTCACTATTATGGGTAGCTTAGCATCTCTTGATAGAACCGAGTGGTAGAAAGGGTCACTAACTCGCCTGATTCAAATCCTATATGGATATTTACATTCTATGGGTATTGATTAGTATCGGCCTAAGTTATTGTCCCATTATGCTCAGGACAGCTTACTTGGATCGATGTTGTTCGCAATTCGATGCCCGTCCTCTTTATGGTTGTCATGTTGATGGTGTTTTAGCTCCCTAGAATCACGAATTGTGACACCAGCCCGTTTGAAAGAAGAAAAATCCAAGCTGACTATTACTAATAATTAAAGACCTGAATCGATTTAAGTTTACTGTACGGTTGTTCCTGCTTTTGTAAGTTTGATTGTGAATAGTTTCAATGGTTTACCAGATCTAACCTTCCCAGTATATGCATATATGCATAATGCCAGATATTCGATATACGCATATGATTTAGAACTTCCAAGGTTCCAAATTTTCATCTTTTATAAGACGGCAAATGTTGTACTTACGTTGTTGAAAAGAAGCATACATGTATGTCATATCATGAACTTTAACTCCAAGTTCTGCTCGAAGTAGCTCGGTCGACAGACTTATTGTCAATGTAAACATCTGCGTTTACGAACAGACCAATTATAGTTGTTGTACACCCAATCCTAGAGCTCTCGACCCTACACACCGAAGTATTGCAACCCGGAGATACCGTGATAATATAGTCACATTACTACTTGTAGCTCCTATATTTACGTAGCCTGAACCGGACTTAATGGAAAGATATACTAATTAAACCCGTGGTTTAGACCCCAAGGTTGACACTATGTCCATCATCTTGCGACTTTGAGTTTGTCTTCAGCTCTACCTAGATATATAAAAGGATAACCAACCTAGGTATTCAAGGTGTACCGACGCTCCCTAGTCTTCTTTGAGTCAAATACTCTTGTCTTATTTTAGCATATATATTCCAAACTGACAATTATGCCCGTGATTCTAGTGACAGGCGGCAATCGAGGCATTGGGTATGCCATAGTCCAAGCACTGGGAACTCGGATTCGCGATGCCACTATCCTAGTCGGCTGCCGATCCGTAGAAAATGCTCGAGAACCTATTATGAAGTTAAAGGAATTAGGAATTCCGGAGATATTTGAGCCTGTCGAGATCGACATCACTGACGATGCGAGTATTAAAGCCGCTGTACAGACAGTCGAGGAAGGGTACGGAAAGCTTGACGGTTGGTATCCTATTCTACTATCGTATTGGTTAGAATTAACGAGGGTTTAGTTTTGGTCAACAATGCCGGTGCCGTAACGCTACCAAAATCGGACGACTTGACCGAGCTTAGGAACAACTGGACTGAAGGCTTCAACTGTTTAGTGACGTCCCAAGTCCTCGTCACGAAAGCATTCCTGCCACTCCTTCGCAAAGCGGAATGGGGTAGAGTGGTCATGATTTCTAGCGCTCGGGGAAGCCTAGCTAGAAACAAATCCATCGAGGTAGATGCCCTATCGACCGATCGAGACTTAGACTTTAGCTGACAAGACTAGAAGATGCCTCCTACACAGCACTGGCTGTATAATTGCTCCAAAGCAGCACTCAATCTCGTAACGATTGAGTTTCGAAATGCCGAGTTAAGGGAGGTAGCCAATGAAATGGATAGGATCACTATCTGGGCAGCGAGCCCAGGCTCTTGCAAAACAGGCTTCAACAGTTTTAGGGGCATGAAAGATCCCCTGGAAGGAGCTGAGGTCACTGCGAGATTATTAGAATCTAGACGGTTAGAGATACCATCAGGAACATTCTGGGAGTTTGAACAAGGGAATTTTCAGCAAGTCCCTTGGTAATTGAATGACGTATTTTATTGCGATATACGCTATCTTCGCGGCAATGGGTATGATCCCGGGGAGTATCACAAATACACGAGGAATCGTTGGTAGTTTTCAATGTTCGCAGGTTGGCTGCCTCTTCTCATTGTGACCATATCTATATGTACAGTCGACCAGTATTCTCGGTCGGTATAATGTCTAGTCAAATCTAATGTCCCTTCTTCTCGTCCGCATCGGCTTGCTTTAGGAAGTTCCTGTACATCATTAGTATTAGCCGGTCGCGGGAGATTCGGGGATTGTGTACTGAATGAAGTCCGCCTCGTCAGGGCTCGATGCGTTGATCGGGGGTGCTTGAGCAGGTTTCTTGCTTCCACCACGCAGGCTTAAGTAGGTACCACCGAATAAGGTAGTGAGAACACCCATTGCTAGCTAGAGGAGAAAAGCAATTAGCATGCCATCGTCAACCGGAATAGAGCGGTGTTTGTCGGGGCAACTCACGTAATGCGAGCCGACCTGGCGGCCGAAAATACTGTACATAGCAACCATCTTGGCGGTATTTATGGATTGGCCTCAAGCGAGTGGATATAGGTAGACTCGGATGACGAATGGACGATGGCGTAAGAATCAAGAGGTATATGAAGCTGTCAAAATACTGCGCAAGTCCTTGGAAGCTCCGAATTGAAATCCCCAATATTGATCTAGCCTAGTTAGGTTAGCGAAAGTGGAACTTGGAGGTGCCCGTTTCGAATAACTCCGACGTTTACCCGCAACTGCATCTCGGCAAGCCCCCCTGGTCTGTGGAACGGATCTAGGGAAAAGGAAAGGACCATCCGAATCCCGACCGCGACGTCACCAAGGACTGTTCGTCGCAAGCCGAAAGTATCTCCTAGCTTCTTCAACCTTTTCTTACTTAAGCTCATTTGAACCCTCCTACATGTATGTCGAATCCATTTTGTTTCGCGACTAGAAATACATACAATTTTTTAATTAAATACCATACGAAAACTCGTCATTACAGTATAACATTCATTCACAATGTGGTGGGGCAAAGGACCAGACAAGTCCGAAGCTTCAAAAGATAAGACAGAAACCCCGCCAAATACCGCGACGAAGGTCGACCCGCGCAGCGATGCCACCCAATTTGACCCCAACAAGCTCCCAGAGCACCGCGACTTACCGAAGAGTTTGCAGAAGATAGTCGATAAGTCGGACAAAGATGATAACTTTTTTGACGAGCTCGTGGAGGGATAGTATGTTGTCGTGTGCCGCAATGCTATGGCTAGGTTACGCTGACGGATATAATGCGATCAGTGCACCCGACTCCACCGAATCCAACGTTCGATATGCCGCCTACGCGAACAGATTACGAACGATTATGCTCTCGGCCCACCGTTACGTGGCGTATACCTCAGACATAGGAGAATCTTTCAGACCAGTCGCGCATCCGTGGTTAGTCCGAAGCGCGTACGGTGTATCGTGGGCATACATTCTAGGCGATGTTTCATATGAAGGCTACAAGGCGTATTGGCAAAACCAACGAACGCTGAACCCGCAGCTGGTCCTATCAGATAAACAACAAAAAGCGACCGGATTAACGACTCCAGAACCCGCAAATGTTAAGCCTGGCGTCATTTCTCCTTTGGAAGATTACAGGACTGTGATGGTTCAGCGAGGTATCTTCCAAAGTATAGCCTCCATGGGGCTTCCCGCATTCACAATCCACAGTGTGGTCAGATACTCAGGTAGGGCGATGAAGGATATGAAGAGTAAGACCCTTAGAGTGTGGGGTCCAATAGGGCTTGGTCTTGCCGTCGTACCGTTCTTGCCAACCTTATTCGATAAGCCGGTCGAGAATGCGGTCGAAATCTTGTTCCATAAGGGATTCGAATTATATGGCGGGAAAGAATACATTGGCGATTCGCCTTCAACGGGTCGAGAAGCAGCCTTACGACAGAAACCAAAGCCACAAAATAAGGAAAAGGAATTATGAGACTATTGATGTAGAGATTAAGGGACTAGTTGATATACTATGGCGCAAAGGGGGGAGTTATCCCCACTCCTCGATTATGATTGACGTTATGACGAAGGTCGACAAGGGACGGGCGAGGGAGAAATATTGTGTGTCGCGAGACTTGTACATTTCACTTGAAAACTATATTTATACCTAAGCCATGCATATAAATCAAACATTGTTACTTCTATTCTCTTATATAAGGTATCTCCGCTGTGGAAAATCAATGCCTCGAAAACGCCGCTTTTAATGCAATTCGTCATATCTCATAAGTCTTTCGCTTACATCTCAATCAAATCAGGCGGTGGTCCTATGCCTCGTAGCAATACTATCGTGTTGCCACTGACAAGCGCCGAACCAACCTTCTCGTTGAACTCTAATACCCGACCACCTTCTACGTGGAATACCCGTAACTTATCCCTCTCTTCGGAAGATTGGTTGTTCACATTTTCAACCTGTAGACTCTTGGCCGCGGCATCAAGCACCCTACCAATAACCCAATCTTTCGAGTAAAAGAACTCGCCTTTATAATTCTTCGCAGTCGTAGTCTCCGCCTCAGCCTCCACATACAAGTACACCCTTTTTTCAGGCGGTACCTTCGCATCGCCCTTCGCGCTCTTCTTCAACGTATTCGTAGCCACCAGTCGCGCAGCCGCAGACGAAGGTTTCGGTTTCGGCAACGCGCGTCCCGCCGCTTCCCTCTTTGCCAGACCCCAAGCTTTCAGCTTCGCAAGCGCAGACTGTGTCTGCGAAACGGCATCGTTGAATTGTGAGGGGCGCGCACCGATCGGGATTTTGTTCTTGCAGTCGTGTTCTTCTTTTAGCCGGTGCTTGAGGCAGTAATCGCGATTGCAGCTCGAACAGTGCACGCCGGGGACTAGGGAGGTGCCGACGGTCGTTTTGCAGTCGGTTGCTGCGCACGGTTTTTGCGATACGAAGTCGCGCATGCGCTTGCCCTCGCCCGCGGATGTACGCGAGAGTTGGGCTTGCCGCTTGCGCTCGGCCCAAGCTCCCTTATTAGCGCATTTGTGCGAGTCTTCGGTTCGGTGGTCGAGGCAGAAGGTCTTTTTGCAGCTTTGGCAGAAGAAGGGGAGGAAATCGAGTTGGTTGCAGTATTCGAGTTGGCAGTGCTTGCCGATGAGCGTTGCGTCGGATTCCTTGTCCATTTTGACGTAACTTGTGTCTGGCGCTTCGGCTGTGGATGAGGACGCCATGGTTTCTGATTGTTTTATGTATCGCTTCTAAGTAAGAAAATTGAAAAATGACAATTGCTAGGCTGGCAGGCAGAGAGTGACTTCGTAAGCTTCGTTAATGGCAATGGTGATGATTAAGATGTTGCGGAATGGTCTGGAAGAACCTAGCCTAACGGACCTGTGACTTGGGAAATACCGACGGTGGCGGTAGGGCGGGGCCACCTGAGCAGTAAAATGCGGCTGAATTAGGCGTAAGTTGTACGTACCTAGGTATGCTAGGGGCTTAGCGGCCCCAGATTATAGGGTCGTTTGGATGAGTCCCAGGGGTTAGGTACAGGGCACTTAGGCCCACTGACTAGGCCTAATTCGGGGCTTAATTGAGTTGCAACCAGCCGGGAATCACGGGATTTCGCGTTTTCAATGACGACAACCAACTTAGACACCTACAAAATTCCTAAGCTACGCCTGAGTTAGATAATGCGACATTCTAATACGATGCCAAAGTGTGAATCACTTGCTGATTGTACTCGATATCCGAATGTCACCATATTAGCTCAAGATGCCACCTTATCTCCCGCGCAAACGATTGCGCACCCCTTCAGACGACGATGACCAGGCTGTAAAGAAATCAAAGCAAACCAAGGGCAAGGCCACTCCAGCGCCACGGCGAAAGACCACGTTATTTGATGATATTGACTCAAGCTCTAATACCGGCTCTGCTCAAAAGACTAAATCTGCCATACAACAGATGCAAGATGACAGTGATAGTAGCTCTCTTAGTTCGCTTTCCGATGCCGAATTCGAAGACGTCCCAGCTGCTAAGCGGCAAAAGGTGGATGACGATGAGGAAGGTTCAGAAGATGAAGACATGGAATTTGAAGATGTCCCCTCTCATGAAGCTCAACATCAGGAACCCGAGATTGAGGGTGATCTCGAGTTGACGTTGTACCAAAATAACCATGTTCCTTTGACTAGTGAACTGGGAAGGAAAGGTCCCACGAAAAAAGAAAAAGCTATCCGTATCTCAGTTCATTGTATGCATGTTCAATTACTTCTATGGCATAATGCGATCCGGAACTCTTGGATTTGCGACAAGGAAGTCCAAGCTATCATGATTTCACATTTACCACCAAGATTATGGGACGAGGTGGATCGATGGATACAAAACAGCGGCCTAGATATTCCCGAAGAACCACCCAAGAAACCCGCAAGGGGAAAAGCAAACTCAAAAGGCAAGGGCAAGCAACGCGCCTCAAAATCCACCAGAGATTGGGGTGACGCAGCCGACAGACTCGAAAAGGGGGTTCCCGACATGAGTCATGGTGATCCTTTATTCAGGCTTATGAAGTGCCTTGTGTCATGGTGGAGACAAAGGTTTCGGATAACTGCTCCTGGCCTGCGCAAGTGGGGTTACATGAACATCAGAAGGTTAGGCAAGCTAAGGTCAAACTTCGAATCGGAAGAGCACGATCCGGATCGCTTTGGGGAACGAATCCAAAATCTCGATGAGTTTAGGCAACGAGCTCAAGACTGTACTGGCAGCCGGGATGTTGGTTCCCAACTTTTCACCGCGTTATTGCGTGGGCTCGGAATCGAAGCCCGAATGGTAGCGAACCTTCAACCACTTGGATTTGGGTGGAGCAAGATCGAGGAAGCGGACGAGGAAAATAATGATCAGGGAGCCCAAGCGAACAATAGTAATAAGTCAACGGAATCTTCATCGAAGAAACCAAACGGGAAAAAGAAAGGTCCGGTGAAGCCAACAACCCGCCGAGTAAAGAAGGCTGATAAAGATACCCTCAAGATGGACTTGGATGATTCAGATGAATTTGCCGAGCCTCTCACAGACGAAAGCGATGAAAATTCATCTGTGATTGATGTCACGGATACCATTCGCCCAAAACGAACAGAATCAAAAGTATATGACAGGGATCTTGAATTCCCCCATTATTGGACTGAAGTCTTGTCACCGATCACAAAGAAGTTTCTCCCGGTAGAACCCATTGTTAAGTCAGTCGTAGCCACCAGTAGGGAACTTATCGAATCCCTAGAACCACGAGGGGGAAAAGCCGACAAGGCGAAACAAGTTATGGCCTATTGCATTGGCTTTTCCAAGGATGGGACAGCGAAGGATGTCTCGGTGCGATATCTCAAGAAAAATATTTTCCCTGGTAAGACAAAAGGGTTCAGATTACCTGAAGAAAAGATACCAGTATACAATAAACACGGTAAAGTCAAGAGATACGAGCAATTTGATTGGTTTAGATCAGTCATGCGAGGCTACATTCAGGGTGACAAGAAACATCCTATTACGGATGTAGATGAGGAAGAAGATTCCATCGATCTCAAACCAGCCAAACCGGAGAAGAAGGAAGTCAAGGCAGGAGAGGAGACACTTCAATACTATAAAACATCAAAGGAGTATGTCTTACAACGTCATCTTAAGCGCGAGGAAGCTCTAATCCCCGATGCCGTTCCCGTCAAACTGTTCCGAAACAAGGGAAAGGGATCTAAAGTTGAGGAGGAAGATGTCTATCTTCGGAAGGATGTTGTGGCAGTGAAAAGTGCAGAGACCTGGCACAAACAAGGTCGCGCTCCAATGGAAGGGGTTGAACCACTCAAACATGCACCCTATCGAGCTGCGACAACTAATAGGCGGAGAGAAATCGCCGAGGCAGAAGCAGCTACCGGCCAAAAAGTCATGCAACCCTTATATAGCTTCGAGCAGACGGACTGGATTATACCTCCCCCTATTGAAAACGGAATTATTCCGAAAAACGAATATGGGTATGTTGTTATTTATCGGTTTGTGATTGGATTGAAGCTAACATATATATAGAAACATCGATATGTTCGCAGAGCACATGTGTCCAGAAGGTAAATCCCGCATTGTAACATATCGCTTCCCTCAATTAACAAGCATACAGGTGCTATTCATGTCCCATACCGTGGTGTGGTCCGTGTTTGTAAGCGACTCGAAGTTGATTACGCAGAAGCTGTCGTCGGGTTCGAATTCGGTCACCGGATGGCCGTTCCCGTCATACAAGGCGTCGTGATTGCCGTAGAAAACTACGAGCGTGTAATAGAGGAGCTCGAGAAAGACGAGGCGGAACGAGCTCGAAAGGAAAATGAAAAGCGACGTAAGGAGGTACTTACAACATGGCGGAAGTTCTTGATGGGTATGCGAATCGCAGACAGATTTAAGGAGGAGTATGGACACCTCGATGAATCAGTGGAAGTATTCGGGCACGACACCGGAACCGATAAGGATTTTGAGGCGATGCGCGAGAAAGATGAAGACATGGCCGGCGGTTTCCTGCCTGAAGGGTACGAAGAGGAGGAAGCGGCTGAAGCGACTGAGCAACTTCGTCAAAGCTCCGGATTTTTCCCCGCCACGAACGAAGAGGAAGATTCGGACGAAAATGATCCCTTTGAAATAGAGTATGGGAAGCACAAAAATACTACCGCTCCCCCCGAACCGTCCCCCGACCCCGAGCCGGATCCTGAGCCGGAAATCCCAGCCAAGGTAGCCCCCAAAAAGGCAGCACCGAAACCAAAGGCCAAACCGAAACAATCTACACGAAGGCGGACTCGGAGGAAACAGGCCATATCTTCCGACGAAGATGATGAGGACGATGAATTTGTGGGTTTAGATGATAGTGATTAATTTAACATCAGAGGGAATGGAGTTTCAATAACCTCAACAACATAGGAAGATGATTCTTCTACTTTTCATGGGAATATACGAACAAGAATTCCAATTGTATGCGCTGTCAACATCCCTAGAATATATGTGGGTCCCGTTCTCCTTTTTTACCCCTTTCACCACAAGACTGACTTAAAACCTGAGCTTCTTCTTTACTATAGACTTTAATCTTCTATTATTTTATTTAAGCTGAGCTTTATAATTAGGCGATCGTCCATGGGAAATTCTACTGTGCAACGAGATCAAGGGGCTGTGGATTTCAGCAGAAGCAACTCAATGCACCACTCGCCAATTCATTCCAATACAAAACCTAGGTATCTAACCCTCGGTGACTTCCTGTTATCCACGAGGCTTGGAGATATGCCTACTACAAGATGGTAGAGGGAAGAACTTTCTCGACTAAGACAGCAGTGGCGGGCGGCAAGCTTCCATGTGGATGCATGGGGGAGGGGGCGCACTTTCAGCTTAGACGAGTAAGGCAATTCATTTTCATACCTAGTAAGGAGCTCCTGTGCCGTTTATCTCGTACTCAATTTCATGTCTTATTAATCCATTTCTACATATGAACAGGAGACGAAGCGCAAGCCGCATAAGATTCACGCTACTAAAACATCAATTAACCCTGGTTATTCAACGCCTTAAGCCAGCCATGTTCCAACAACCCACCAACACATTCCTCGACCATCTTAATACTCTTCATGTATCTTACATTGACGGATTATACTTCGAGTTCTATTCACAGTTTCCCGATGAGGCATCAGAGTATTGGGAGCAATTCCTAATATTTGTTCGTGAAAATATTTTCACACCGTCTAATTGGAGAGACACCACGGCATATAGGCCTGCTTCCGAAGTCATTTCACAATTCAGGGAATGGAAGGTAGTTGATCAAGAGGCCTAGCCCACTCCCCCTAAGGATGGCATACTAATTCTTGTTTGCTTGCATTTTTTTCAGAGTCGCAGTCTCCCTTAGCCATGACAACTCACCAAACCAGTGGTTTGCGGGCGGCCAAGATTGGCTATCGCGACAAGTATCAAACATATTCGACAATATGAAGGCTGCAGAGAATACCTGTTCCCTTGGCATACCAAGACAGACTAGGAGAACAGCCAGTAGCGGAGCACGCCGGCCGAAGCGAAAGAGAAAAAAATATCCCGGCGGTAACCAGAGCTTACTGCGACAACCAAAAAAAAAAAAAAAATAGGCGTACGGCGCCCTCCAGCTCGAGAGTTGGGAAAAGAAAGATGGATACGTGAGATTCCCTTGGACTCGATGATGACGGTGCCCGAATATTCACGTAGCACGATTCCCCCGGCAGTTCGTTTGAGCTAGCTTCAGGGATTGTCACATACGCGCCCAGAGCTGGAGGATTGGCGGGAGGATTCAGCTACAAGGTTGTCTCCATGTGAAATCACTATGTCTAAGTAGAGGCCCTTTTCATCAGTTACTTCTTTCTCCCCGAATGTTACTTACATATATTTAGGCCTCGTCACTTACTCGCACGCCGATTGAAGATATCTGTTCGAGTTCCGAAAATCGAGTATCTCTTATGAGCACCAAGCCTCGTGTTAAGCTCATACGTCAAAGATATATTGAGCAGACGTTGGACGTAAGGGATACATGGCGCGGGGACAACTAATATAAAGGGTCTTGCAAGCTACTATAATTAGCTCAGCATTTCTGAGCCCCAAGTCTAGATAAACCCTAGCTCTGCATCCATTCCTTACACCCCAACCACAAGACGGATAAAGGTGAAGTATCAAAAGCTTCGATTAATATATTCTGTGCTTGCCCCGCATTGCGGTGATATAGGGGCTACTCCTTCATGTGACATCATGCGATAGCATTCCCGTCGTTATCACTTACACCGCATCCCCATTCACTCAATATGTCATGCGACTTCTCTCTAATAAAGCAATCATATAGCAATCGTGATAACCACCCAAAGTAGGCAGCCGCGACATTACATCATGACATCAGTTAATAGAGACAGGCGCTTAGATAAGTATTGTTCAATCGAATGTTTGTTCCGTTGAGGAGCAAGGGCGGTCACGATAGTGATGAAGTAATATGCAGTATGTCATCTATATGCAATGGCCTCATTTTTCGTAGGATTGTTGTCTAAGAAAGGGGATTGTCCCGATGTGCGCAATATTTCTGCATTCACCGGCGCGTCTTCTCGGCTTTACAGCCCTCGAGGGTATCGGTAATCAATCCTGCAATGTCATTAATATAGATTCAAAGTGTGTTATTGGTGGTGGTGCCGGGGTCCTGATTTGTATCGGGTAGCCGCAGTTCGGATCGTGTCTTCGCCCTATAGGAAGCAGCCTGGCTTTGGAATTGCAGGATCTTGGAGAAAATAGACCGGCGTACTATCGAATTAACATTATCTAGATCTCGGAGGCAGGGACGGAAGATATAGTATCCTTCAGATCTGAGTGTGAGTCGTACACCAGGGTGGCACAGCTTAGTCTAATCTGGCATCGAATGATACCTGATCTTGCTTGGCAATATTAAATGCGATTCAAGCATTTAGACATACGTCGATGAGATCTATTACCTTTCGTGTAATATCGAATTAAATTTGATGGTTGACATTGATGGGTGGCTCATTAGCTAGAGGTATTGATGAGGATTTTAGCCCCTGAATGTTTGCCCACCAGCTAGATCGATAACTAATTTTAAATGGTCCGTATGTTATAAATATGTAAACTGGCTTTTGGGGGAATATTTTCTTTTCACTCCCATTTCGTATGGATGACTAAAAAGATCTACGACAGTGCTCCGGCTGAGGTGGCCGCTCGTGCAGAAACCCAAGGAGACTAACCATATAGATGGCACGTCACTTCGTTTAAAGTACGGTCAGCCCGGCTTCTTCACATATAAAATGGAGCCTCGGAAGTGGTACTATTATGGGGAAAGCCGGATACCCGCGTCTCCAGAAAGCCAATTACGATACGAGCACGTTTTTGGATCGCGCTGCAAGAGTAACGCAACATTTTACACTCCGAAGAGCACCTCTCGGAGTGTAGTACACCCGAATTCGCTCTATATGGCGCTATACGTATGGCTTTTTATTAGCCACCAAACCGAACCACCTACTCCCTAGAAGTTGATTAAAAGCTTTGAGATATAGTCAAGACAATGCCATTCGTCGGCGCCGCCTCGATAGACGTGATACGAGAACGTTGTGGATTTCTGTGGCGCCAAGTGCCTTTCTTGGTGGTTTATACAAGACAATCCCACATCGTGACACCAAACCACGAGTCATCTGGTGCTATGCTTTGGGTTCATGTGGTGGAACGGGGCACATCCGCAGATGGGAGAGTCCGTGGCCCCTTATATATCCTTGAACCCTGCGAAAACTATGTAATTTCTGTATTTTCCCATACACAAAGATGCGCACTACATCGTCTTATCAAACCTGGTGTTTTTGCCTTATCACGTCAATGGACATACGGCGTTGGAAAAGGCGGTATGCTCACCCTTCCGAAGAGCAGGCTACGGGAAATGGCGTTGACATGGTATAGAAAACCGAAACTAGCGGGTTAGGTACTATCTAGCCATCAGAAAGTCTCGGAAGCCTCATCCGAGCGACTTTTATAGTAATTCAATGTCATCATCTCAGATAACTCCTAACGTACGGTCTAGATTCTACGCATGGGTGGGGACCTCTCACTATAGTCCTATCGAATTTCAGAAATGCATAGGACTATGGAAGCCTCTTCGTGGCCGGACAGCACCACAACTCACCGTCGCACAAGAAGAACGGTACTCAACCACTCTTGGTAAGGAAAGACCGAGACGGTATAAACGATTGCGTGTTACCATAGTGAATCATGTCACCGTTGGCCTGCTTGATGGCACACTTTATTCTTAGCGTTCTAGGTGGCTTAAATGTGTCGTAAGATGACGGGAATGTTTCTCATTTCGACCTAGTAAAGTACAGCGGAACATGCGGTGCTTTCCTGGTAAAATCTCGAATAGTCTCCCTATTCGTCCGAACATCTTCATGCCCATCGTCTCAGCCCTAGCGAGATACATATTTCGAAACGGTAGTCATACCCAATATAGATTTATATGGTAGTCCAAAAGAGATCGGAGTAACCGCCAGATCACATAACAATCAAGGTTATGCATATTGAGACGGGGTCTCCCTTGTCAGCTTTGTCCTTTCGGCTACAAGAGGCTATGGGAGGCCAGAGGCATTTATACACTACTTGACATTTTGATATCACCTTTGTATGCCTACATTCTTCGAAGGATGTTCACTAGCGTAACGGGACATGTGGCACGCCCTTGCAGGGCTCAATCGTCAGGGAAAGGGGTACTAACCAGGTATAAGCCTAGAACCGACCGACCAATAGACGCCCCCTATTGGTATATCTATGGGAAGACCCTGGGATATAAAGGAGGGCGAACTGCTCTAATCCCAGTAAGCAATTGCTACGAATGACTACTCGTTGTGTATGCTCTAGGGAGCTCTTTGCTTTTTCACTTCTTGCCCTGTGTAACGGCTCCTTCACGATATTCCAACATAAACTCATACCAAAAAAATTGCAAATATCTTACCATGGTTTCAATCTCAATAATAATCGTATGCTTCCTAGGAGCTACGATCTCTCACCTGTTATGGAATTGGTATCGGCTTCGGCACATACCCGGTCCATTATGGGCTTCATGTTCCAAGGTTTGGTTAATAACCACCCAAATAAGAGGAAGATGGTATTTAGAGGTGAAGCAACTTGGGGACCAATATGGTATAACTTCCTTTTGTGACCTTGTGCTCCCCTGATAATCAAGGTCTGACGACAGGTGGTACAGGTGAACTCCTCAGAGTTGGTCCAAACCAACTCTTGACCACCGACGTTGATGTCATTCGCCGTATGGCTCATCCCAAATCCACATACTCGAGATCAACATTCTACCGGACTTTCAGGTTCACTCCTACTGAAGATCATACGTTCTCACTCCTCGATGACCAAGAACATACTCGGCGTCGAACGGCCTTTGGTCCCGGCTACACCGGCGGCGTACATGTAGAAGCATGCGTTGACCGCCAATGCGCTCGTCTTGTAGACCTCATTCAGCGGGAATTCATTTCAACTCCCGGAGAATATCGGCCATTAGATCTGACCACCGCCTCCTTATTATTTGCCATGGATTGCGTTGGAGATCTTTCCTATGGGCAGCCATTCGGTTGCCTCGATAAGGGAAATGACGTTCATGGATTCGCGAAGTGGAATGAGGGCTTCTTCAATGTTGCCATAGTCATGGCTAATTTAAACTGGTTAAATAAAATATTCGTTAGGCCTCCATTCAACAAGGTATATCCATCGACCCTTGACCAAGACGGCATGGGAAAATATATGGCGTGAGTTGAGATGTTTTGATTTATGTGAGACCATACGCTAATTTTTCTTAGGCTTGCACATGCTGCGGTTGAAAGAAGCTTTGAGGATGGTGGTGGGCGCCGGAGAGATGCCCTTGCGTCATTCATAGAACAAGGTGTTACAAAGGAAGAAGCTATAAATGAGCTGATACTACAAGTGTAGGTATTGTTCTTTATATTGCCATGTAGGTTGGTCAATCTGATAGCAGAGAAATAGGGTTGCAGGTACCGACTCGACTGCTACTGGTATTCGTATGACTCTCCTACTCCTTGTTACGAACCCGGCTGCATACAACAAGCTCAGATCGGAGATCGACGATGCAATCCTAAGAGGAGATGTCAGCTCGCCTATCAAAGACCCTGAAGCCCGGAAGTTACCTTATCTTCAAGCCGTCATTAAAGAGGGCCTGCGTGTCTTCCCTGTTGTTACCGCAACTTTCTATAAGACAGTACCTAAGGGAGGGGATATTATTAGCGGTCACTTCGTCCCCGAAGGCACCGAAGTGGGACATAACGTCCTTGGAATTATGAGAGCGAAGAAATACTGGGGCGAGGACGCTGACGTATTTCGTCCGTCCAGATGGCTCGAAGTAGACGAAGAGACTCACGAGATTATGACGGGAGTCATAGAAACCCTTTTCGGATCCGGCCGATATAAATGTCTCGGCCGCTCCATCGCTCAGATGGAACTCAACAAAGTATTTGTCGAGGTAAGCACTGATGGCCTTTGGAAAGCATTCCTTATGGCTAACCGGGTCCGTGTTATAGTTGCTTCGACGCTTCGACTTCTCAGTTGTTACTCCACAGAATCCGGTCGAGATCGTGAACTCGGGCTTTTTTCTCATGTCGAAATTGAATATGCGAGTCACGGAGAGACAAATTGCGTGAGCCCGAAGGCTTGAAGTTAATAGCGCTCGATTATACCCGATTGCTATTATAAACAATGACTTGAAATACCACACGCCCAATTGAAACTTAGCCAGCGATGTCTCATTTCTTTGCGCATGGTACATGAATGATCCAAATCGGTGGTTTCTCGTAAAGGAGTTTTGTCGCTGGTTTTAATAGCCTCCTTCTCGACTAGACGAATGCGAAATATATTGAAGACTAGGTCCCGTGTGCATACCGTCGTGATAGTGATCCAGACAACCCCATCAGACATCAACAGTCAAGCTTCCCTTCATGATCACAACTGCAGTTCCACCAAGCCAAAGGTCCACTAGCTTAACGCTTCCGTCAATCTCCTGTGTCGTAGTCTCAACGCTGATGTGGCTCGTCCGCCCTATTTCCACACCCTGCGTGATTCTAAACTTCCTCCCCCTTCCCTCTTCTTTAAGTGTAAGATACGATCCAAGCGCTGTAGCCGCGCTTCCCGTCGCCGGGTCCTCAAAGCCGAGCTCGATCATCCTTGACCGAATACCTCTCTCCCCATCCACTTCGCCTACATCAACATAGTAGTACCGACACACAAAGCTCTCACTCCACTCCCCTTCATCCAAAAGAGGACTCGGCAAATTATCAAAATCGAGTCGTCCCGCGGTACTAACCCTTCCCAATAACTCCAACGACGGCAACCTTACTAGTATGAACGTCATACCCTTCACCACACTAAACACAGGCGCCTTTAACTCCGCATCACGAATCTCCGGGACAGGCGAAAGACCAGTATGTTCCGCACCAACAACATCGCCCAGCGTCTTCGCATGCAAGTGTACATTATGCGGAATCCTAGCATGAACATGGTTATCCGTCTGCGACACTATCCCAATAGGCCCAGTTTTCGCAACAAGCGTGTCGACGTCCGGGTTTACGTGGTTCTTAACAAGGATAGCGGTGCCGATGGTAGGGTGGCCTGCAAACGGGATTTCGCGCTCGATGGTAAAAATATCTATCTCACGACTCTGTGGGTTCGTTTCTTCGTGCAGGAACACCGTTTCCGAGAGGTTGAATTCTTTTGCAACTTTCAGCTTCGCCTCTTGAGTAAGTCTATCTTTTAGAGCTGCAGGGACGGACACCACGGCTAGGGGATTGCCTTCTAGGCGCTTAGACGTGAAGACATCGAGGATCGTGTACTGTAACTCCATTTTGATGCGGAGTTTATGAATGCTTTTTTCGAATTGTTGTCGATATTATTTGGATTTGGTGAAGTAAAGGATGTTGTGTTTTCTAGGTTTGTTATGACGATCGAAGACTATGAAATCTCACTTGAGATACGATACAAGTAACCTAGATATATAAGGGAATACCTTCTCTAATTGAGTCAATTTGAATATTAGGGAAAGGAAGATTGCCGTTTTCGGAAGGCTCTGAAGTGAGTCCTACAAGTGGAAGCACTAATGAATGGGATGCGGGGGCGACGATGATGCTATAACGAAACGTTATAGTGGCCGATAGGCTCCGTTTAAGGGCGTAAGGACCCACTAATGTCACTATAGCTCAGCTTGGATGCATGGATCTGTATCGAGAGAATCTTCATTCGAATAACTCAGCGTAAAGACCATGAACTCCATCGTGCGTATTATGCGTTTGAAATACAAGAACTCCGTGAGATGCAAAATCGAAAATCATTAAAAAGTGATAAATGGTGTGAAATGTCGACAAGTCAGAAGCGTATGTTCGTTATTCTCGGTGTGAGGAACTGAGAATCTTCGCGTGAAGCATTCTTGGCGTGCGAAGTATATAAACCATGAATTCATCTTATGTACGGATAGTATCAGCACCAGCGCCAGATTGTAGAGATACAACCAAGGCGGTAAGCCGGTCGATCTTGGCCGCTAACTCTGAGATGCGTACCTCCACATCAGTAGGAGCATCCCCAGCATCATCTTCAGCTAGCTGCTCTCGAGGCTTTTGTTTGTGGACCATATCTGTGCTAGCGGGCCGTGGTGTTGGCAACCGAGGTCGATATCCCGACCGGGGTCTACTTTCTGGATGCTCAGGAGGTGGTGCTGAATGCCGTTTAAAAGAGTTCTGTCGCGGGCCACGGAAATTATCAAAACCATCAGGGTTAACTTTCTTGGTAAACCACTCATAGACTTGAATTACCCCGACGATTGGCGCATGAGTTGCTCTGAGAAGCAGGATGCGCCCTTGACGGAATTTATCGTCTGAGGGTAAAAACAGCCGCAATGGTCTGAAAATGCCTAGCGCAATGAGATTGAAGGGCGCTTTGCAGCTCGAGTTAGTCATGCGCGCATGGGTAGAAAATCGGAATACATACGATAGAAATGCGTGAGCCTGTTGCTAGTCGATGCTTCAAGCACGTATACGCTATAAACATAAAGATATTCTTCGCGGGCATGTGTGATAACCCGGGAAAAACTATTGCTTAGCATACCAGTCAAGGAACCCATAAGCAATATTGAACTTAATGTGACGAAAATCAACATGAGCGGAGGTCCTGTAAGAGTATTAGAAAAGGGATGCGATTAGATTAGGAAAGGGAGAAAATACCAAAAATCGGATCGATGTCCTCCATGATATCGAATCCAACGAAACTAGATCCGAAAAAGATTTTAGTCACTATCATGGCCATATGCGGGAACGTGTACGTCTCTCTCCCGACGAGAGAGAACGTCGTCAAGAATCCGACATATACAATGACTACCAGGACCATGAACTTCAAGAAGTCCTTTCCCATTTCCTTAAGACAGGGGATTAAAGTACCCCAGTATGGAGATAAGCTGAGAACCGAACAGACTCTGGGTACCATAAAAAGAGCTTCTAATGATAAAACGTCGAACCCGATATCCACTAGAGTATAATCGCCCTTATATAAACCGACGAATCCTGCGACTCGACATTAGCTCACGAGTACTTGGGTTTAAATAAGTCAATACAGAATTCGCTTACTCAAAACTGCAAAGACTATCCCGATAGCAATCATGATCATATCGAATAGGTTCCATATATCCGCAGCATAGAAAATAGACCCAGCATCAATGTATTCGCTGACTTCATCGTAGAAGAAAGCAGCGAACCAGATATACAATAATATCTCGAGAGGGGTGATGGCGTAGCGATTTTGCTCTATCAAGACGCTGTAGTATAACATTAAAAATCCGATAAAGAATGCAACCTCGTACGTTTTAAGATATTTTGGTACACGGAGTCGCGAAAATGGATCGGCGGTCGCAGGGTTATAGAAACGAGGCTTCTTTTCCGAGTGGACGGAGAGACGATCCCAGAAGATAATCTCGCCGTTCCAAATACCCGTTATAATCTTTTGCACAACATGTTGGCTGAGGAACCTTTTGGCATCAGCAATAGCTGCGATTTCCAAAGCATTGAGATTTGTAAAGGGAGCGGTGGGGTCGTCCTCCAGTTCCTCCACATCGCTTGCATGTCGACTCATGGTTAGTTTAGAAATAGATTGTAACAATTGAATTCGTCTCGAGGATCCGAAATGGTTATGGTTATGGTCTGAGCCACGGTCCGGCGAGAAACCGCGCGGAGAACCCAATAACGTGGTCCTCTCGTTGCTTTCGCCGCCGTCCGCCGGATTGTCTTCATGGGAAGTATCTTCGTCGGAGGAAATGTCGGGAATTTCGTATAAGCAGAAGTCTACGGCATCTCGTTCAGACAAGCGAGTCAAAAACCGCCAAGCAACAATTTCACAGGCATTCGCACGAGCTTCACTAACTCCCCGACTATCATTAATCGCACCATAATGCCATCGTAGGGCCCTACTATACTATTAGTAGAATTCCTATGCTTGCACGTAATGAAGTTATTCGCCTATCGGGATTGCTGTTTCATCTGTAACGAGGGGAAAGGAGATCACACTCAAAGCCAGGTCAGAGAGGAATGGGTGGCCAATCTCAAAGCTAAAGTCGATATAAAAGGGTAGATTTTCAAGGAATATCTCACAATAAAGCATTCACGATGGCAGGATTGGTAACTCGTACGGTAAGATGCTCAACAAGGGTACGCAAATCATCACCAGCTGATGTAGTTCGAAGTTGCTCAAAAGTGCTTGGCATATAAACTACTTCTGCGATGTATCTATACAATGCAGTTTGTCAGATATATGCCAATGTTACGTGTGTATTTTGATTTTATTGTAACATACCGGGAAAGCTCCCGAACGACGTCACGGAAGACATCTTCGTGGGCGATGTCAGGAAGCTCGACTTCAGGGCGGATACCAATAGGGGAAAACGCGCGTTCTGGTGTCGCCAAGGGACGCGACTTGACGCGAATTGGCATCTTGCTTTAAAAGATTAGACCAGCTCAACGGTATTCATAAGAGTACATAATGTTAAAATTGGGTTTGTACGAAGTAGTAAGGTCTAAGGAGAGGTCAATGCTGAGGAAGAAGTGTATAAAGTTGTATAAGAAATCAAGAAATTCGTCCCGCAAAATGCGGAGAGTGCTAGACGCCTAAAAGATCCGGATCTATGCTTGACGGCTCGTGCTTAGCGTCATTATCTCATCCCCTAATCCGCTGTAGAAATAGCTTAAATCTTGCTATCGTGCGCTAAAACAAGGCTAAAGCCTCTATGGGTTAGCATCATCTCCACCATCCTTTAGAGCGGATACCCCCCGTAACATGAAACTTCCTTATACCCTAATAAAAGGACGTCATGCTGCAGCCCAACTACTTCAATCTATATTTTTCGGATAAACGTACGAGACCAGGAATCATAATTAGGAGACTGTATCCCCCAAGGCTTAAGTAACAGCTTTACTATACGCATGATTTACTAGTCGCCGTCGAAAATCACATAATGGATCGCCAGAAAAGACAACCCGTCGATATAGTAATGAGCGACATCGATTCATAATTGGGACCACGTTTTATGGTAGCGAATTCCGTTACTCGCAATACTATAGATGAAAAGATAGCACAGAAAGCGAAGAGATTACTTCCTGTCGCTGTCGAAGAAACCAATCATTAGGGGTCACTCATCCAGTATGTAAGATATACTCAGTGACTTTGAAGAGTTGCTTATATTTCATTTATATCGCACTTACAAGATAAGAAACACATCTCTACTAATGCTATAGGTAGGAGGTACGCTAATTACGGAATACGGTTACTACAGCTCTAACATCTCCCCAGAGTGTTTTAGGGATGGATGCTCTGTAGCTCTTGGTAATTACTTGACGTAGATAGGCTAATAGCGGGTAGCTCTATGGGTCCTATGCCCCGCTGTAAGAGACATAGTTGGGGCTGAATCCTCTCCCTTGCTTCAGCATTAAATACACCTATTAGCTACTATCTTATAGCATTGGTTCGAGCGAAATTCGCCTTGAGTCTTTACAGGTATATAAACCGAGGTAGTTGACAAATACATGTAATTACATGAGACTATCTATACAATTGCAAGTATAATTTAATGATCCCGCTTTTGTTACACCCCTTCTTCAGCTTTATAAGAGACATGATTAGTTGAATTACACCAACTAACCTTGCCATTTTTGTTGATCAAGATGCCCGGAACGATGGCTATAGGTAGGAATCGAGTATGCTCGAAGGAGTAATAAATGCCGAGTATGAGGCACAGCACCTACGTGCCGCTCATAGAGCCTCTTTAAGCTGCTACCCTCCCTTCTATCCTTCGTAATGCTCCCTAACATGACCAACATCTCAGCACCTGTTAAATGCTGTTAAATTGCCTACAATGAATGCTACCGACATCGCATATTCCACCGCGAAATATACTATTTTGATCGCAGTACCATACGTAAGTTATTTCTGTGGGATTGCATAGATATATATGTAATATGTACTAAATTATTGCAAAAGTTCCTTCTACTTCTTAGTTATCGTGTCTTTTTTCATCCCCTAAGGAAGTACCCAGGGCCGCTGATTGCGAAGGTGTCCGACGCCTACGCCGGCTACTATGCAATTTCGAAGCGGCTTCATCTAACCACGTATCTAGACATAGAAAGATATGGTAAGTTAATAAAACCAAAGAAAAATGATGACCTTGATTTTTAACTGTGGACTAGGACCCGTACTCCGACATGGCCCTAACCGGCTGGTCTTCAGCACGGCTCAAGCTGTACAAGGTAATTCATACGACAACGACTACTGTTTTTAAGGTATTGACTTAGATAGACATCTATAACAATGAAAGAGTCACGAAAGGGAACGTCTATGGGCTTACCGTAAGGTCTGGGAAGCCCAGCATCTTCAATGCGATCGATAAGCGAAAGCATAGGAATAAGCGTAGGGTCGTCGGGCAAGCCATTAACGACAAAGCGATGCGCGCCTTCGAGCCTACTATGATGGATCAAATCGATGTATTTCTTGGACAATTATTGAAGTCATCTCACAACTCAAGCCCTATCGATATATCAGATCGTTCTAAACGACTGGGCATGGACATCGTGGGTCAACTTGCTTTCGGCTACGCACTGGACACGCAGACAGTCCCTACGAATCAATTCATGATTGATGGACTTAAAGCCGGACAATATCGTAACAACTGCTTCATGCAATTCCCATTCCTCAAGAAGTCAGGACTTGATTACCTCGTCTTACTTTTCGCCGGCGCATCTCAACGAATGAAATACTTACAGCTATTTCAACGCATGATAAGTAACCGACTTACCCAAGACAAGCATGCTAAAAACGATCTTTATTCATTTGTCGTTGACCATCTTGATGATACCGATGGGGTGCCGTTGAGCGACCTCTGGTCCGAAGCCCTATTTTTCTTCCCAGCGGGTATGTTATATACGCCACATCCAACACTCCGTCCCTTAGAATGATGCAATGCTAACATTAACATAGGAGGTGATACAACAGCAACCGCAATAAGCGCATTGTTCTTTTATCTATCGCGAAATCCCAATGTTTATAATAAACTAGCTGATGAGATACGCACCACATTTGGAAGCGCTGCAGAAATTCGGACTAGCCCGCAACTATCGAGCTGCCAATATCTACGCGCCTGTATCGACGAGGCTCTACGTATGACACCCCCAGTATCTGGCACGCCGTGGCGCGAGTTATACGACGAAGAATGGAAAAACGGACCTTTTATCGTCGACGGACATGTCGTCCCGCGGGGCACACAAGTAGGCGTTAGCATGTACGCAGTTCACCACAACGAGAAATACTTCCCGGAGCCATTTGTCTTTCGCCCAGAGCGCTGGTTAGATGCAGACGAAGCGACCCTCAGCCGTATGAATGCCGCATTTAGCCCATTTTCAATCGGCGGTCGCGGGTGTGCAGGAAAGGCTATGGCGTACTTGGAGAGTAGTCTGGTGATTGCGAAAACCCTTTGGTATTTCGATTTTGAAAAGGCGCCGGGGAAGTTAGGTGAAGTTGGTGGAGGTGTACTTGGGAAGACTGATGGGAGGGGCCGCCCGGAGGAATTCCAGTTGTGGGATTGTTTCGGCTCTCTACATGACGGACCTAACTTGATCTTCCACCCCCGCGGTGATTTCTGCAGCGAAATAAACATTAAAGCGCCGACAAATCCTTAATGCTAGAATTTAAGGAGGGCTAGGTCCTGTGTGGTGGCTTGGCCTACATATATCACATCTCAGATCACAATGTTCAATACAAATGTTTAACGCTTAGACAATTCGTTAGGCACCTGTGTCAGCTTTAGAGCGCATGTGGCATATCCGAGAAATTCTTTGAGAAGACGTACATAATAGTCATACATATTAGCGCTCGAGGATTGCTCTGGAATGAGAATTGGATTATAACAATGTCTTACCATTTGTCTCACCCTGATGGCATCTAAAAAGCACCAAACTACTGTTATGTAGGCTGTCAAGATCTTATGTTAGTGCACGGCCCGTACTCATCAGTTATCATTCTCTAAAAACGCAAAAATGTCGCTGACCGGCACAGTAACTCCGCATGTGTTGTACGTGCTACCCAAGGCAAGACATGCATTTTTATAGTGATGATATCCTTCCAGAATTAGGTCCCGTCGGGGTCTTCTAGAAATGCGAGTCTCACTTATAACGCGACGTATACCTTACGGACGAGTCCCCTCGTTATATCTTGTTGAGTCTCTAACTTATATACGACTACTAATGCAGCGCGTCTCGGTGTGGTATTGAACAATTAATAGCATGGCTGGTGCCTCCTGTAGGCTTCGTGTCTGACTCCTTAAATGTCGCTCAGTTAGTCTAATCAATTAGAATGATTGAGGACGTTCCTTAGAAAGCATGTAATTTCCTATATATTTTTGTCATTCGTCGAGCCCTAGTAAGGGGGATTGAATCTAAGGCTAAACGGATAGCGTAGTAAGAAGGATTTCCTAATTTGGTAGGTAGGAAGCAAGCCAGCAAGCCTCGCCATATTGATGACTAAAGTCAACGCCACACCTCGGCTATCTCTTTTATGGCTTTGCTGGACCCACCCTACTGCCACTAGAATATGCGCTAGAATTAGAGAACTTAGAAATTCCACCATTAACAACAACACTTACAACTCGTATTCGGATACGTAAGGGCGACAACTGGCCTTCGCTTAGAATTATTCGCCGCTCAATCGACGAAAATGTTTCTCTATGGGCCATAATGATAGACATTATATCGGTCAATCAGAGTCACAGGGCTTGTTTCCAGCTTCCGAGGTCACAAATCCGTTAAAATTGATATTCGAAATCCCTCGTATCCGTCATCTTGCCATCACTACGCATTAGCGCTACTACACTATTCTTCCATCCATCTATCTGGGGATATCGCCTGAGCTAATCGACCCGAATGGTAAGCATTCACGATTATGAAGAACATTTAGTATTGTTCTTCTCCAATGGACTTCCGTAAAGAACATTGAACCATTACGCATTAAAGCTTCCGCTTTATACTTCTGATACGCTCAAAGTTCTCAGTAGCGGCACCCAACTAAGTGGTCGATCAAAACATTACGGCAGCTACCAAAGTCCCTGCCTGGTCTACAGCACGGCACTTGTTCTATGATTGATTCCTTTCGGTATATCGGTTTTAGAATCCTTTATGCATTATTCCGCTTTTGCTGTGCCGCAAAAGTAGGTTGCTTATCATCGAGAACTTCTCCTTTTTCATTATTACTAGCGACTGGTTACCGGAACAGTGGTATTTTTCGCTGCATTGTTTCTGATAAGTGTCACGGCAGCCATGCAGGTACAGATGTATTTCAAGATTTACTTGCATGCTAGCAGGGGTTTCACGATATGCCATTTAACATTTCAAGGGATTCCCGTACGATACGCCCGAGCAGCTGGTTCCATATAGAGTTGTTGGAAAGCCACCGCGGTGTCTTGAGCCTATCCCATTTTGGGTTACCTGAGCTGTTTGATTCGGCTTCCGAGGCTAAGTTGATTCTAATACGAGTTTGGGAGATGTAGCTACCCGATAACTAACGGTCTTCAACTGCTACTTGTACTATTGAGTCGGTACTACTGATCCGTCTAGTTTCTTATTCACTACTTCTAAGCCGAGTTACAAAGAATAATCCTCGAATCCCGAATGTTTCTATCATGGAAAGCCGGAAACAATCATCAGTTGCTCGTTTAAACAACAGTGACGACTAGATTTCTGGGGTGGGCTCCGCAAGGTTGCAGCTCCTATGTCATTTCTTCAAATGATGTTACCATGGAAATCTAATCCCAAGAAGATTGAAATGATCTCTTCCAAAGCCGTTAGACTTGGACAGGGTTGTACCGAAACCCCTGGCACTGCTCCCCGGAGACTTCATCGTCTACCCGCCCGTGGCTGTGCTCATCGTCAAGATATACCTTAATTGGCCAGATACAATCTATAAAAAGAAAACGCTAACGATTATACGCTCTGTGATTCGTCATACCACTTTTTCTCGCGAACCGTTTAGGTACGTTAGGTACCTGCGATCAAGAGACCCAGCCACCTCTACCGCTACCACATTATGGTTAAGCAAGGGTAGCAAGGCAACCCTGGGGGACCGGCGATCGCTAAGAGTTCCTGCTGGCACAAAAAAACAAAAGAATAAGGATCTTGTTTTCCCGTCGGTGGCAATGCACCTGCCACACGATACCTAAAGGTATTCGCGGGATACATTTTGCCTTCCGACGTTTTAGGCCTTGAAATAAATATTTCATCTTCTTTTTTGAAAAATAGAGGCAACCAACTAAGACGAATACGACTATACCATCGAATCACTTTCATTAACTATAGTATAGTAGTAAGTACTACCTATGCGTATCTATGGATAGCTATTGTGTAAGACATAGCTTGCATTAGGTACCTATTTCTAGATTCTCTGCAGAAAAACAGAAAAAAAAGACAAGCCGGGCAGCACTTCAGCAGGTCTCAGCCTTGTTGTGCGACACCCTCACCCTGCTGCACCCTGGTCCTGCATGGTTGCAGTATTGCAGTAGTTTGGTTGCTACCCTGTCTTGTCTTCGCCTCTTTTCTTAAAAGATCATTTCATTTTTTTCACCGGCTTCCGTTTTTCTTCTTATTCCTTCTATCGTTCTTGATGCCAATTTGGGTTAATTTTTTTTTGCTACGCTTTCCAACATCCTCAAACTTGGCCTGGCTTGGATATTTGGTCCTGGTTTGAGCCATGGCTCGTTCAATATCTTACCCCGGTTTTCTACGCCTTCCACCAGCTACCGCTGCTCTTCTCATCAGCGCGGCTTTCGGATTGACGAATGGTCACGCGCTACCCAGACAAACGAAGACGGTGGAATTACATGAGTTGAATGTTGTTTCTTTCCCGCAACCCACAGAAGCTCCGATTTTACTTTCCGATTTATTACCAAGACAGGCACAGAACACGGTATGCGGCTATATTGGGGGAGATACAAACCTACCTGCGACATGTTCTGCAGGGTCCCATTGCGTATTGGAGAAGGACCACGGTGTGGTGGGCTGTTGTCCGGACGGCGGACCTTGCTCGACGGGTATATTTACGGGTTGTGTAGACCGGAATAGCGACCTACAAACCGAACTCAATCCTTACGTCTACACGTGCCAAGGCTCCAACGTGTGCTATAGGAATGAGTTCGCCGGCGGGTATTTTCAATTCGGCTGTGGAACCGCTTCATCCCTAGGCACTACTGTCGAAACCTCCGTTGATGGCATGACAAGCTTGGTGTTCGAAAGCAATTCTATGCTGCTGACAGCGTTACCAACCGCTCTTCCTGAACCCACTTCCATCGGGTCACAGCCTTCTAGTGTAACGGACGATCCTACGGGTGATCCCTCGTCTAGTTTGCCGAATTCTTCATCACCAAATGCAACACCCACTTCCGCTACCTCTGTATCATCAGCCTCTAACTCGCTATCATCATCGTCTTTACTCACATCTTCCGGGTCCTCTTCCTCATCTTCATCGTCGTCATCTAAATCTTCGTCAACAACTAAAACCTCTTCATCAACCACTGCCTCGTCAAGTTCTACAGGCACTCCGACAACAACGAACAGCGCTCCAGTAGAATCATCTACTGACCCCAGCGCACCCGCAGCAGTAGGATCTAGTACCACAAATAGAGGGGCTATCATCGGAGGATCTATCGCAGGAGCCGCCGTTTTGATAGCAGTGCTAGTTGCTATAGCACTTTTCTATCTCCGTAAGCGGCGCAATAATCGTGAAGGCCCCGGGCCTTTACCAACAGATGCGCCGCCACGGACGGATTACATAAGGTGAGTTTCAAGTTACACATACCAAATTGAATTCTGACTAATCCATCACGCAGCCCGATGAGCTCTCACGGCGCAGCCTTTGCACCTTTACCATCATGGCAAGATGATGAGGAAGACACGCGACCATTGACACAGTACCCACAGCCGTACCACCCAATCCAGGAACCGTGGCAAGCGGAACCGAGTATGGCAGCAGCAGCTAGACCGCCGACAACGAATCGTGGTTTCTCGCAGCCGTTGCGATATCATCCAGCGACCATACGCCCCGTAGTGCCCTTAGGTGGCGTAGGAACCGGATTAACGCCAGTAGCAGAAGAAGAAAATCCAAGCGAACGTGGCGACCACGATCGTCCAAGTACCGGTACCACTGGAGTAGGAATGGCAGGAGGACCTAGATCATCCGAACTCGACGACTTCTCGCGCGCATACTCAAGTGCTGGAATTGGTACCCAGGAAATCGAAGACGACAGACAACCACTTACCGCGACGAACTCAGACGAGAATACATTAGGATCAGGTGCTATTTCACCAGAGGGAAGTCAAACTCCGCCTCGCGGTGGAGGAGGCGGGAATAGACCGTTGTGGCAGCAGAATCGACAACAGGGGAGGAATATGATGTGGCTATAATTCTTTTTTGAGGCTGCATCCGTATATACATGCGTTTCACTCCATCATTATTACAATTGTTTTGTGCAAGGCGACGAAAATAACGACTTAATCAATTAATACCCGCGGGAGTTTTGGAGCATGGTCAATTGATCGGATAGAGAGGGAGACGATAATGGGGCGGTGAATTATTTTCTTTGGCTTCGCATTTTGCGGGTTTGGCATTCATCAATAATTGCGGCGTTTTTGGCGAGAAGAAACTTTTGGGAAATGCCGGTGATGGCATTGAGTACGACTACGAATATGGATATGGGTATGGATATGGACGGGTTGGGTGGCTTTATGATTATTGCTATTATTATTATTATACCATGCGCACTTGTGGGCGTTCTGATTTGGGACGCGACGGGCTGGGTTGGATTCAGATTCGAATTCGGTCGACTGCCTTTTACGAAAAGAATCGTTACGAAGAGTATAGATTATTATAGAGGATGAAGAGAGGAAGTTTTGGCTTCGTATAAGGGGTGGATAATTCAAAATATTCCAAATATGAAGTTTCGGTGCATTCGTAGGAAGTGACATAGTAATATGCAGTTCTATCGTGGATTGTTGAGAGCAAAATATGCGTGATCCCCTGCAGGAAAGAAGCGTGGCGTTGCAAAGTATGAACTGAAGTTACTTCCTATTTAAAGGACTTTAGTCTAGAGCTGCTATAAGCGTTATGTTCAGCTGGTAGTCATCCATGGCAAAATCAAGCATACACATTGACCAATCACTATTCCACAAACAAAGACATGCTCAAGCAGGTTGGTATCAAGCCCGTCTGCTATTGAAAAGGCCCAAAAGGGATCCTTCCATGATTTGCGTAAAATACTCTCACAAAAAATCAATGTCAGTCAGCAATACTTGAAAGACAAATAGCACCTTTGCGGTGACCTGAACGCCAATGCCATCCACTCTTTGACATATGATGTGCGACAACCCCCTCGCACATCAAGAAGCCCCGTCCTGCCTCATGGAAAAGGGACATCCTTAGCGCCTCGTAACCCTTTCCTTAAACACCTTATTTACTCATACAAATACGGCCATCAGGCCTCAAAGGACAGGTTATTTAGGGTGGAATCAACCTCATATAAACCGTGGGTTGTAGTCTCCTCTAGACGACAACATGAGTGCTCATATGCTCAACCGCTTCCTTGATACTTCGAAGCATTCGTTGGTTGACACAGAAGGGACATCGAAGAGGTCGTTCCGCGCCGCCGAGGGCGTTGCCACTTGAGATGGGAGTCAATGTAAGAGATGGGTCCTCTGCAGCAGCGGGGGTGAATCGCGCGCTGTTTCGTTGTTGGGGTGCAGGTGTCTGTAGCGCAGGAGCAATGGGGGGAAGTCCTTGCTCTTGTCTCTCGCGTTGTTCGCGAACGGCAGCGGCAACGGCCTCAGCATCCTCCTCTTCCTGCTGCATGGCACGAAGGGCATTCTGCAAGACGACTTCGGGATCCTCATTGCCTGGATATGCGCTAGGCTCGGCGGGGTTAACTGTAGCGCCGGCAAGAGTAGGGAGAGGGGCCGGACTAGGATTCTCAAGGCGACGAACAACTTCGTCGCGAACCTGGGCGCAAGTAGTAAGGTTGGCTTCTACGCCAACAACGCGAAGGACAGCATCGCGAATTGCGGCAGGGCTGGTATCCGCGCTAATGTTCATGAAGCGAGGAACGGCGTCGATGAGGTAGGGAATATCATCGGCGGGGTTAGAGGCGTTTCCATGGCGGCGTTGACGTCGAATGAGAAGACCGTAGCGCTTCTTAAAGCGATGAATCCAACCAGGCGAAAACTCGGGAGGGGATTCATCCTTGTAACGAGGAAGTTGTTGGAAAATAGACTTCGCTTTCTCAGCGAGTTCTTCGTTAGAAGGGTTGCGACCGGACGCGACAACTTGGCTGTGCCAAAGAAGGACAAGCTTCTCGACGTCGGGCCAGTTACCGAAACGCAGACGAGAACCAGAGAATTGATTGTCGTTATCTAGTCGGGCGTACTTTGGCGACAAAGAATGGCTAATGGTGGATTGGCTGATGTTTTGGCCATACTGGCTGAAAAACCACTCGATGCATGCTTTGTGGGAAGGTCGGGTTGTTTGGGAATGAGCCCAGCGACGAAGAGCGCGTCGCTGGTCGAGGGTAAGCGAGTGTCGCTCCTTGGGCGTACCAACGGCGGTGGGCGTGTCGGGGGCAGGCGGAACGTCGGACATGTTGGGATTTCTGCTTAGATGGCTTAAGATGGCTTAAGATGGCTTAGAATTGCTTAGTACGAATACGTCAGCCTCTTTTTGCATCGGGATTTCGGATGATGATGTGAATTCTCAATTGATTCAATGAAGTTTGGCGGTCTAATCGTGTAAACGATGTAAACGAACTCGACCCCGGGTTTTGGTGGTAAAGGGGGCGAGGTTGTGCTTAATGAAAGGAGGAGAAAATTGGCGTGAGCGGGTTTTGTCGCTTGGGAGGGTTTTTTTGGTGTAGGCCTACGCTAAGAAACGCTGAGAAACGCTGAGGGGGGCAGGGGCCACCCTAGGCAACTCTTCACTTTACTGAATTTTACTCACTTATCCTCCAATCGATAAGTGGGCTTCTCAAATTAAAGGGCATAAGAGATTGATGGTCCGTGCTTTCCTCATTGCATTGAACGGCTTTATGCGTTAAAGTTCCTCCTCTTCCCCAAAACCCCTCGCGGTTTCAAATGCAAATCACCGATAACAAATCCTAACTGGGCCTTCGTTTAGGGCATGTGCTTAGGTCTAAACTGCCTAAGGTAGCAATGCACTACCTCTATACATCACTATAAATTTATGTGGATTTATTCCATCATACAATAGAAATACCTACCTATATATCTAGAAGGAACAACACAAGTGCAGTAGCTGCAGTACAACTAAAAACAAAAACAATAAAAAAAGAAGCTTCTATAAGTACCATCCTCAGATACATAATTGCTTTTAACAATTGATTACACAGGTGTTCAAGACAATGAACGCGTATCAACATGTATGATTCAAGCCATACACTTTAGATACAATTAAACAGATTGACCCATAAATTCCATTTGTCCTACTTCTTGCGTATACATAGGTATACCGGCTACCTAGGTAATCAGCATTACATATGAGGAGGTACGGTTAAAATGATTTATCATTCCACAACTCACGTCTACCTACATATGCGCGTAACCCTGGAAAGCGACCAAAATACATGGGTCACTCTTCAAACAGGACATCTACGTGGATATACATGGACGAATTCGACGTCGTTTGTCACTACCCATTCAATACCCAACATCACGAATCAATGTGTAAAACAAGTCTTGATCGACATTCCGCTTCATCCCATTCTTCAAAGCTACGAGTAGAATTATCTCAACTTGGGAGGCATTTGTTCATGTCTCCCTTAATCGCCCTGTCGTTTGCCGCACTATTCGGGGTCTTCTCATCCACTCGGCATTAGATACATGTCAAAAATACCCCATGCCCTCAATCCTTGGCTCAAGTGCCCTGAATGATCACCCGTAAGGCCTTTGGATACCCTCTCAAGTTTCCCCCGCCGCACACCCCTACCCTTTTGATATCAAGCTTTGCGTCATGCGCCCTATCATTCCCTCTCATCACACTCGTCCAATAAATAATAGTAATGGTCATAATAAACTTTGAAGCAATGTAGAAAGTTGGGAATTTCAGTATAAAAACCGGAAGTCATAATCGAATTCATTCCAGTGAAAGAAATCAAACCGTATTCGCGCCAAACCGTAAGGTATACCCTATAACCTATAAAGAAGTTGACAAAAAGGCTAACTTATAAATGCCATTTTCGACCCAGCCCCAAATGATAGGAGATATTTTTGTAGATTTCAGGTGAAAGAAGTCAGCACCGCGAAGTGATTGAGGCAGAAAATACCGCGTTGGGTCATCGGTCGTATTCGTACGTTGCGGATTAGAGGGCATATCAAGGTGACATAGATGATATTTCCAGGAGGGTTCGAGTTACGCCTCGTGAATTAAAATCGAAAACAGGGTTAAAACATTGGCGTAAATGCTAGTAGAATAAAGCGTATGGGGTATATTGTATATAGAAAATGTTCTGTGGGTATCGACCGTTAATTAATGCCTTATACCTGCTCGACAAAAACAACAAGTTTCTCGTTATGCTCTAGAGCATAGTTGAGGTCGTTGTTGCTCAAGAGACTGAGCTTATCGCCACTTTGCTCGTCTCGGTAGAAGAGTTGAATTTGGTCCCCGTTAGCAACTTTAGTTCGTTCCCTAATCCTCTCATATAACTGTTGGAAGTTTGTATCGGACGGTACACGTATTAGGAACGTGTCGTCGTTAAAATGCAATTTAACTTTAAGGGACGGTCCCCCTTGGCTGATCCCTGGGGATAGCGATGTCTGTGATGGTTGTGATAGTGATGATGGTTGTCGAGTCATTGGTGTTTGCCCATTCTGCATTTGCCTAGGAGCAGCGGATAACCCCGAGTAGCCATTTCCGTTCAGATTGTTCCTAGAAGATTGCCGTGAGTTTCCATCTCTCGGTGAATCGACTGACGAGCGTGACCCTCCAGAAAGTCTGTACTCATCTCCGTTAGGAGCTTCAATTTCGTAGTCACCCTCTCGCGGTGCAAAGAACTGCTTCACCAGATTACACTTAGAAATATATGGTGGTTGTCCAAGTAGGTTCTTCACGTATGCGTCCAAGTTATGTAGTCGCCCTTCCGTGATTGCGTCGGTAACGTAATTAACAGGACCAGGCATATACGGTAGAGTACGCTTCTGTGTGCCAGTATTACCAGCTTCAGCAGGGAACTCGGTCAGGAGAGCAATTTGGAAATCATAGAAATCTTCGTAGTAACGCGACAACTCCCAGTGTCGCCCATCCTCCAAAGTCGCTTCGATAACAAACCAGTACTTATCTTCGGCGAAACAATATCGTGGTATCCGGGCCGATATGGGTGCATAGAGTTGGGAAGTCGATTTAGCAGCAAATTGATTTTGCTGCATTGTGTTTCGTTGCTGTTGTTGAGCTTGTTGCTGATAACCCTGCTGTTGCTATAAAGCTGTTAATAAAAGCCAATATGCCAAATGAACGGTTTATTATGGCTTACAAATGCGGGGTTCTGTTGACTCTGTCGGCTTGCGCCTGGTTGCAAGCTCATCCTCTCCATACCTTGCTGAAGACCGTCTGGACTTCCACCTTCAAACTTGCCTAATGTGATGCTGCTATTCTTGTAATCCGCTGCCATTTTTTTCCATTCCTCGACCCGCGGAACGCCAGCTCGCTTTACAGCATCCTGAGGGTTAGGAACAGCCGTATCCGTTGACATATCTCGGATTTCTACGAATGAGACTGGAATAAGACCAGGGCCTCCTAGGCGGCCGATCGGTTTAGCGACAAACCACTCGGGGTTAGATTGTGCGATTACAATGATCGCCTCTCCAGCTTTCGCTTCCAGCTCGTCTGCCCTCTCCGCTTGGAAGTCGTACATGACAATCCCGTATACCATGGCACCATTCTTAGCGACCGACTTAGAACTACGATGACTAGTCGTGGGAGTAGCAGGTACGTTCGCTGAATTGGTTTCTGAAAATCCAGAATCATGGTCATCCTTCTTCATCGTTATGGGTTGGCCTAGATCTGATTGACCACTATCCCTTTCGGTGCGCCCTAGAGCTTGGAAGAAGGCTACAGGAACTAGACCTCGAGCGTCAGGGAGAGCCGGGTTACAAGCTTCGTACCAATCCGAGTCGTTCTCGCGACCAATAACATGGAAAAAATCACCCCTTGAAAAGCTCAGCTCCTGCTCAGATGTTGCTTCGTAGTCATAAAGAGCTCGAATAACCTAGGATGGTTTCAAGTATTAGTATTACATCGAAGGCAATGAAAAGCGGGTCAAGACACGAATGACAAGAAAAGGATACAGTCAAGGACGAGCAATACCGACCTTTTTGGGAGGAACAATAGCTACTGCGGTTTTGGGGGCGATAGACACTTGGGGTTTGTCCTTTTCGCCTTTGATAGATCTTCGCAGGGCCTGCATGGAGCGCACGAAGTTAGCTACAGCACCACTAGATGCGATCAGGTCGCGATTGAAACTAGAACGCGACATGATTGCGACCGGAAATGGAGTGCATTTAGAGGCATGCCCGGTAGAAAGGCGAAGGGGCAATTGTAGGTTGATTTCAATAGGTAGAAAGTGGAGATATTGGGTTTAATGACGCACCTTCATCGTTGTACAGACTCGGAACTTTGCTTAATTACGAATGGTTATTTTGTAGGAAGGGACGGAGGCGGAGGCGGAAAGCGCGAAGGATGATGCAAAGAATGGTGGGCGCAGGCCAGAGAATGGCGGGTTGGCTATCCCCGAGGCTCAGGCACGGTTACGCCAAGTCGACGGAGTCTCGCGATTCTGTTCAACAACAGCTTTGGATCAGTGCGACAGCGTGTAATGGTGTGTAATAGGAGCGAGGCGAAAAGTCGTGGAAGTTCAGCCGGTGAGATCGAAGAAACGAGGTGCGTCAAGGTGAGACCTTTCGCAACGATAGAGAATTACGCAGTAAAAAAAATAATTGATTTCGAAGCTTTGGCCGTTCTGCGTCTTGACCGGTCGGCGTCGGACAAATGACTTGCTGATAGAAAGAAGTGGCGGCGATTGTTCCCTTTTCCTGGGACCAAATAGTTGTCAATAGCGTTGCTGAAACCCTACGTCGTTCCTTTCACGTTTTTCTTTCTTTCTTCCCTCTTGTCGGGTATATCCTTTTCTTTATCTATTCTCAGCACAGTCCCGGTTGGTCGGGTGGAGGTGTGGTTGGATTTGCGAATGAATATATATGGTAGCGAACAGGCGAACACGCACGCAATAGCAATTTTGTTCCTGCCCAAGCTATCGTGTCGTTCTTTATGCTCGTCAATGCAATCGTTGCGCTATCACAGCGATTAGTCGATATGAGAGTTTGTCGACGGGTATTTCTCTTAAAAAAAAAGATAGAGCAAGAAGGGGTCAGGAGGACAAAGAAGGAAGAGGAGAGGGACCAGAGTGGTCGGATTTTGCAGTGACTACTACTCTTGCGCTTAGCCAGGATGGGGGGGTTTGTTGATTGACTGGTTCAGAGAAATGGGTGGAAACGTCGAAAAAAGTGGAATAAATTGAGTCGGGCGTTAGCATTGGCAGGCTTCCAGGATCCATGTACGTGTGTGTACATGTACGTGTGTATGTGTGTATGTGCGCTCATGGGTCCAAGTACATTCACTCAAGTAGTGTATCCATCTGAGTACCCGGTTACCGCACTGGCAGGCTGGCTCGCTGGGCGCTGTCTTTAATGCTTTTTGGGCTGGGCGGATAGGCCCTTGCAAGGATAAGACATAGGTCAGGTATGTACCCAGGTACACATACGTATGTACATAACGTTGCTGCACACCTCATGGAATCGGGGACAAGGGAGGCATCCATGCAGCGCCATGTTGAACTTTGAAGGCACGGGGATAGCGGGGTACTTTTTCTCCAAAATAAAAAGATCCGATTAGAACTAGCTCAGCCTAGTAGCTGCCCAGACTGCCGGGGCATCGCTAACGGACAGCTTTAGCGCTTGGTTAGCCCTGTAATGGAGAGACCGCGGAAGCACGTAGCATGAAAGTACGCCCCTACAATATCCATTAGGTACCATGTAATGTACGTAAAATCATCCCATCTCCTTGTAATAACAAGCCGACATGGGCAGATAGACTGAATCAAGAAATCAAGATCTGATATGTAAGAAAATCAATTACAAAGAAAAGAAAGCGACAAATTAGACAATATAGATACGTACATATGTAGGTAGTACGTAAAGTTAAATCTGCCACGATTAAGAATCGCATGACATTCCAAAAAGATGTATCGCATCCTTTAAGTTTAGTTAGCTTATAGGTGAAGCACTAGTCCCAGCCTTTTAATGGCATCAATAACAATATTTTAGAGCTTCAGAACCGCCAGGGCTCTTACTTTCAGGGCTTAATTCTTTGTTTGCCCCTCCTTAAACTTTTTTTTTCCCTTGATGCTCCCATGCTCCCTCACCCCGCCACGGGTCACACACATCCCCTCCCTCCAATCTTAATGCAATCAACTGTAAGGTTCCTTTCAAAGGGGAAAATAATTGAATAGAAGGGAAGAATATCTTAAATGATCCGACAATTAACTGTTACTGATCGACTAGCAAATGAGATCGCATTAATTATATTGAAAATCGTACATTCATCGAACAGGATCGACGTACCAAAGTTGGATGGGTTTTAGGGCATTCTGTCTTGTGTTTGCTTCTTGGGTTCCAACCTTGAAAGCATGGATATCGTATACCAGGGTTTAGGGCTTCACATTCCTCCCTCCTTCCCTTCGCCAAATATACCTAAGGCGAAAATAAGGAGGAAAGGGTCGTAACCCGATGGTAATTGGTAGCTGAATGCTGAACTGATCGAAGAACCTAGCAATCCGATAGGTTTCGTCAGTTCGTGGCTTTATTTTCTACGAAGGTTGGGCGCAGGTTAGGCTTTGAATGGCCGGTCTTGAAGCCAGGGAACCCCCTAGGTGGCGTATTCATATATGCTACGATACGATACGAGAATCACACCCATAAGAATGAGGAACCGTTCCATGCTTGGGTATACATATCTTAGTTACCGACTGTCGGGAACCCATTCTTCAGACCCGGTCTTCGTCTCGCGACCAGTTTACTATACATAGTAATATTTTGGTCTTTCTAACCAAACCAGTGAAACAACTTCTAGACTTACATTTTATGTATGCAGACATAAACACCAGAAACGCCGTGCTCCACATCTAACAAATAAAATGTATGCTTTAACTTGGATACCCAAACCTCAGGGACCTCCCCTGCGCCTACTCCACGGCCCGTAGGAGATCTTTCACCAACTTTGAAAACGTACCTTGCAGCATGCATGGCGACTTACATATGCGTCTTCTAGTGCCTAGTGGAAATTATCGTCTTATTTACGCTTACAGCAGCTTAGGGAAATATTTAGATCCAGTTAGATCATATCGGATTTCCAACTCTTGTAATCTACGAGACTTTGGATATTATATCCGCGATAGTAGGCTCTAGAAAGAGATCCACCAGTACGCATAATAAAACATTCTTGTTAACTTCCCTGGGGGCTATCACGGCCACCAAAACAGTTCTTTCATGCACTTACTACTTAAGCATATGCGATGCTGAAGCAAATACGACTATAGAGCATGCAGGGCTACACTGAAACAATATTCCTATCTTTAAGCCCTACGTACATATGTAGTTGGGTTCTAGAACTTGTATCTATTATTATAAATACTTGGATACAAATTTGTACAATACCAACATATCAAGTTATCGACTAATTACGATGTCATATTTGCTACACGTAGATAACTTAGAGGATTCGGTAACACCTACTTTATTAGAACATCTATCCGAACACCGAACAGAGAGAGGTGGCGTTTTTTTGTAGGAGGTATCATTTATGTAGGCATATACCATTATCTTTTTCTCCGATGGAGTTTCACATATATTGCTACTCTCCGTAAGGCTTTTCTCGAAGCTACCAAGGCATTTTGTCGACACAAATACATATCTCATAACCCAGATGACGCAGTTCACCAACACCTGTATCAATAGGTAGAATACCTAGGTATACTCAGCTACCTGTGTACTGGTACCTATGGTGGGTAACTACTACCCTTAGTAATGCATGTCAGTTCCTTGCCCGGAAGAGGCCCGGCCAGCCCGGCTCACGTCCGCGAACATTTCTAGAAACTACTATATAATTGACCGGAAGAAACTCCTAGTCGTGGAAGAGAAAACTAGAAACTAGATCGGAGCACGGAAAAGAGAATTACAAATTCTTATACTGTATGCTTAATGGTTAATGCATACGTAGCAGAAGGCTCGGGTCATCTGTTCCCGACGTTGGTTGCCAAGCATCATGAAACCGAACGAAATGCTGAAACAAAGTGACGACGTAGTAGAATAACGGTTCCGTCTTCATTATGATTCTTGAGTAAATCTATTGGGATAGAGGCACATCATCACCATCATCACCCCGCAGATATCAACGTCGCAAGTCTGTGCTCACATACGAATTGCCCACCTAAGTGCCTATCTACTCCATGGGCTTGCATGTGACGCAGATAATCAGGCCACAAGCTATCTAAGCATCTCAATGATCACAGATCATTCTCCGGGGGAGCTTTTACGCCAAGAGATTCGCTTCACCGACGGGTCCCGGCTTCTTCCCATCATATCATCCCTTAGCTCTCACATCTTTCCTAGACGTCAAAAATCTGATCCGTCACATAAATCGGACCTCGTGAGCCCGTTCCGCCGTCGCACACCGAGGCAGGCCAAAATCCAGGTGGCCAACCCAGGCGCAACAAAACCAAGCCCGATCAGGACCAACGACCGACATCGTATCCCATTTCCGGAGGCAAGTTGAGCCGAGCAAAGCAAATACATGTGCAAAATAATTTAGAGAAAAGAGAGGCGTCACAAATCCCAATTCCCTCGCTCTTGCTCTCGCACCTGTGCGACATTTCGTAGCGCCGTGTATGCTTTTTCCTCGAAGAACGGGCGAATTGATGGGCTACGATACGCATACCGGTCAAGCTAGTTTAGTTCGTCATCCGCACGTACCCGGTTACGTTCCTTCCGCAGCGCCAGGCCGTGCGACGTATCCCACGCCTGTGTAATCAATGTAAGCAAGTAGGCTTAGCAGTGAGCGAAGCAAAATATGGCGTCGTGGGATGAAGAAATTACCGTAGATGTATGTCTCAGCTTTGTAATGCCTCCGTCAGCCACCTCCTCGGTGTGGGTGCTAGTTGCTTAGAAGAGGACTTACCGGACATTGAGAAATAGTTACGTGACATTAAGAGAAATTGGTACTGAGAAGAGCAATCTAGCATACGAATAGATTTCCATATTTATGACCCGTACAAAATCTATGTTTTAGGTAGATGTTTGAAGGACCTCAATGAGCAAATGTAATCTGGGTATTCTAGCAATACAATAAGGGTGGCATACCGGGTACAATGCGATCTAATGTTATCAGAACCGGCTTCCTTCCACTACATTTTCCAAAGGAGATCAATCGCGAATCTGCAACATCTATATTGATGTATTAAAGGACCTCCTACAGGAGCAACTCGAAAATGACTCCAGCCACGAGGATACCTATTGGCACAAAATAGGTGAAGAGAGGAAATTTATGGTTACGATAAACAGAGACTGGCTTAAGTGTGCATGAATTATACCCAGCGTCAGAATTGCTCTGCACCCGCTGAGATCACGGAATGTATCTAAAACTGAACTAAATTCATCTTCCGATCCTTTTAGCGAACCCGTCCATGCATATACTCCCGTCAAAGTCAGACGAAGAAAATGCGCAAAACCGGCATTCGTCGTCGGGGGTATCGGTATAAAACAACTGGGCCACTCGGTCCGGACGCCAAACTCCTTGCACCTTCGTGATGAAACTTTCGTGCAAAATACTGATATCCACCTGCGCCTAGTAAAACCTCAACTCATTTACCCTCATTCCCCGTACCAGACGCTCACGTCGAGGCTGGTAAAACCTTCCTAAAGATCAAGGATCCCACTAGCCACTTGTCAAAGTAGACCATGACCGTTTACTATGATTGAAAGTCAATGTATGCGAACTTCGTAGAATTGATGCAACGTGGCATCAGATCGATCGTAAGAGATGCCAAATAGTTGCGTTGTAGGTTCAAACTTGGATAAAACCAAGTGTTAATATCCAGAGTCGCGACCCTCATGACATATCTCGTCAAGATCAATATTTGTATTCGTCGGAAATGGTGAAAAGAGAGGTGGGTGTCTACGAAAAGGGGCGGTGTATGATGACTTGTTGTAGTCATCAGGGCCAGAAATGGGGTAACGTCGTGTCAAAGAAAGAGATAAAGCAAGGGAGCAATTAAAGAGAAGAGAATATGGAGACACATCAAATCTGGCCTTTAAGGTCGACTCTACTGAACGCCTCAGCCCTAGCTGTCTCGAATAGCGTTCCGGCCTTTCCGGATAAAAAGGCAATGTGGTCTTGTTGTTCCTCAAGTAGGTCCTGACCGTTGAAATCGATGATAAACTGAGCGGCTTCAGCGTCAGACTCAAAGGCGAGTTCCTCAGTGATATAGCGGAGCTTCAATGCTGGTTTAAATCTATAATTCGATTAGCGGCTAGTTCTGTAAAGAAAAAAAAATGATAACGGGGAGATGGTACTCACGCTTTGCACATATTGGCAAGTGCAGCAAGTCGCTCGCGCTTCACGAACATGTCCATTAAATATGCTCCCATGTTAGGGACGTCGAGGTATAACTGGAAGAACTTATGATAATTGCCCAAAGCTAGCGCCGACCGCACGTCCAAGGCGTGTTTAATAGGTCGCTCTTCTTTCTCTGCTGTGGTTAGATCTGCAATGGCGTCATTCAACGCCGTTCGGTTTGCGGTGTGAATGAAATACAAAATACGATACGCCTTAAACTCGATAGAATTGCCCTTCAAGCCAGCCTTATACAGAGCACGTAGTTGGGTCTGGCATTGATTATACTCACCAAGATCACCCTTCTCAAGCGCAATTCTAGCATGGATTTCATAGACGGAGACGGTAAAATCATTTCTGACGCGCTGTACTGTCAGATCCTGGCGCATCGACTTGAACTGGTCACATATGTAGTTATAGTTGCCGTCCTTGCGCCACTTCTTCTTAAGCAAGTCTAGTGTATGATGTAAGACACGCTCGGGTCGAACATCAGCTGCTTTGGGAGCAGCCGTCAGGCGTAGGTATGGTTTCTCTAGGGACTCGTTGAATCCGACAATGGGTCCTGTGGGAGGCGGCGGACTAGGGGATCGGTACGTGTGGTAGCCACCATCACCGCGACGTTGTCGCTTCTCAACATTCTTCTGGAACTTACTTCTGGCCGAAAGAGGGCCATCCATCGCGGGTTTGGAAATTCGATCTTCGAGAGATAGTCCTTTGGCCGCACGCCATGGTGCTGTCGAGTCGGGTACACTGAGGTCGGAGGACTTCCTCTTCTTCGGGTTGGTTGTGGGAATAGCGGCGGCAGTCACTGCTTCAGTTAAAACCGGCGGTACCATCGATTGCATTAAAGCCCGCTGACGTTCGTTTTTAATAAGAGTCTGCGGCAGTGGCATATTATCCCAATCCGTAGTGTACATAGTTCCGCAGTCCTGGGTGTATCTAATGGTTTCCTTCAGTTTGGCTTCCATTTCGGCACGGGTTACGCTGGGATCTAGGTTCGATGACTGAAACGAGCGCTGAACATAACTGCGGACGGAATCCGGCCAATCGAATTTCTGTGGCTGCGCCTGCTGACCCGATGAGGAGGCCATAGCGGTTGTCGATTGTGGGGGATTAGCAGAAGTGGAATAGGGATATTGTGGCTGAGCTTGGTAGGTCTGACCAAAACCCTGACGGACGGGAACCGCAGTGTATGCGGTATCTGAAAAAGGAGAGAAACGTTAGCATTCATTTAATAAAGATGGTTGAAATAAAATAAGGAACATACTCATAGTCGGAGTGTAGCTGTATGGCGCCGTCTGAACGCCCGGGGGTGCTGCCCAAGACATTGTCGTCAAAATGGGTCGATATATGTGCGACGTTGTAGAAATAAAGAGGTTAGTTAGTAGTAGCAGTAGAAGTAGTAGTAGTACGCAGCACGCGAAACACAGCTCCCCAAGCGAGAAGTAGAAATATGAAAATGATATATCTATCTATCGCCTTGTGGACTTGTCAAGTGTATGTGAACAAAGGCATTCACAGTCGAGACGATGAATTAGAAGAATGTGCGCGTCGGAAAAGTGCGTTGACAACAAATAAGTGAGTTAGTTTGTGGATGAGGAGGAGAGTCAGGAAGGATGTGACAAAGGTGGAAAAAATGAGAGAGATTAGGCGGTCAGATGCATCGTTAGTCACAGTGCTGTGGTATGGCCCAAGCGCCTGCACATAACCTAAAGCGCGAAACTTACTTAAAGTATCTAAGTACTCATTACCATCTTAAGCTTAGTTCATTTGTTCTATCCAATAATCCTTGTCACACCTACAATCTTATGCCCGACTTTTAAAAAGGTTATTATATAATTAAAAAAAACTTCCTTTTTATTTAAAACTAACGTATAACTTTTAATTAAAAAAGGAAAAAAGGATATTTATATAAATTATTAAAATCTTTTATATATTTAATTATTCTTTTTATAATTTTTTAATTATTAATTTAAGATTATTTTTTTTAAATATATGTTATAAACTAATAACATGTTATGTTCCAAGTTGTGGAGTAACATATATAATATAAAATTAAGGAATAATAATTAATTAATCATTAAGAAGCTTTTATTTTATGGCTTAACTAGTTGTCCTTAAACTAATTCATGATATAATGATTAATTTCACCTGTTAAAATAGGAGATGTAAGTTTAATTCCCATAGTTATTAGATAAAAGCTTTGTTACTTTCCAAGCTTTTAAATAACATTGATAATAGGTAAGTAAGGGGGCCTAGCTGGCAGAGGTATTACCAATTTAAAACCTTGGAATTTCCTTGTATTATATTCTTAATATATAAGTATAAGACTTTATTTATTTTATAATATAATATATATACCAGGAGATATAAAGCCTAGTTCTCCTTATATAATATGGTATAAGGACATACCTTATAAAAAAAAGATATAATATTATGTTCTAAGTTATAAAATAACATATATAATATAAAATTAAGGAATAATAATTAATTGATTATTAAGAAGCTTTTATTTTATGGTTTAATTAATTGTCTTTAAATTAGTTCGTGACATAACATTAAACAATAATAAGGAACTAAGAATGGAGGCACCTTAAATTAATCTATGATAAACTTATATTTTAAAAAGGTATAACCATTATTAAATTAATTAATTAAAAATGTTTTAATTTAATAATAATAATAATAATAATAATAAGTTAAATAATTAAGTAAATTCTATTTATTAGAAAGGTTTAAAATCTTTTTATTATGTTTAAAAGAATAATCTTAAATTAATAATTATAGAAAAAATAATTAAATTATAACGAACCTATGCCTTAAAGAAGTATAATCGTTACTGGATTGGTGAATCCGGGATGTCTTGATTTTAAGGTAATAATATTAATAGTAGGTTAAGTAATTAAGTATGTTCTGTTCATTAAAAAGGCTTAGAATCTTCTTATTATATTTAAAAAAATAATCTTAAATTAATAATTAAAGAGTTATGAAAAGAATGATTAAATATATAAGAAATATTTATGGTTATATAGTTATTTTTCCTTCTTTTTTTATCTTAAGGTTATTATGATATATTATAATGTGTTATAATGTGTTGTGATGTATTATGATGTATTATAATGTGTTACGATGTATTGTGATATGTTGTGATATATTATAATATATTACGATATGTTATAATATATTATAATATATTACATCTTAACATATTAAACCAAAGTTTAGTTATAATAAGTTACCTATGTTCCATCCTTCATAGTTTTAACAAAGGTCCTTCATGATTAGTTTATGATATTATACCCTTTCCTTTAAAATCTTTACCCTTAAAAATAAAAAAGATAAATATTCCCTCCTTTTTTAATCCTATATCTATTATATAAAAATCATATTTAAGAAGGTATAAAAGCCAAATATTTATTTTAATTAATAATAAAAATACTACACTTATGTAAACTACATTGAAATTCATGGTCAATTTATCCTTCCTTATTCCAATTATAACACCTTTAAAAAAGATTATCTTTTATTTATTAATTTTGGGATTTATAATCACTACATTCATTAAAATTGAAAATATTATGACATCTTAGAAATAAATGCCCTTAACCATATTTCCCAGGCCTATACTCATTTAAAACAGGAATATAAAGATATAAAAAATAAATTAATCCATTTATAAGAAAAAATAATAAAAAAGATCAACAAATTATAACAACTCCATCATTAAAAAGATTTATTAAAAAGATATGGTTTAAAATTATTAAAATTTAATAAAAAATAGGACATTAAGGAAGAATAGGCTCATATAACCAAAGAACAGGTTTAAGTTAAATAGGAATATATTATTCCTACTTTTAAGGCTTCTTCCTTGGTCTTCCCCTTTTCCTTATCTGGGATAAACTTTAATCTTAATCCAATATTATCGTTGACTACAACTATATAAACCTTAATCAATTAGGATTTTAACAATGAAAATCCTTAATTAATTTCTAAACCTTCTTATTTATAAGATATTCCTATGATTCCTAGATATTATTCTTTTTTAAATAATTAAGTTATTTAATAAAATATTTAATTTAATCATTAATAATTTTAAAATCCCAAATGGCCTTAATATTATACTCTTTTAAATCCTCTTTTAATTTAATATTTCCTTTAAGTTTAACATTTTTAAACACTGGTTTAAACATAATGATATAAAATATATTAATTTTTAATTTCATATTTATTAATAACTATAAATAATAGTTTTGTTATAATCTAACAGGAGGAAGGCCAGGGAATAAGGATCTGGTAGGGCTAGGATAACCAATCAAAAGGAAGTCTCTGTGGAGGTAATAGAGATTATATATTAAGGCTTATATAATGACCTCTGGTGGTCTCTGGGAGCATCACAGAGACAAATAGAAAGGAGGTCTTTAAGAACATTATAAAGATAAATAAAGAGGAGGTTTCTAAAGGTCTTTATTTAAGAAATAGAGATTATTTAAATGAAGGATATATAAAAAAAAAGTCTTTTATATATTTAATTATTTTTTTATAATTCTTTAATTATTAATTTAAGATTATTCTTTTAAGTATAATAAGAGGACTCTAAGCCTTTTTAATGAATAAAATTAACTTAATTATTTAACCTATTATTAATATTATTACCTTTAAATTAAGAAACCTTAAATTAACTAATCTAACAATAATTATACCTTTTTAAAATATAGGTTTATCACATTTTAATAATTTTTTAATCAATATTAATATTAGGTTAAGAAATGATATAAATCATTTATAAGATATTTTTTTACTATTATTAATTAAACCTTCTCTTATTTTACTAATTTTTAAAAATAAAATAGAAAATCTTTATACCTTTTAAAAATTACTTTTTAAAGAATATCATAATTGGATATAAAATAAATTAATAGACCTTAACCTAGAAAATAAAAAGGAATTAGATAAAAAAAAACTCTAGAATAAGGACCTAAATGATTTATAATAACCTAATCTATTATTACTTAAAATATCTATATTTATTTATATCATTTAAAACCTATCATTAATAAAGAAGATATTTTAATTCATTAATAAAATGATACCATCTAAAATATATTCATAAATTCTAAAATCAGAAATAAAAAAAGAAATTAACATTAGGATAAAAAAGGAGGACTAAGAAGAAAAAAAAGTCCTTGATTAATAAACCAGAATAATAACTGCCTTTAAAAAGATTAAAAGATTTAAAAAAGAATTGGCCTTAAAGGAGGCTAGACTTAAGAAAACCTCTAAAGGATCCTTATTAAGAACCTCTTAATAACTAACACCTTCTTAACCTTTAATACCCCTTAGACCTCTAGATAATAATAATAATAATAATGGAAAAAATAAGAAAGAAAAAGGAGGTAGAAATCCTTAATCAAAGAAAAAAAGAATAATAATCCTTTTTTATTTATTAAAAGATATAAATTAATAAATTTATTAATCTATAATAAAATTTTAGATATTAAGGATTAATTTATATATATAAAACTTTATTTATCTTTTTTATAAGGAAAATTTATTATAGGAAGAATAATAGGTATTTATTATTATTTAATTCTTAAATGGAATTGTTTTTACATGATTTTAACCTATCTTAAAAAATTATTTCAATATTATTAAAGAAGAATCAGAAAAATCTTAATATATTTTCAAATTATATGAACATTTTGAAAATAAAATGTAAATAATGTTTGACAAATTATTTAAAAAGGAAGAAATATGGAAGATTATCCATTACCTTAAATAAAAAAGACAAACCTCCTTTTACATGGCAGAATTCAAATAATTTATAGTTATAAAGCAATTATCCAAAGATATATAATTTAATTACCTCTATAAGGAAGTAATTACCTAGGTAAAAGATAAACTCTTTAAAGAGGAACAACCTGTCACCATTAATAAATATATAATTAAGGCAATTCTTCATAATAATAAGTCATATAAAAGATATAATAAAAAAAAAAAAGACTTTAAGGTTATAAAAAACCAAGAAAAAAGGAAACCAATTAAGATTTAAAACCTTAATATAGTTAGTAATAATAAGAAACCCAAGAAGGATTTAAGTAAGATTAAATGCTATAATTACTAAGAAATGGGATATTATAAAAGCTAATATAAAAAACCTAAGAAATAGCCATAAGTCTTAAAAGGAAGATTAATTAATATAATAATAATAATACTGGGATCCTTAACCTTAGGAATATTTAATATATTTGAAAAAGAAGAAAAAGGAAAGGAAGTCTTATTATTAAACTATAATGAAACCATTTAATAAATAGAAATAAAAAACTTTATAAATTAAATAAATTAGTTATAAGATCTTAATATAATAGGCATAAGAGATTCCGAAGAGGAAGAAATAAGTATCTCTTTAGGAAAATCCAATTTT